AGGCCATAATCAACTCTTGATGGCATCGGATTTCTGCGATATTAAATATATTAGAACAGTTCAGGCATATTTTGATTTAATTTAAAAATGGAGGAGCTTCGAACATCCAGTACGGTGGTTGAAATTATTATAGCAAGAATGGCTTGCTCTTTATCTAAATCTTACATAATGTCAATATGATTCTTCGTCTCATGACCTCACACACTGTATCAATTTAAAGTCAATCGGATATTAACTTTAGTCTCTAGAGCGTCACAAGATTTTTCAAAGTGATCAAGGGAGGGCCATAATGATTCTTCATCTCATGGCCTCAAACACTGTGTATAAATGTAAAGTCAATCGGATATTAACTGTAGCCTCTAGAGCGTCCACAAGGCTTGTGGACGACGGCCGGGCGGACCGACGGACGGGGGCGACGACAATATACGACCACATTTCAACGTGGGTGTATAAAAACATGGGTAAAGTTATCAAGTAAATGATTCATCAATGAAAAAGAGCAAATAGTGTTATTGTGAAAAAAAATATTTAACAGTAAAAAGTTACAAAATGGAAGCATCACATCCTATTAGGCGATTAAAGTACTAATAATTATAAGGTGTAAGATGGGGATGGGAGTAAAGTGTAAACATACTAATTGGACAAAACGCGTAATATTAGGAGAATATAATTAAGGCAAAATACAATACATATTATTAATATTATTATTATTACAGCATATTTATAGTGGGCCCTCTCATATAACATGTTCAGGGGCACTTTACAAAGTGACAATGTAATCATAAATAAACAACAAGATTATGCACATGTTAACAATTATATACAGAGTCAGTTAAAAGCCTGATTAAATAAATGTGTTTTAAGTTTTCTTAAAAGAATATAGAGATGTCAACATCTTAAACTAAATGGTAGATTATTCCATAAAACAGGTGCTTGATAACTAAAAGAGCGCTGACCATAAGAGACTAGTTGAACAGTATTCTGTACTTTTTATAATTTATCTATGATATATAATAATGGCCAATTTTATTATTAGTATACATTATATAATAAATAAGATGTTGGGGGAGTGGTCCCGGTTATAGTATTTCTACACTGATATTACTAATCGATGTTTTTTCTGGAGCCGTGTGAACCCTTCACCATCCTAGCACACAGCTATAATTTAAATCTACAGGTATTTTTATCTGGCGTGCACTTATGTTATTAGCAGTTAGTAAGATCTTTTCTCAAATTTAAGATGCAATATTCCCTTTGGTCGAGTGAAACCGATCTGCTCTATTTCAACCGGGATCTGGAATATTTAATATAAGTAAACATTTTAGTATATTAAACAAAATTTCGCACATGCAACTTTGAGAAAAGGGGGATGGGGTAGTAAGATTAACATTGTTGCTCAGTTAAAGAAGCAATAGCAATAACACCATCACAATTGTGTTCAAAGTTTGATGACGGGTAATAAATATGTATAGGATTGTTCGATATGACAAGCAAAGTGATAGCAGTATGATTGCAAGTAAACATACATTAGCAGTGGTGTCTTCTGTCGTCACCAACTTTATTTTCCGTTTTATTCCTTAATTTAAACCTAGTTTTAGACATAGGCAGTGTAAGTATTGTGTATCTTGCTCCAAGAAAAACGCCAAACTATGCTAGATAATATGCATACTTGGTGTAGTAAATGGAAATTCAATTTTAAATAGTAAACAATTAGAAGTCATTCAATTACGACCAAACATTGTGGTCGGAAAAGACTTTAGATTAAAGAATGTATGTATTTTGGATTGTGTTTGGCTCATTCTGTGTATAATAGCTGTAGGAGTGTCGTGCTGTATTGGAATACAGTTAGGACACGATGAGAGAAATTCTACCCCTAGCCCAAAGGATATAATGTTATTTTAATTGGTGCGTGATTTTATCATTAAAAGTATTAATTAAAACTTTAATATCACAAACAAATTAAAACAAAAGTATTATCGACACACCGTTTACATTAACCCAGTGTGTACAGCAAAGTAGGACATCCACTCATTCATGACGTATCAACATAAATCACATTATCATGATATAGTTCAAAAATAGTGGCAACTATGTATAAGCTTTCTTTTTCTTGAAGACTTACCGTTGTTTTTTCAGTAGTTCCTATTCTGTATTTTTGTAACAAACACACAATGGCAACTCTTGCTTCCAACATGGCTAACCTCATTCCAACACAACTTCTGGGGCCAATACCAAAAGGTATGTAAGTATAGGGGTTACGCTTACTTTTCTCTTCCTCGGTAAATCTGTAAAATACATAAAATGGCTAAAACACCGTTTAAACACCAATAGACAAGACACAAGCATATTTCATTTATAAAGAATCTGATTTCAAATAAATACAATGAACAGATCACAATATCAATGTAATCATGATATAATTTCGCCCGGATTAATTTCAATAATAATCATATATTAGAAAGTGTTATATTTACAAGGAAACTGATTTTGTTGTGTTTTGGGGGTTGACTATACGTCAACTAGAAGTTTTCTGGATGAGGCAATTTAGGCATGCCATCGTGTTGGGAGTCAAAATGCTTAATTCTGCTATGCTGTGATTTACAGCAATTTAGAAACCTCCGAATTTACATGTATAATCCGATTATACAGTACTGCATTTAACTATTCTAGATAATTTATCTCTTTGAAGCCATTATGTTTCTTGTTGCTGATTGCTACCATGTTAATGTATATATTGTAAGTCTATTTGAGTACTGTTATGTTTATGTACTGTTATTGGGGGGGGGGGGGGGAGGGGTACAATGAAGATGCATTGTTTAGCACTTCGGTCGTGGCTTTCGTTGGTCTTGTTTGATATAATTAGCTCTTTTGGACAAGATATCAACCCCCTTGATTTTTATTCTCCAAATGACACCAGAGGTATATGAAATTTATTTGACTGAATGTTTTGGTTAAAGTAAGTAATATCTGTACGTAAAATCAACACCTGACTTTCTCTTTCTGACGAACCGAACAATCCTAGCAATTTTGAATAGCAAAGCCTCAAGAACTGTGACGATGACGTGCTAGTCATTTAAAAGGTTGCTCTGACACTCGAATCAAAAACGGGTAAATTTGATGAACGCTGCGTAATTCCTAGATGGTATATGGTATCTACAAAATATTGTAATACATATAATTGCTAAATGCTAGTAGCGTGTCATTTAACGGAATTAGAACAGTTAATAAACATAAAAAAACTATTAAATGCATACGGAATATTTGAAAACAAGTGGCAACATTATTTCATCAGATTTCAAGTATTATATCTAATTACCTTTCTGGATTAAAGACTTCGGGCTCTGGGAAAAAATCCGGGTTTTTCTGTAGATGATATATTGGTATGTGGATATCCATACCCTTCTTGAACTTATATCCTCCTATAGTAACATCCTCTCTTGCTAATCGCGTGGACCTAAAGGATAACTTAATTAAATTAATTTGTCCGTATTTTAATAAGATATAGTTTATGGTAACGACAAGAATAAACAGATTCGCCTCAGAGACTATATTAATAATTACTCTGCAAAGAGGATCACATATTTTTGGCAGCGGACGTTATTCCATACGCAACTTCAGGGTCCAGTTCGTTATGATTGAAATATTTTTTCGGTAATGTAGATCTATACTTTAATGCTAATTATTCCTGGAAATTTAGTTAAACATACATTATGCAAGAGCTAAATCCGCCTATTGCAGGTCTTTTTTTAGGCCTGAAATGTTATCTTAATTATTAATTAGACATTAATTAACTTATCCAGACCATAATCAACTCTCGATGACATCGCTAGCCTGCGATGTTTATTGGATTAGGTTCCGATTTGCTGTTCTACTTCTATTCATAATTTAATCATGAAATGGATAATCGAGATTATGTTTTTTATCATACTGACTTTCGTAATGATGATCGAGGCTAGGCCGAAAATTCAATCGCTAAAACCTCGGTTCAGAGTGGACCAATCCGACTGAAATTTTCAGCAAATTCCCTTTACATTATCTAGTTTTTAACTATTATTGTGAGAACTGGCAACTCTTTATCTAATCTCCCATGATGTAAATAACCCCACACACACCACATACACATACCACCACCATCACCATATGAATTTCGTTCAGACCGGGTTGTTTACTTACAGCTGTGCAGGTGGAAACAGACGTAACGATTCACACATCACTTTATCTAAATAAGGCATTTTATTAAATACATGGTCATATGTTGGTTTTTCCTGTAATTAAAATACACAATTATCAACAAAAACACAAATAGAGAACTATATATATATATATAGAAATGTCATAACAAAAACCGTGTCTGGCTTCATATCTGAATAAACAAGCCAACAATTTAATAGACGACTTTCATTAATTGGATATATTTTTTTCATAAATCATCTAGCAACCAAACTATGTATCACCCTGCTTAACTTAAGCAGCAATGCACAGTAGGACGTTAAACTCCATTTCATTTCATTTCATTATCAAGCTTACAATTAGATAGGTATGGACATAATTAAATTTTACACCTGAAATTTGAATTTATTATGAGCCTGTATATGACAGTATAGAGAAAAGACTTATTCAAAAAGGGAATATCTGGAGAATCAAAGTCTGGGAACTGCAAATGTCTTGTCATTTTAAGGGAATCCTCAAGCTTTTCCGTTGGTATTAGATTGTTGAAGTCACTTTCCCATTTGTCAGGGTAGCTCCTGGGGGTTGACAATAAAGGAACTTACTGTCTGGTCAAACGTAATAAAAAAGCGGAGATCAACACGTCTACACATTTACATGCGACCAGGCGATCTTTATGAAAAGTAGGTGACAAAACCGCTGTCAGGGTACACCCATCCCACACCCAAAAAGAACCTACACACCCACGCCAAAGTATTTTAGTCATTGTAATAATCATGTGCTCACAGAAAATGTTTTGAATTGTTGCCACCATCATGGAAATTACAGAAAGATCAACTCCAATAAATACGTACCCCTCGAAGTTCACGATCAATTTCATCAATCAGTTCATCCTGGACCTCTGGGTTTATAGCTAGGGAATAGGCAAGGAACGTTAAATTGAGTGAAACAGTTTCATACGCTGCTACGAAAAACAACATTGAATTTGCGTAAATTTCTCCATTAGTTAAACCTGAAACCAAAAAGGTCAAAGTCTAATTTAAAGCCTATTATGAACAATATTATAGTATTAAAATATGTTTTTAGATTCAACAGTCCCGGGCCTTTGTTTCAACGTTTCCTTTCTGATGAACGACACAATCATGTCATTTCAAATTAAACATCCCAAGACCGTCAATAAAGATAGGTTGTCGGCAACGAAACATACGCCCACAGCTGCTATATCGTCCGGGCAGTCAACAAGAGTTGTCGCTTATTTTTACTTTTTTCGGTAATGAAACATTTATAATACATTAAAATCTGATTAAGAGTATCAACTCATTAAGTAATTATCAGAAAACCATTAGAATTTGTTTGGTTTTTCTAAAGTTCTGCCCGTGCTACCGTTTAGTAAACGAAACTTTTAACATCATGGATTTAGCTGTTCAAGTCATAAAGATTCAATATACTTGTTCGTCTCAAGACCTTAAACTCTGTGTATCAACCTGAAGTCAATCGGGTGATAACTTTAGCCTCTAGGGCATCACAAGATTTTTCAAAGTGAGCAAGGGCCATAACTCTGGCAGTTATTATCGGAAATCAAAAGGCTTATTCGTCTCATGACCTTAAACATTGTGTATCAATTTAAAGTCAATCGGGTATTAACTTTGACCTCTAGAGCGTCCACAAGATTTTTTGAAGTGATCAAGGGCCATAACTCTGGCAGTAATTATCGAAAATCGCTGAAAATCAATAAGCTTCTTCGTCGCATGACCTTAAACACTGTGTATAAATTTAAAGTCAATCGGATCGACGGACGGACGAGGCGACAACAATATACGACTACATTTCAATGTGGGCGTATAAAAATTAATGTGAATACTGAATGCCTTATTATGTTTCTGTTCTGCATCCCAGCAATGTCCACGATTCAACGCGCTTGAGAACTTCGCTGGTTGGCAAAAAATAAATTTCGATGTAAACTGATTTGGCTATAATTTGTATGATTTGGTATATAATTATTTGCAGATATATAGAATGCACCGAGAAATTGATAGCTAAGCAAGTCAACGTTTAGCTATATTTCAACAAATTTATCAAACGAAAGTACTGTTCAATTGCTGTTCATTGAGAACAATGACATCATTAATCATCAACATACGCTCGTACCTCTATTTTTCCACTCTTCAGGATTAGCTGGCTTATATTCAGGGTCAACGACGCCCTCCTTGCGAGCATTTATCATTAGTTGCAAAAAGTCTTTACGTTCCTATACAAATACAAAACATATTATTAGGTATACCTACTGCGGGAAAATAATTATGAAGAGACGAGCGGTAAATTGTTTAGCACAAGGAGTGGTATGTTTGCCCACTTCCGGATTGCATCTACAATTAACCCCAAAGGTGTTTTTCCACTGTTGCTATTTTCTTTTTACTTTACATTGAATGTAGTTTACTTTGCTGTTTTCTTCCATTCCACTTAGTTGTGATTTTGTATTTTAACCACTTTGAAGTTGATTCTTTCCCGTTAAGAAATGATTGTATTATATTTTATAGATTAATTATTTTGAAGGTAAATCTCAGTATTTTAATAAAATAAGTCACAGATTCCACACTCAAATCAAACTCTGGTTATTAATACAAATAAATAGCCAGCGTGTTACGATAATAATAATTGACTTTAACTAAAGATTTTTAATCCAAATATTACCATTCATTTGGGCTATCGAAAAAGTAAGGTTTACGTAAATCATTTAAGGAATTTCATTCTTCAATTATACATATGACCTAGTAATGGCAACGATCAATTTGGCTGTGTAGACATGAATATCCAAGCACTCACGCTGCTTGGAATTTGAAGGCATGTGACCAACGCAACATTGAAATTAAGTGTATATATCTCACAGAACTTCAGATAAAGGTCTTTCATGTTGAATGTTCACTAAAATATACCTGTTTCCCCTTTATACGTTCTTCTATGGCCGCTGCTGTAGCCCTTTCAAAAAAATCCAAGGCTTCGTTACCTCCGCCCCAGATATTGAAATATGCAAAGACCTTTTTCATAAAAGGAAAAATCACTGAAAAATATTTATATATGCATTTTATTCAAATATAGTTTTGCCAATTGAAAATTTACATGACGAATAATGAAGATAACAGCTGCTGGGGTTTAACGTCCACAAGAAACAAACTAAGTCATTTCGGGACTAACATAATAATTATGGTACACTTATATTTCAGTAATTGGCTTGTACATAGGGATCTTTAGCAGTTTGAGGAACGCCTGGGAGCGGGGTAGCTGGAGAAAACACACGAGGTTCGACATGCGATATAGACACGGTAAATATTTGGAGCGCATGTGCACTATACGGAACAAAGTTTTAGTATCGTTTGAAGTGTGTTAGGGGATTATTTAATTGAGTCTATAATACTTTACTTACGGCATACCATAGCGATAAATACCGCCTTTTTGTTAACCATTAGAGAATTTGCATGCTTGACGAATTTATTATTAGGGTCATCTTGAGAGTCGATTTCCATTCCAAAAGATATACTTGCAATAATATCCATACTAAAACATGCAAACAACCTGAAGAACAAATGAATTCATTCGTAATATTAATATTGTTAGATTCATGTCTTGAATGTATTAAGCGGCAAACAAAATATAGCTACTGGAAGAATTACTTTTGATCATAAAAGATAATAGATTTCAAGGGTAATCACAACAGGGAGATCAGTGACCTAACAACAAGGTTTTCAAATCTTAGAGAACTATATTTATTGTATGGGCTTGCTCCCTCTGACCGTGTGATGATAGCAATTCTCTCGGTCTCCATTAGTTACAAAGATTAAGATCATCGGAATGTTAAAAGAATATGTCATGGGTCAAGAAATGACAATTACTAGTTCATATACATGTTCCTGAAGCAACGACTGCGAGTTTTACAACGTACGTAGTTAAAGCGAGACCATGCCTTCTATTGAAGAGGGCCCATATAGTGTTATTAAAATTTAACACTGAACTGAAGTTGTCGCCCTTTAAAAGCATGTACAGACAAATCTTACTTTTTTGTGTCAATGTTTTCGTCAGTTTTAGATAATCTATCAATAGCCACCATTAAAGTATCACAGCATTTATGTATTAAAGGTACCGTCTGAAATAAAATCATAATACGAAGTAAAAACCTTTATTTCTCTGAGGTTTACAAAGCTCACAACGTAAACGTCACAGGAGAAGGCTTTCAATTAAATTTAGATTTTTGTGACTTTTGCTTTGCATTGTTATGCAGGCTCATCAGAACTAGATTTTCATCCATGGGCGCCATAATTGTGACTGTCACCAGATCAGTGACGGAAATTCCAGAACCATCGCCAGGTTAAATTGATACAGATGATCAGATATTCGACAGAAGATAAAGGTTACCAGTTAAAATATCTTAAGTGTGTTATTAAATACTTAAAGATACATTATGGGTTATTAGATAAAGAGCTGACAATTCTCACAACAATAAAAGTTAAAAACTAGATAATGTAAAGGGAATTTCAGTCAAATTGATCCACTCTGAATCGAGAATTTAGCGATTGAATTTTAAGCCTAGCCTCGATCATCATTACTAACGTCGGTGCGATAAAAAACATAATATCAATTATCCATTAATGAGCGTTGCGCAGCAGAGAGGATTCTAATCCAGTAAATATCGTAGGCTAGCGATGACATCGAGACTGTTGATTATGGTCTGGATAAGTTAATTAATGTCTAATTAATAATTAAGATAACATTTCAGACCTAAAGAAAGACCTGCAATAGGCAGATTTAGCTCTTGCATAATGTATGTTTAAGTGTAGAACCTGAGTAAAGGCTTCTAATAAGTTACATACTTCTTTTAATTTTCCAGTACTAAAAGTAGGACTGATATGACCTCGAACAAACTTCCAATGTTCTCCTTCCAAAAACTGCATAGAATTTTCCAGCTGTTTTGGCACTGAACTGTTTACCTGTGCGGGAGAAACAGAATTTAACCTATTAAATAAATGTATAAATAAGAAAGCATGGACGAATTTCGGTCGAAAAAAATAAACGAATATTGCTTACACAATTAACTTGAAAAGGGTTAAAAAATATATTTTACAATCGCATACCCCCCCCCCCCTCCCCTCCACTCCCCTCTCCCGTCAACTCAAATAGTCTAATAAACGCTCACCAATCTATCTGGAAAATTTGACGTTGCCTGTTTTACGCAGATTTCCTTTATAAGTTCAGGATCACCAACAATACATGTTGGAATTCTTCCCATAAACAAACTAAAAAAAAAAAATATTTTGTGGTCAGTTTCAAAACGGCAAAATCTTGTTGGTTGAAATGTACAATTTCCTCAATAATAATGATTAAAATTGTCCTAAAAGCTCTAATGATCGCGGAATAATTTCAATTATATTTTAAGTTTAAAAAAGTGTCACACAATATTAGCATCAAAAGCAACACCATGACTTCGAAATTGTCTATGGATAAATAGACTCGGCATTTCAATACCACCGAACCTATTTTAGAAAGACTGTTCATTGATTTGTCGTTTCGATAAAAGATCTCTTCAAAGCATACGTTAAGTGTACGGTGCCAAAAAGCAAGATGGGAATTTGTGGATTTCTTTTTTGGTTATAGTATTAATTTTATAAATAAACAAGGAACGAATATGTTAAAAATCATTATAAACAAAAGAACAAGACAAAACTAATAAAACAATATAATTTTATACGTACCCAACAACCGGTCCGTAAGTTTTTATTAATTCCGTTTGAGTGTCAACCAAACCCTGAAACCGACAAAAGAGAGCTTGTTCACCTTTTAATGCTAATTTTGGAAAAACATGTTAAACAAACTCCAATCTTTGCTAAAAAAAAGGTCCACTGTTCCAAAATAAACGGCAAATATAAACTATCAGACTATAAGTATCAAATATAGACTATGAGACTATAGGTACCCAATATAGACTATGAGACCATACGTGCCAAATATAGACTATCAGACTATAGGTGCCAAATAGACTATCAAACTATAAGTATCAATTATATAGACCATCAAACTAAAAGTATCCAATATAGACTATCAGACTATAGGTACAAAAATATATAGACTATCAGACTTTAGGTAACAAATAATCATAGACTATAAGTATCAAATATAGACTAACAGATAGACTATCAGGCTATAAGTACAAAATATGGACTATCAGACTTTAGGTACCAAATAATCATAGTCTATCAGACTATAAGTATCAAGTATATACTACCAGACTATAAATATCAAATATATACTATCAGACTGTATTGGTACAAAAATATAGACTATCAGACTTTAAGTAGTAGAATGATTAAATTTGATCAATCCTAAACGTTTAAAAGTCCGGTCCTAGTCCGTTCGTTCGTTTTTGGAGTTTAACGTCCACTTCCACGAGGGGTGATATCATAAACAATGATCCTAGTCCGGAATTCGTTGGTTTAAATAGGCATTATTCAAGAGCTAAATCTGCCTATTACGGATCTTTCTTTGGGCCTTAAATGTTATATCACATGTAAATTATTAACTAGACACCTATTAGCATGACGAGACCAAATCAACTTTCGATGCAATTTTAAGTAGATTAAAACGGTTCGGCTATTTAATGATTTAATTTAGAAATGGAGATTGGAGGCTAAGACTCGAATGACCAGTATGGTGGTAACGATCAATGCACACATCTTGTCTAAAAACCATTGATAACCTCGCCCAAAATAATTTGAATAAAATTTTCAATATTTTCATTTTGCATTATCTATTTTTGAAATATTATAGCGAGAATGGTCAGCTCTTTATCTAAATCTTACATAATGCCCCTTTAAGCTTAAGTTTTGCATATTGATAATTTATAATAAGAATACAAACGTCTTTGAACATCTTTTTCAAAAGATAGACTGTGCTGGGTGGTGGTCCGGGTATACCAGTATCTTTATAAATATCTAAATTCCATGTCAGATATCTGGAAAATTGAATTTTAGAACGATAAATGACAGTAGTTTATATTTGTATTAGATCGAAAGCTGTTTTAGAGTCCTTGGGATGGGTGTGCAGATTTACAAGTGTTTTAATTAAAATTGTAAAAGAATCAACTTCAGCGTAGTTCTTGGGTTTCTTTAATTTGTAGCGATTCGGGTAAAATTTAGAACATGTTACAATGGGGACGATGAGAGACATAAGTACTCGGTTTCGTTACAAAATAATTGACCTTGGCCTAGAAATTACCATCGGTTTGGTACTGTTAAACTTCGAATTTTTTTCTTCCCTGAAAGAGCCACCATTTCTACAGAGATAATTTTGTATAGCTTCCCTTGAATGTTTTGTTCAGAGAAATGAAAAGTGCGAAGTTTAGGCATCTATTCCTGGTCCCAGGGGCTAAGACCAAGAGATTCCCTGTTAGGGTGACAGTTAGCCATATGGAGAGCTGACAGACAAAATGGCATCACCATAGAGATAACTTTGTAGAAATGGCTGCCCTTTAAACTTAGGTGGTGATGGATCTCGCAAATAAGGAGCCAAACAGTAATGATATAATTTGCATGCTCAACAATTTAATAAGCAAAACTTCCAATACTTACAAATATATTAAAACAATTGTAGAGATTATTAACAATAACCATATAGGTATATCAATTAATCCAAATATATTCATCTTGTTAAATGTGGATACTCATATATAACCTCTGAAAAATATAATAAATATAACTCCTTGTTAGGCTGAACGAATTGCACAATCATATGAAATCATTCAGCGTGAACATTAGAGATCCAGGCTGCTACTTGTACGGGTAATTTACAGTTTACAATAACGCTGTATAAAGGCTACGATGGGGTGTCGGGTAAGAATGCATTCGCCGACCTTTGTAATTTGTCAACTCCGTAAAAAAACGTCGATTTCACTGTATCTGTTTGACATTTAGTCAAACATTTTATCGATTGGCGAACTATATGTATGCTGTGACACGATAAATATAGCTACATTACCACAACACAACACAACACAGTGTGTGTGAATGATAACTAACCGTAAATCAAGCGAGGACGTTTAAGTGTTGTCAATATTCAAACGAGCATACTCGCCAAATTCGTATTACTTACATTTAGCTGTATTAAAAGAACCCTCTAGTCTTTTTTCAACACCAAATGAAATCGTGTATTTCGGTCAGCTTGCAGTAATATAGTGTTAGCCGAAGGATATTTATCTGTCTAAACAATGTACGTGAACACGATAGTCACGTGACTGTATAAATATAGATAAGACATAGTAAGTCTATAAAAGGATATATTTGATATACACACGTACAAGGTTAGTTATACTGATTAATGATCTTCATATTATTGTTTATGATCCATTTTGATTTTAAATGTGACTCATATTTATCTTTCAAAAGAAATAAAAAAAACAACCCTTGTCTCCTTATATGGACAAAACTTGCATATAGGCTATCCGAGAAACATCTTGCTCCAAATGGGACAGATAAGTCATTTGTCAGCTAAAAAATATTATTGTTTGCTTGACCGTTGAACTGCACGAAGAATCGGCATAATGAGTAATTTCACTGAACACCAGACGCACAGGGGCCTCACAAGCCTATGTGGCGCCCCAGGGCAAAAGTTTCAATTGATGATGGGTTAGTTGTATTTTACGTCCGCTTCCACCGAGGTGATATCGCAGACAAGTTTCAATGAGCCCCCTTCCCTCTTGAACTTGAAAATTTCACTGCGCTAAAATACAATCTTTTATACTTTTAAGACTTTATCTAAATAACTATTTATTAAATCAACTTGATATGTAAAAATTTTATGTTTATTTCCCCGTCAATCCTCCATTTGATCAAAAAACTATAATATATCTTGAAAAAAAATCATAATTCTACCCTCTATTTGCTAAAATATGAAGCGAAGGCCGGTGATTTGTTATCTTGGTGTCCTAGGAAGCTATAGTACATAAATATTCAAAGGGACCCGGGACCCCCTTTGAATATTTCTGGTATGCATTAGATAATTTGCCGTGCCAAGAAGTGTCGCCACGGGCGTTTGCTTGACCCTCCCCTATATGAGGACCATGCAGACGCACACCTAATTTTAAACATACATTATGCAAGAGCTAAATCTGTCTATTTCAGGTCTTTCTTTAGGCCTGAAATGTTATCTAAATTATTAATTAGACATTAATTAACCTATCCAGGCCATAATCAACTCTAGATGGCAGCGCTAGCCTGCGATCTTTAGTGGATTGTAAGCCGATTTACTGCATAACTTTCCTTCTCTATTAAACGATTGAAATGGATAATCGAGACTATGCTGTTTATCGTACTGACTTTAGTAATGATGACCGAGGCTTATGGGAATTTCAGTCGTTTAGTTCTCTGTTCATAGTGGATCAATTTGAATGAAATTTTCAGCAAATTGCCTTTACATTATCTAGTTTTTAACTATTATAGCGAGAACTGTCAACCCCTTACCGAATCTCCCATAATGTATCTTTAACTTTGTTTTAATTTGACGATTAAACGTTGAAATATGAACACTTTAATTAACGCCACCCTTTAAACACGGCCACAATCATAAAACTTTGCGGCGTTTTCATGTCAATAATCTTTGAAATGAAAAATACTAATAACATTGCCCAAGGTGCGCAATTGGGTTAAAATGCCTAGGCTATAGCCTAAAGTTTATGACATAATATTATAGACTGGAAATCGATGTCTTTGATTCTTCAAAAAGTGTGAATTGCCAACGCCAAAAAAATAGGGAGAGTACGACTTGATGAGCTTGATTCGTTGATTTCCCGCGTATTTTTTTATTTCGCTGTAAACATTAGAACTACCGGAAAATTCAAAACGAAACGAAGAAATGCTATGTGCTGATAATACGAGAAGGCGTCTATTTTAAATGCCAAGATAACTTTGATTCTAACTTACGGAGAGTGATGAAACATTGACGGAGTTCGATCGTGGACATATTCTGCTAACACCAAATATATATAATCACTTTGATTGCCGATTCTTTTCAAAAAGATAAATGTGCGATTAATCAATTATGTCATGTTTATTTTCAGATTGCGGTGGGGGACATCAGCCTCACTACACTGTTGTCTTGTTTATATTAATTTATACCAACATTTTTCTTAAAAACATTACTCGGCATACCTCCGGGCCCCTCTAGGCTCCTCTAGGCTCCAACCCCGGGACAAGTGTCCCAGCTGCCCCCCCCCCTCCGTCTCACGCGTCCTGACTGGGGACGAGCAAATGTTGATATTACAAAGTTTCATCACTTTATTTAGATTTAAAATACAGATGTGACGTCATCCTTTGATGTTGGAGTACCATTATTTCAAATAATCGTACGGGCAATGTGCCAAGCGTAACTTCGTAAAATATTGAACTCGAGTGATGTATTTCATTGAAAAGCACGTGCAAGTGTCTGTATTTTAAGTTGTTTAATGGTCTCGAACTTAATGTAGTATGATTGGAGGTTTTATTTTAAAAACCATTATTAGCGTCTCCTCCCAGAATTCAACGAATGTCACCGAATGTCCAACAGACAAATAATATTCATTTATTGGAAATAATGAGTTTGCCACATGGCTGTATGGATTGATTTTTTTTATATCCAATGGGGTGTTGTAGGAAGGGTAATAATTGTTACACTTTGTGACAGTATTACACTAAAGGTTGAATTTTTTATATTTAGGGTGTTTTGAAGATAAAGATGACCTAATCTGTCAAAAGGACAAACAGTGGAATATATTATGTTAATGTTACAGGATTCATGTTCCAATGGTCCCATCCTCAAATGAAACCCCAAAAAACAGTATATGGAGTTTTACATAGTTTAATATTTTCATACAATGTCTTTATATATTGAGAATACTTTATATATACATGTTATTTACATAAAATCAATAGATTTATAACCTAATATTAATATTATATTATAAAATATATTACCTTCTGTATTTTCAAAGATAATTTAATATTGCAGACTATAGGTCACTTCATCCTTTAATAATTTCTTCAATACTAAAGACTATTTGGCTATACAAGCAACCAAGTCCAATAACACAAAAAGTATTTACAAAGAATTTGCTTTCTTATATGCAAATGTTCCAAGAATTAGTCTTAAGAACTTCAATGATTGTATGAAATTTAGAAAAATTAATCAAAACAAATAATCAATTTGAGCAATTTTCGGAATATGAAAAATATGTATTTGATAATAATAGATGTAATTAAGGGCGTTGATACGCACCCATCGTATTAGGACTTTGCATACTTAAGTTCCATGTGTAAAATAAAACAGAGGACTTGTTACTTCCCTTTACGAAAACTTCTTTTTCATTTAACGATTTTTGGGATTGGTCGATAAAAATAGCACAATCATCAAGGGCGGATAACTTGAAAACGTGCCCCCCCCCCCCCCAGATTAACCCAGGGGTTAGTGGAGTAAAACGGAATTAAACCACTGGGGATACCGAGGATGCCTGGATCATTGACATCTATCTATATATGTCCTAGTCTACGGAATGAAACCACTGGGGATACCGAGGCTCTCTCTCTCTCTCTCTCTCTCTCTCTAAATAAGCAGGGGACTATTAAAATTGGTTCACACTATTTGGGACACATTAACTCTCCTAATTAGCTAGAATTTTCTCTCTCACTCCTAATTAGCTAGAACGAACACACACACGCACACGCGCACACACACACACGAAATAAGCAGGGGACTATTAAAATTGGTTCACACTATTTGGGACACATTAACTCTCCTAATTAGCTAGAATTTTCAAACTTGGTGAATGACCTTGACTAAGTTCGATAATGGGCATTTTCGACCCATGCATGGTAAACAGAGCGATAAGCAATTGGATAGGCCAAGACTTTGTTGCTCGATAACTTTGATTCTAATTACAGTACACCAGCACTTTCTGCTCAGGCATACAGGCATGGGAACACTGCTATAGAGACAAACCGGTCAAGCTTACACTGGCCAATTAGTGATAATTACCGTTTTCAAGCGAGCTTGAATAATAAAAATAAAATAAATCGGGTTCACCCAAGTGACATTGAATCAGTATGGCCTTCTCAAGAGTGTTGAGCAAATACTTTTTCGGTTACCCGTGACTAGAAGCAATAGTCAGTGTCCCTAGCCTTACATTGAATAAAATTAATATTGCATTGTCAACATTGAGAATAATTGTTACACTAACAAAGTAACAACATTGATTCAATGTGTATAAAGCAACTTCAGTTGAAATGTTGGACTTTAGGTCGAAATAAATACGATAACAATGTTCTCAGTTTCAACCAAAAAAATACCCCAAATCACACAGTTGACTGATGCAGATTCGTGATTGAATTATTATAGATTAATTTTAATATTTTACAACAACATAACATCAACATGACAACACCGGATCAATGTTTTCGGTTCAATCCACACACAGAGCCCAAGATGAAAAAGTTGAAATGACATTGTTTTACTATAGAAGTCTGATGATTGTCATTAATAGCATTGAATCATTGTATATTTTTAGTCAAGTGCTTACTGAGATGGTGAGAATTTTCTGCTTAGCCTAATTAATAATTTGATTGGTCAAGACTTTGGAACATAGCAGCTCTGCTTTTAATTGTGGTAGAATGTTTAAACTTGGTGTAGATGTTCATTAGCTGAATGTCTTGACTGGGTTTGATGATTAACATTGTCCACTCCAGCTAATAAGAGCTAAGCAATTTCATTGGTCAGTGCTTTGGGACAAGATAACTAACTGATTGAGAGTGATGAAAATTAGTGTATAGTTTCACTACCAGGTAGTTCAAAACCTTGACTGAGTTCGATCGTGAACATTTTCTGCTTATACTAAGATTAGATAATCAGTTTGATTGTTCGATACTTTTCAAAAAGATAAATGTGAAATTAATTAGTATGTGTCATCTATTTATTTTGGGATATCGGCGGGGGACATCAGCCTCAAGTCACTGTTGGCTTGCTTTAAAATGGCTATAAGGCAATATTAATATTTTTCTTTTTTATTAAATGGATATTTTAACATCTGCCTTGGATGGTCATTCTATCAATTTCTTTAAAACAACCAATTAATATTTTTATATACTTTATGGCAACTTTATAGCTGTAGAAAATGATTATCTTATTGTCTTTTAATAGTTTTACTATTGGGTTATAATTGTACAAATCCTTCACAGACAGCTAGACTAAATAAAAAGTTTTCAGTTGCAGGTGGCATCTTTCTTTCATGTAATGTTTCTAATGTAATATTTGACTTTCCTGAATCATCCTCCACTGCTAATGATTTTAAATTGTTCAGTAAATCTTTGGTTTTATTAGTTATCACCTATTTAAAATAAATAAAAAGTAAATTCATTAATATAGCTAATTTATTCTATAAAAATATTCTATAAATAAAATTCTTACAAAGATTCACTAGAAATATACACTAAAAAACATATCTGGAATAACAATTACTGTTTATTAATACGCCGTGGTTATATACAACAAGTTGTAAGAATTATTGATGGACTATTCTTAAGACATGGTGGAGTTCCAGTAGCACATGTGCAAGTCACAAAATGCTGCACTTGTACCTTTTTGCAGTTGGCAATGCTTTATCTTTACGATGTGATTGTTATAAGAATAGTCAAAGCGTTATATATATGCAACATTTCGACAGTGGTAATGTTAACGTGAATGCGTCACATTCAAAGGACTACTTACTTTAATGATGTCCTGCCCTGAATTTTCAATATTTTCTGCAGCTTGAACCATGACCATTGCAATATCTTTATGTAATTTACCCATTGCTAAAGACTCTACAATACAAAGAAAGGGCCTATAATAAGGTAGTGATACAAAAACAAGCATTCTGAGAAAATTGTTGAAGCAATACATGTTCCCCACCTACAGGCCCATAATAAGTTATCGTGTCCCAAAGCATCAACCAATCAAATTGCTTATCTATGCTTACCCTAAGCAGAAAATGCTCATCTTCGAACTTCATCAAGGCATTGACCTAATAAATACCTACATCAAGTTTGAACATTCTTGCTCAATTACAAAGAGAGTTATTGTGTCCCAAACAGTGTGACAGACGGACGGACAGACAGACAGACGAACCCATTTTAATAGTCCCCTGCTTTCTTCGAAAGGCGGGGGCCGAGAAGCCAACAGTAAGGCTGATGTCAACCGTCGAAATCCCCCCAAAAATAGATGACATATAATAATTTATTGAACATTTATCTTTTTATAAAGCATCAAATAATTCCTCTTATTTTATTCTACTCCGTTATTTTAAACTGGCTTTTACGACCTTAACATTGTTAACCTGATACCATTGACTAACAAACCTAGTCATTAAATCAAACAAGTGATCATTGTTCTAAACTAATATTTAGTATATATACACATATATAAAGTGGTTAGAAATTATACAGTAGACATTAAATAGCAGGTATGTAACTAGCTGTAAAATATGTTACTGCTTGCATCAACAAATTGAAAAAATCACTCCCCTAAAAAACCTCTCCCAGTTTCGATAAGAAGAATGATTTAGAAATTAAGGAGAATGATTTGATATTAAGGAGAGTGATTTGTGTGTATGGGAAATGGTTCTGATGATCAATAACTGCTTACTGCATGTTATGGGATCATTCCAGGTTTCATAACAGATAATAAACCCCCGAGGACTTTATAAAGGAGAGTGATTTTCAATTTTAAGGAGAGGGAGAAAAACCTCCCCTCGGTCGACATTCAGGTGAGCAGCAGGCGCCCGAGAGCGATCGCTTGCCTTAAAAAACAATGACTGTGCTTGTGTAGAAGCGCGACTGATTATAACCCCATCACTATTAAATACACAAACCTGATCAATAGTTGTGTATTTCATTCAATAGTCAGTTTTAACACCTTAGTGACATAACACCTACTTACTGACTACAGCCTGAATACAAACATTTTTAACAAACTAATAAACATGATGTATTTGTGCTATATATTTTCATTTATAAAAGTTAGTCAATGATTACGGAAGCGTATAGGGGCAATGCAAAATTTTGTAGAAGACCTCGAGATCCTGTGGACCTATAATACTTTCTCGAGATTCTCCCATCCTGTGTTAACGATCTTGAGAATTCAAGTTAATATTTTCGGGATCTTGACCCCTGTGTAAATTTTCCCAGAGATCTTACACTCTTTACTTTCAGCTCCCGCATCGTTCTGGAGTTAACCCCCAGCTTTTTACCAAAAACCCTGTTATCGCAATAGACGCTGCAGTTTTTTTTAACTGATTTTGTTTTTCAAATGTGTTGTAAAGCACTGAGGTCTTTCGATTTTCAGTACTCCGCAAACTTCTGTTACAGAGTTACCATTTTTGTCCATATTTTTTCCTTAATATAACCCACCCCTCTCCCAGAAAGCCTTGTTAACTTCATAGATGCTTCACTTTTTAAATTTTGTGTGAAGCATTGGGGTCATGAACTCTATTGATATTCAGCGCTTAGCGATCTTCCGTCCCGGAGTTACACTCCATTTTTTGACAAACCTTGTTAACGCGGTAGAAACTTTCGTTTTTAACGGATTTCCGATATTCAGTGTTCCGCGACAAGGATGGCCCTTGTTGAATTTCAAAAATATAGATCCTTATTCAATTTATTCAACATCCAAGTTTAGACATAGATGCTGCGTGAGAGTCTTTCCACACATTACGTGGCTATCTTTCCAATTTCTTTTGAAGCACTGGTATCATGAGTAGAGGGACCCTTTTTATTTTCGGTGTTCCGTGGGATTTATCCTTGTGAACGGATAGAAGCTAGATTTTCGGAGGGATTGTTGCAACTAGAGAATGAACCTTATTGATTTGCAGCGCTCCACGACTTTTCGTTATGGCGTTATTCATACTTTTCCGTCTGGTGAACGCAAGAGTTTTTCAAGATTTTTGTTTTAAAATCCACTGCGAAGCATTTGGGCCACAAGACAATAAAAGAAATATGGCCTGAAAACCAAATTATGACATTTTCAATAAAACATCGCCCACACATTAAATTGAAATAATTTAACAAGAAAGTCTGTAATTGAAAGATTCACACATTCAAAGCTAACACAGTAAGATATATAATTTTCTTATTTGGTATGAAGCATTGGGACCATAAAACGATGAACCCTGTCGATTTTAATCATTTTTCAAATTTAGTGTAAAGCATTAGGACAATAAGAGAATGAAGAAACCCTATCGATTGTCCGTTTATTCTTTCATTAGTTAGCAGTTTTCCTTTGTAACAAATGCTAGAGTATTTTTTTTCATCAAAGTTGGTTCTAATTATTGGACCAATAGTTGCTTCACAACGTGGAGACACTATCATATAACGTTTCATATTAACTCAAGAAAATTTACACAGGATGTCAATATCTCGAGAACATTAACTCGAATTCTCGAGAACATTTACACAGAATGTCAATATCTCAGGAAAATTATCAGGAGATTTCGAGAACATTAAATTGAGATCTCGAGAAAATTACCAGGTGATCACAGGATTTTGAGAAAGTATCACAGGATCGCAGGATCTCGAGACCTTCTACAAAAGTTTCCATGACCCCTATACGCTTCCGTAAAGGATATCAAATATAAACTTTACAGTGTAAATCGTTATCTTTTATTGTGAGTTTTCTTATATGTACTTAGTTTACTCATTTTATATTTTAATCCTTTTATTGTAAAATGCCTCTGAACACACTTGTGAAAGACGTGTGTTACATAAAATGATCTAACAAGAGCTATAAAGAAATTTACATACCTTTAGCTTGTTGTGCTATTATTATTTGGTTAGTAGGAACATTAACAAACACATCATATAATTCTGATCTAAAATAAATAAATTATATAATAAATGTTTCAGGGTGTCAGGATTGGAGTCCCCTGGCTTGGATACCATCAGATTCAAAAGATGCCCATCAAGATCGAAAGATTTTGGAAGATGACACATCTTGCCAAACCTTCAAAGGCTAATATTTTGCTCAGAATAAAGTAATTTGAATGAAATTTTCAATATATTCATTTTGCATTATCTATTTTTGAACTAGTATAGCAAAAACAGCCAGCCCTTTGTCTAAATTTTACATAATGTATCTTTAAATAAACTGAGACATCAAATAGAGAAAAAATGTATGTAACCTAGTTTTGAATGACATCTAATTTAATAAATGTAAGTTTAACCACACAAGTTTAAATTTATCCAGTTTTATTTTTATCTGTAATATTATGTTTTAATATTTTCAACAAAATAATCACTATCTTTTTTATAGTTTCAAAAAATTCCCCCATCCTAGGCTAATCAGCAGACGTGTCAACCCCCAGGTATGAAAAAACAGGAGAATCCAGGAGATTTTTTTTTTCATCCAATAACTTCATTTTTATTAATCATAGGCTAATACTTTAGTACTTTTTACACTGTGCACTCGTTTATAATGCATACAACAATGAACAAATGAAAATTCCTTTTGGGTTTCGGGTCAATAATTTTAAATGACAGAAAAAAAATTTTTTTGAAATATTTTGTGAAAATATAAATAAAATGTTACCCAAAAGACTTTAATACGGTAGTCCAAATGTGTTTTCAGTCATATCATAATAAATAAGAATCGGTCGTACAAATTTAACAACTCAAATCCGCGAATAATAGCCAGTTAAAACTTATGAAAATGTAATAATTTGAATGATAATATATAAAATATTTATAATCTTGATAATATCAGATAAAAAGCAAGTTACATTTAGTCAAAAGTAGCAAATTTCAATCTGCAAAACCAATAAATCCCGTTGTCTATGGCTGTAATCGCGTGAATGGAAATCCCCGGAAACGTTACGTCAGAGCGGTATTTTCCCGCAAGTGTCTCCCGTACATAAATGGTAGTTGCGCTTATATTTCGATAACTTTTGAGTCAGATTATTTGCATATATTGTGATTGATATCAAAGTATTATAATACAATCGCTAGTAATATATTTAACTGGAAATGTAATCCAAAATCGCAGATTAAAAGTCAGCTAAATTTCAGCCAATGGCTTCTGATTTCACGCTAAAGTCACGTGGCATGAAATGTTTACTCACTGCCAGAGAATTGTCAAAATCGCATAGACAGGCATTTACTAGCCATGGGGTAGAATGATGGTTGTGGAAAGAACCTTGTACAGGTCTCTATTTTATTTGGTACGCTCATGTACTCTGATATCATTTACTTTATTTACTCCAAACAATTCACAAACACATGTTGGGCTGTCAAGCGTACGTATTACCGGAATTATAAGTTTCCGGTCATATTCAGCCAATCATGAGGTCGATTTATGAAACGAAAGTAAGGGAGTTACCTCCCTTTGAAAAAGTAAAACTAGAATCGGCAATATGGCCATTTTCTGTGAGAAAGTTCCTCCCGCACAGGAGATCGGGAGATAGGTCCCGAATCCGTGAGTCTCACGGAAAAAACAGGTTGGTTGACAAGTCTGCTAATCAGTGATTTTCACAATGTGAAACTACATTCAGTGTGATTTAAATGGCTTTGTTTCACAAATGCCTAATATTGCACCTATGTACCTGCCCTCTACAGCAGCATCAGTAAATCCAGCAACATAATGACTAGATGATTTTAACATACTTAATTCTTCATCTCTTAATTCTAAATATGGATAAACAATACCCCAGTTCTGTCTGTGCCATGCAAAAGCTGGTAATGCGCTGAAAAATTGAATACAGAAAATGGAATCAATAATATTCAAACTTTACTGTCATCTTCTCCATTTTATAAAACTGTTATCCAGTTCAAGCCTCTTGAATCTTTTAGTAGTAGTTTAATTTAAACAACATTGTATTCAATATATACTGAATTTGGAATGGGATTGAACAGCCTAAGCTCATATAAGTTTTCTCAAGACCATTGTAGAATGGCTGTGTATTGGTTAAAAAACATTTAGCTTCCAAGTTCAAACATTACCCAAAATTTGAAACTCTTTCACATGTTTGGACTATTCCATTAGAGGCATTTAGTTAATTGGATACAGCAGTAAACTACAACACATATTTTGAAGACCAGTTACTAATTTATTTGCTTCTTCCTTGGACAATTGCACACCGATTGACAGAGTTTGATTTTTTATATGATGTCATCATTCCAAGATAGCGACGATGGTGTCATGTTTGGTTCCTAGTTGATATATCATAACTCAGACAATAATCATCACAATACACTTCTTCGACTCATGAACGTAAAACTGATGGCAACTTTAAACTCTAAAAGCATCTAGAGAGGTGGCATTTAACAAATCTAGGGCAATAGCACTGGCAGTAATTATCGGATGGACTGGGGTGACAACAACATACAAACAATAAGTGAAGAATTACTATTAAAAAGTAATATTTAAAGATGCATTCATTATATAAGAGCTAAATCTTCCTATTGTAGATCTTTTTTAAGCTTCAAATGTTATATAAACTATCATTTAGACATTTATTAACATGGAACGTCCATATTCAACTGTCTAGATCATCGGATGGCAGAGATTTAAATAGAATAGAACGCCCAAAAGATGTTAAAACTAAAGATAAAATGGATAGTTGAGACTTAGTCTCATTTGTCCTTTACCGCTCCTACGGTAATAAACAATCAACGCAATCTGATTAAAATACATTTCGTTTCGTTTTTTTATACTTTCGACAGCCTACACTACATGAAGATCTGACAAGTTACAGTGTGAGTTCATGTCAGGGGTCAAACAAGCAGCTTTTGATTAATCAATCAGCTTTGTCGTTTCTAGTGGTTTACCCACAGTTCCGTGAATAAAAAGGCCAAGAACTCGCCATAACAGATCGATTCATTGGCTAATTCCTCAAATCAAGTAGAACGCCTGTTATATAACAAGTCTTCACCAGATCCGAGTATAGTAAAGACAAGTAAAACGAAATTTTGAACTATAAAAACGAAACAAAATAGGATCTGTGTTATAACCAGATTGCAATCAACGCTACATCTTTCAACACTAATAACTTTGCTCAGAATAACATAATTTGACTGAAATTTTCAATATATTCATTTTTCATTATCTACTTTTAAACTATTATAGCAAGATGGCAAGCTCTTTATCTACATATTACATAATGCATCTTGAACACTGAAGAGATATTATTATAATACTGCCCGGGTTAAATTTTTTTTAATACATTTTGAATTATTCTTTTTTTTTACATTGAACACATTGCTGAGTCAATACATGACAATATGTAAGATAAATATAAAAGCTTTCATATCTGCAGGGGAGATGTAGTTTTTATTATTACTATCATAATACCTACCGTGTATATAGAAGTAAATCCTGTAGTGAAGGACAGTATATAACAAGTCTCTTCTTTAACAATAATGCTGTATAAATTAAAATACTCTCTACACCAAACGTATCAATTACCACTGAAAAATAAACATTTATAAATAGATTTCCTTCATAAAATTATATAGTCCAATCATTTATGAAATTTGGTTGACCTGCACTGTCAATGGAGCAGATTAGCTCCTGCTGGAATTTGGAACAGCAACCTTTCAAGCTTACACAATATCCAGTAAGCAATTAATATCTCAATTAGATTGTATTGAAAATATCAATATGTCCAACAATAAAAAGCCTCAAATTTTATAATGAAAGAAGCATATAGCCATCGACAGTTGCATATCAGAAAGGAAAACTTGGATACTGAACAAATTTGACATTAATTAAAATAGGATTCACTGCCAACAACTGCCTTAACTTATACTACTAGAACAATTAATATCTCAATTAGATTTTATTGAAAATATCAATATGTCCAACAATAAAAAGCCTCAAATTTTATAATGAAAGAAGCATATAGCCATCGACAGTTGCATATCACAAAGGAAAACTTGGATACTGAACAAATTTGACATTAATTAAAATAGGATTCACTGCCAACAACTGCCTTAACTTATACTAGAACAATCTTCAGGCAAACCATGCTATAGCCCCAATATCCCAAGTAAATAAATTTTAAAGATAGCTTCGCAAAGTGTGGAATAGGCCCACACAGCAGCTTTGTCTAAACTGCAGCTTAGCCGAAGGGAAAACTTAACAGGCATACTCCATAAAGTGTGCTATGAGGGAAAATTTGCCCCAACAGCGGCTCTATGGCCTACTCTTATATCGAATTTCCAAATGCCAAGAGATCTTTTAAGAGCTCGCTAATCTGTATACGGGACCTTGGTTTTTCAACTGTAAGTTGTTAAATGGCAGGCCCCTCTGTCCTGCACCACTGACAAGGGTGAACCCTGCCGGAAAATCCAGATGAACTTTCTCAGCCAACACTGATATATCGAACATTGGACTTTCAGGTTAAAGTGAGCCAAGACTTATTCACTGAGTCACTGTGGCACCGATTAATATCGATAGGGATCAAATTGGAAGGAAATCCATTGAAAACTAAAGCCTCTATTTAATTGCCTTCACAATGTTTTCGGGAAACAAAGTCTCGGAATGCTCTCATAACCCCAATGCTTCATACCAAATTTGAAAAGAATCCGTTGAAAACTATAGCCTCTATTGTGCTCACAAGTTTTTCAGAAAAGGGGGCACAACTTGGAACCAAAAGCAGCGGAACACTGAAAATCGATAGGGTTCGTCCATTTATGACCACAATGCTTCACACCAAATTCAAAGAGAATCCATCTAAAACTGTAGTCTCTATCGCCTTCACAAGCCAATCTGTTAAAAATTGTAGCTTATATTATCACGTAAAAGTCCAGTCAAAATAAGAGTTCACCTAAAACAAATTGCAACAGAAGGTTTCTTGGTACTGTTGTGTTCGTGGGATCATCCTCTACAACATATTCAAATATCTCTGATTTTCAACAAGGGGAAAATGTGTGAATTACATAAATTCAAAATGGCTGTCAAATGTACCTTTAATATGACATTTTCACCTTGGTAGTCTATGACATGTCCCAAATAGTATCAATCTTTTTATCTTTTTCAAATTCTTTTCTGGGGTTGATTCACCACCCCTCCCCATCCACAACTGCACCTGGTAGTATATGCGAAACAATGATACTTTGCAACATCTGAAGTTGACATCAAGTTTTGAATCTGGACAGAGGAGAAAAGCTTTCCACTCTGTTTTTCCCTAAGCTTTCTCATGCTCAAGAGTTCTAGTATTTAATTTGTTCGTGCACCACACAAACACAGTTCGAAGTTCGAATACTCTTGATTCTTTTTGAAAGGGTCACTTTTTCCAATTCTAAACAATTTAAATGTTGTATCACATTCAGCGATAGCATGCACAAACTGAAGGTATCAAACTCTGTCAATAAAGAGAACTTAATAGATATTTTGTGTGAACAACTTGAAGATGATAATGTGAAAACATTGAAGGCACATGGGGATGCTGATAATGTTCATTGCCTGGACAAGAATTGAATATGCTCTGCCAGACAGTACCAATGTGATTGGGAAGGACATTGATATTTTAGGTCTGACAAGGATACACAACTTGATAAGTCCAAAGATGGTTGTTGGAACATCAACTTGAGGTCGAGAACATTTGGGTGAGAACGTGATGCACAGAGCCTTTCGTATGGTGATACCCTTGTGCATGCCATAGTTGGTTAGACACATGTTCCTGAAGCAACGACCGCAAGTTTTATAACATCTAGACATTGCTACACTGCTTTGTAATTCCTGAACTTATAGCTACGTTATCTCCCTTTACTGCAGGCACCTGAATAGTAGTAGCGTCCAATCAGAGGTTGTGACACAAACAAACTCAAATCAAACATGGTGTCCTCCACAGAAACCTCGACATTGAATGAACCCTGAACTTTGCAACTCGATTATCACAGGTAGACATTTTAGCCGGAAAGCGCACGAGATTTGGTATTCGCGATGATCGAGGAATCTGATAGACTCTCAAGCTGGGTCAGTACCCAATCGAAATTAGTGCCGAAATATGCGGGGTATTATACTATTACGAGAAGGGTTTGATAAGATGTACGGAGTTAAAGCAAGATCATGCCATCTATTGAAGATGGGTGAGACACAACAATGAGATTGTTTGAAATTGGGAAGGGAGTAGCTCTCAAAAAGCAAGAGGATTGAGTCTTCCGCAAACACGCTGATGTCTTTGTCTGCAAACAATCCACCAATAATGGAATTAACGCTGAGAGTGAAGAGGTCCCGTTGCTTTTGTATGGTGGACAAACAATTGAAACACTAGAAAGCTTGCGCATGAGGTGCAGTTGTGAATGGGGAGGTGTGGTGAATCAAGCCCAGAAAAGTGGGGATGGAGACTTGCGAAAGATAAATTAGAGCTCAAAACAATTGACTCTGTACCAGCTCTAGAGACAATCCTCAAAAGCATCAACTGTGGCATTAAAGTAGAATGTGACACAGCAAAGTACACCAGGGAGAGACAAAGTTTGGAGTGTACTGATTCAGGCAGCACATGTAAAAGTTTCAAGTGTTGTGCAAGAGCAAGAAGAGAACGAACTTAAATAAGGTAAACCCGATTTGGGTACAATTGAGGACTGCACTGTAATTTAATGATCATGTGATTATTTACATTTCAATTTCTAGCGGTTAACTTCTTCCAAGGAGCTCAGTCACGTCTTTGAAAAGTCTATACTGACATCATCATGTAACGTCAAAATAAAACGTGATGACGTCATGGGGTTCATTTATGATAATTTCTAAGTAGATATTCTAACTCACAGGGGTCATGTTTCTTTCTGTAATAAATAAATAAGGTGAGAACTCAATATTAAAGGAGTTATGAGACTCCAAAAGTACATTTGGTGGCCGTTTCAAATTTATTCAAATTAGGCCCTATCCCTGGTCCGAAAATCAGAGAACTTTGGGTATGTTGTAGAGGATGATCCAACGAACACAACAGTACCAAGAACCCTTCTGTTGCAATTTGTTCTAGGTTGCCCTAAATTTAACGTAGATTGACTGGACTATTAACAAGTTTTTTCGGCAAAGGGGGGATATTTCTGGAACAGAAAGTCATGGAAAGATAAAAATCAATATGGTTCATCCTCTCATGACCCTTGATGTTTACCACCAAATTTGAAATTTCTTTTTTAAAAAATATAGCTTCTGTCACCTTAACAAGGTTTTCGGCAAAGGGGGGGGTAAATCCTGAGCGGAAACTTGTACAGCACTGAATATCGATAGGCTTCATGCTCTCATGACCATAATGCTTCACATGAAATTTGAAAAAAATCCAATTGATAACTACAGCTTCTATTGTGTTCACACGGTTTTCAGCGGGAAAGGGGAACAACTCTGAAACGGAAAGTTGCGGAACCCCGAAAATCAATAGATTTCGTCATCTCATGACCAAATTTGAAAAGAATCCATTATCAAGTTCACAAGCCAATTGTTGTCGGATGGACCGGTGACGACATAATAGACCCACACTGAAATGTGGTCATGTAAAAATAAACATAATACCAACTCACATCTAAGCTGACTTTTAGCATAGGCTTGTATGGTATCAAATTCTTTTAACGAAAATTTACCATTTTCACCATTAACACAAATACCTCTTGTCATTACAGATAAATAATTTTCTAGAACAGAGGCAGGATTTCCTGTTTGAGCATATTGATGAGAAAATAAACGACAGAGAGTTTCATATCTTTCTGGATTAAAATCTTTAGTTACCAACACTAGTGAAAAAGCTGTTACCTGAAATAAAATTTTAAAAAAAGTATCACAATTTTTTTAGAATGTCTACATCTCGAGGTCAATAAAAAGTGGTATCAAGTGTTCTAGCACCAGTGTTATTTAATCTACAAAACAGAATAAATTCTAGCCGTATTAAAGATTTACATTAATACTGAATGATAATTACCATTTCTTTATTAAATTACTATAAATGCATATAAATAGTCTCTTAAAGATGGGTTCCCAGAACAGTATTTATCGGGTGGTTATTTCCAATAAAAGTATGGTAATTTTGGTATATATGGAAAGTAGAGATATCCAATAATACTGGATTCCCCGAAAAACACTCATGGAGCGTATACAGGACAAAAATGTAAGGGTTCCCCTAATCAACAGCCTGACGATTAGGAATTTCTGCACGCGTGATGTCAAAGGTCACAAGCGAACATTGAGCACTTGATGTACAAGTTGATAAACGTTATGAAGAGTTAGACGTACAACACTTTCTGAGCTAAAAATGACAGAAAAAGACGCGGGTAGTGGATGATCCGAGAATTTAATTAGGATTCGATATTTGTAATAAATAGTAAGCGAATAAAGACAACATCGTCTTATGTACGCAATGAATTCTCCTCTGACTTCCAAGAGAGGTAAGTCACGTGACGTAAACATGACATGGTTTGATCAAATTTTTATAGCAGGACATTCCTTCGCAATTACAATGTTTGAAAAGGATTTGAAGCAAAGTTATGACAAATTAATTAGTTTGAATATGTTTTTAGTCCATATATACCATTAAATCACCCAGTTTGTACGCAGGAACCCATCTTTAATAGAAATCTTGAAAATTCTCAGCATTAAGTCTGTTTTCTGAAGAATCCTTCGTTGACATATAATACATGTAGTTGGTAGTCTTTATTTTACATTTGAATATTTTCATCATTCTTCAAATCCATAAAGTATTGCCCACACAAGCAAGTTTTGTTTCGTTTTGCATCAAATATCATATCGTGCTTGATAACAATAAGATAATACTTGTTGAAATGTTGTTGTTGTTTCCCATAAAAATTAAAAGTTGTGTTCTGTTAATGTGTTTCTCAATGGTTAAATGCCATTTAAAGATAATGTTTAACATCAAACAACTAATTGTCTATGTACAGTGGTCCACGTTAAAAAAATTAAAACTGATCTTTGGGCAATATCTGACCAGATCTCAACAGTAAATTCCACACCACAACAGTGGCTTTATCTACAGACTGGAGCCATGGTGGCTAAGTGGGTAGGACTCTGGTCCGCTAGCCTGGAGATCTTGTGCTCAATCCCTGCATTGTCAGTGGTGCACGACAGAGGGCCTGACAAGGACAGCTGTCTAGTCATTCGGATGGGACGAAAAACCTTGGCCTCATGTACACATTGGTGTGCACGTAAAAGATCCCTTGGCAGTTAGAATTCTGTATAAGAGTAGAGCGTAGCGCCGCACTGTCCGGGCAAAATTTCCCTCATAGCACACTGTATGGCATATATGCCCATCTTCATTAGCCCAGTTGGAGCAGAACAGTAGGACGTTAAACCCCATTTCATTTCATTTCATTTATCTACAGACTAATATCATCCCAAAAACCAAATCAGTCTTGATTTACCATGTGGACCAAATTCCAGACTCGTAGTTTATGATAAGATCAGGAAGTCTCTTAAATGATCTGGATGATGGGATTGCTTTAAGGTAGCATTTTACAATAATCAAAATAACCTCTGAACAACGAGTTTGTTGGTGATATACAACTTACATCTTTAAGTCTACTCTCTGTGTCATCTTCTAGATAAGTTGTATAAATATAAAACCATGTATACTGTAATCTACTAAAGATAAACTGTAAATGGTGAACAGAGTCTTTACATAAACCACATTTGTGTAGAAATAATTCTCTCTGTATTGTTGTCAATGACGGGTATGACCAAGTCCATAATACATCTCCATTTACATCTTTCTCTAAAAAAATAATTAACATTAGAACAGGATGTTAGCAATAAAATAAAGAGAAATGTTTATGTTTAAGAACAGCAAGGTGTAAAGTTTATTTTTTAAAAAAATGAGAACTTAGATTTTTGAGTCTCGATTCTAACTATAGTAGCTAACACAGCTATAAGAAGCCAGAAAAATCTGGAGTAGGGGTCCAGTCAAACCAGTGCAGTTCCAATTGACAAATTCCACATTCAAAGGTGAAATCTGTTTTATATTTTAAAACAGTAACCTGGAAGCTTGTAAATAAATATATGGGGATCACATGGCTAAGTGGGTAGGACGCTGGCTTGCTAGCCTGGAGGTCGGGTGTTCGATCCCTGCATTGGCCGAGAAAGTTCATCCAGATTTTCCGGCGTGGTTTCCCCTTGTCAGTGATGCAGGACGGAGGGCCTGACAAGGACAGCTAGCTGTCTAGTCGTTCGGATGGTCCAAAAAAACAAGGTCCCGTGTACAAATTGGCGTGCACGTAAAAGATCCCTTGGCAGTTGGAATTTGATATAAGAGTAGGCCTTAGCGCCGCTTCCCGGGCAAAATTTCCCTCATAGCACACTGTATGGCGTATGCCCGTCTTCATTAGCCCAGTTTAGGATCAAAACAGTAGAACGTTAAACCCCATTTCATTTCATTTGTAAATATATAACATTGCTTGTGTCTGGCTGGCCTTGCATTTAGGCTACACCCTTTGGAGATGCCTAATTAATAGATTTAAAATAACCTGTTGACTCTTCAATTGTCTTACCTTTATGAGAGCCGAGTTGGATTTTCACAGAAGATTTGTCATAATAAATCTATTAATAGGCCTAGATGATCAATAAAATATATGACATAAAACCATGTATGGGAACATGTACAAGCAGCAGGAAATGGAATTAGTCTTCCACAGCAGAAAGAGGGCATTGAGTGCACAGCCTCATGTCAGACTGAATTAACATTCTTGTAGCAGCCTCTTCCTATTTCCAATTTGTGTAACCAGAGCCTGAATCTTAGTGATAAAAAGCGAAAAAGATAGAGAGAGAGAAATGGGGTTTAACTTCACTCGACACAAACTAGGTCATTTTGCGACTAACATATGGTTGAATTTTATTTCAATAATTCGCTTGCGCATACGGTAGGAGTCTTTAGCAGTGGGAGCTACCGGCGGACCCGGAGAAAACCCACGAGATTGGACAGGCGGCCCTACTCCTCGAACCGTACAACCAGGGAATCGAAACCACCAGTTGACTCAATGACAGACCTAATGATACAACACGCACGGGCTAACCATTCAGCCATCCAACCCCCCCAAAGCGAAAAAGCCGGTACTATTTCAGTAACGTACCTCTACCAGTTCCTGTGATCGTAGAGACTTTTCAGGGGGTATTCACGGGGACTAGCCATGACCTCACACCAAATTTCAGCCGAATCGGTCAATAACTTTTTATTTTACCGTAGTTTAGCTTCTATAAGAGATAAATTTATTGAGGCTCGAATGACGTCATATGTGGATTGTGGGTTAGGGTAAGGGCTAGGACCTGTAGATTTCGTCATAGTCTCAAGATGTAGACAGGGATAGCCCTAACCCTAACCCTGTCTTGTTATTCGAGTCTAAAAAGCCAACAAACAAAATGGCGTCAAAATCGGATAAACTTTCTCTCGTTATAAGCTAAACTACGGTAAAAAAAAAGGTTATTGACAGATTCGGCTGAAATTGGTGTGAGGTCATGGCTAGGCCCCATGAATACCCCCTGAAAATTTCAAGTCTCTACGATCATGGGAACTGGTAGAGGTACGTAACTAAAAAGCCTCGACGTACACCGGTACTTTAAATTACGGTACTTTAATAAAGTTTTTATTTTTTAACAAACATAGTATGCAGCAGGGTTGTTTATTGACTTTTCATACAGTCAATACGTTCCCAGTTAGTTCTGCATAGCGATGGTCAAAATTATTTTTGAAGTTTTAGCTTCTGCATTAAATTATAGGCCTACTGACGGTACTGTAAACTTATTTCATCCAACATCAACAAGGGGGCGGGGCTGTCTAAGAAACGCTATTTCATCTTGTAATTCGTTGTGTGTTTTACACAATAAATTATACGTCGGTCTATAGTCATATAAACTACTGAGCACCATAAAAACATATGTAACTATATCGAATTATTAACTACACCATAAACTATCAAACCTATTATTCCTGTTGACAGCAAGTCTACTCCTTGAGCCGCCATATTGCTTTACCGGTAGCCTACACATACCAGACTCTTGATTTATTATCATAGAAACAAGTCTTGATAATCTGGGCAAGAAGTCTAAAAATAGACTACTTTCAATTTGATCGGAGTCCTACTTTCAGTTGAAGTTGTCTAAAATAAGGAAATGAAATGGGGTTTAACGTCGGAATGTTCTGCACCGACTGGGCTAATGGCGATGGAGATACGCCATACATGTGTGTTATGAGGGAAATGTAGATATAGGAGTGACTTGTTTTCCAATCCGAAACACTCAAAGTTTAAAGATAGGCTATTATCAGGGCCATAACTAGCTCAGAGCAGAGGGGGGGGGGGGAATTCGCCCCCACTGGGTATTATTCAAGAGCTTATTCTGCCTATTAGCCTACATGTCTTTTTTAGGCCTTAAGTGTTTTATAAATTCTTATTAAACATTTTTAAAATGACATTATCAAATCTCTAGGCTATCGGCGGCTCCGATTTTAAGTACCGGTAGGCTAGATTAGAATGGTTCGGCCATTTTATTACTTAATTTCAAAATGGCGGCTCCGATTTTAAGTACCGGTAGGCTAGATTAGAATGGTACGGACATTTTATGACTTAATTTCAAAATGGAGAAGTGAGGCTAAGTCTCGAATATACCAGTACGGTGGCTGCGATAACAAACAATCAATGCACACATCTTGTCAAAATTAGAAACAGTGATAATTTGACAAGAAACTACGAGTATACATTATCGTACACAAGGGGTGGACCCCCCCCCCCTTTTTTTTCAATATTATGCTGGTTACAAGTGTCATCTGTTCTGCGCTCGGGGTTAGCTTTGTATTTGGAATGTTTCTTACTGTTGATATTGTTTTGGTCATTCTAGTAATCTAGATCTGAAAGCAAATCTAGGTATAGACTATAGCCTACTCTACCAACCCCATCAAAAGACGATTCTACATGGAAATGACAATCAAGTTATTTGTAGATTTGTATGGTTTTAAAAATACCTTATAATTCATATCCTCTCTGTTAATACCTCAAACATTTTTATTTACTCTGATTGATTATTATTCAGTCTTTATTTGAAGGTGTAGTTTGATCGTATTTGAATAAAATTATGCATCCAAAAACCTATTAATGTCTGGGATCTTAGATTACCCCTTGTTGCCGACAACGTTTTTCGCGCGATGTGTCCGCACAAGGGTTAAACGAAGGGAAGTGCTTTATCTCAGGTCATTTTGTAAGGTTTTGCAACTGCGGGGGCAAGGTAGGGGGTCCGGGCGGCGCGGTGGGGGGGGGGAGTTTCTTCCCCGCGAAAATTTAGAAATTTTGACCCGCCTGAGCTATTTTGAGAGAGAAAATCTATGACCTACCAATCATGCCCCCGCACTTTGAAGATTGTAGCTTCACTAGGGGCTCAAAAACTTCAGTAGGGGGCGTACATTGGCCCGAAAAAAAAATGGCCTGTTTTATCTTACATATTATGAACCGTCACAAGAAAGCAAACACACTGCACATGTTGGTTGTATATTACTTATATAGAATTAGAGAATAAATTTAACCGGGTTATAATAACCTATAAAATTAATATTTTGTTTCAAATGTTTAATTCATTTTCGGCTTACTGAATGCGTTCAGTGAATACAGATATAAAATCCAATGAAATCGGCAATTTTACTTTTGACTCAAATCACAGATCTCGTGTCATTTAATACATTATTTGCCCTGTACTAACGAATTGTACTCCAAAGTATTCTTTTAATTCCTCATATTTTATGCATGAATGTACCTTAGTTTAAACGTGAATGTAAGCTTATTTTAGAATAAAGAGTATGTGCTATTTGTACCATTTAACAAGTCGTCTTTATAACAGAGAAAGATATCTATAGGAGGTGTGTCTCTTCTCGGCTTTAGATGACTTGCACTCAACTCTACACTCAGCTATGCTGGATATCGTAACTTCATAATTATAACTTTTTTGTTTAATAAAAAGATTCGACGTTCTCATTGTGTGTTTTTCTTAGTGGACGCGCGTCTCTATATAATGCCTATTTAAAGAACGAAAAACGTCACATTGAAATAAAACAAAGATGTATCTAGCTACAATATGGTTGTTTTTCTCTATAAGTTTTGATGTTAGCTGAGAGATGATATCTACCACCTTATCATGTCTACTGTTTGTGGTTTTTATTGCCGCGGATGAGCAAATTGCCTTTTCTAAACCGATTATCGAAACTCAATATGGTAAGTTTTCTATAAGATTTTTTCTGCGATTTTGATTCATATTTTGACCTCGTATTAATTTATTCCATTACACAAAACTTATTGAAAAGTGAAAAGTTGTTTTGGGTGGTGTAGAAAAAGTCAACATGCACTGTTTTTCTTTATAATTTCCTCTTTCAAATATATTACAGACATAGTTCGGGTGGAAGAAATCCTGTCAAATCAAAGATCAAAAAGATCAACGGATGGTGATCTTCCGAAAACTATGTTCTTTCACATCAGATCAGAAAAAACAGACGCTAAATTAAGATTACGACGAGCCCCTAAAATAGAAATTCCAACATTTGTTTGTGGTAATGGAACAATTCATAGCGTGGAGATTGAAGATTTTAAGGTTAGTTTGCAAAACGCTAGATAAAGGTTTCGCTCTTTATAATTATGTGGTTCTACATAAATCTATCGGTTAGTCACCTTATCTCAAGGTTCGATCTCGATATTCATGGCTGGATTTACCAATAGATATACCAGGACATTGACCTAGGACGCACGGGTATAACCTTGTTTCAAGTGACACCGGGTATCCATAACCATGGGGTTCCTGTATATTAAGATAGTTTCCATAAATTTGGGGACCCACCGAAGAGTTTGATCCAGAGCTCCCATGTTAGAAGGTTCACGCCCGGTAGCCAACAAGATCAATTCATCGTTCACAGCTTGCTGGTTTGTATGTGTAAAATATCAGTTAGATTTGGAAGCTCCTTATTTGTGCTTGATAACGATAAGAGGATACTTATCGAAACGTCGTGCTTTTAGAATAAACTAGTGATTGTATCCCATAAAAACTGTGTTCTGTTAATGTGTTCACCGATCGCTAAATGCCACTAAAAGAATAGAATCCTGTTGGGGTGTCATTATCATGTGTTGCACCCAAGCTTCACATGGGATTCTGTGCGTCAGGGTTAACGCTTGGTAGTCAAAAAGAGACACGGGGTTCAACATCCACTCGACACAAACTAGGTCATTTCGGAACTAACATATTATGGTTCAATTTTATGTAAATAATTCGCTTGCGCGTAGGGGTATTTACCAGTGCGGAGGAACCGGAGTAAACCCAAGAAGTTGTCACATACAAGCGGTGAATCGAAACCACGCCACCTGACTCAATGACAGGCGTGATTTTCCAACGCGTACGATTTACCCTTTCGGCCACCCAAGCCCCCTCCCCTCCAGGCATGAGACCCGATTCCTTTCCGATTTGGTAATATATTTATTAGAGGTATCAGAGAAATGATCACATAACTATATATAAATTCTAAAGTTAGATATATAGAGATACGTTTGTTTGCTTATTTAGAAACATGGAATATTTCTTGATGATGATACTGGGCGTCCTATTATGGTTTCTAATAGAGGTAGATATTATGATCTGGTAAGAAGCCTTTTCTCAATCTGAATACAAAATATATACTTTACTTCCCTTAAACCGAAATTGGAAAAAGTGCCGGTCTCTTTTTAAAAACTTCGGGTTGCTTTTGGTTAGACTGTTTAGTAAACTAGGTCACCACTGCAAACCGAAGATATATTTATAGATAAAAGGGATTTTTTTTTAATGACATAGAAAAATAACAGGTATATTGACTGAAAGTGAATAGCAACTTCACAATAAATAAAGTAATTGTTGTTGTTGTTTATTACAAATTTAACGGCCAATACGTAAGGTATGATATTATGGACAGGTTGATTTAATTTAGTTATATTATACATATGAAAGAGTAATATATAGTAGAGGGGTAATAACACTCAAAATAAAAAGTTCTTGTATATCTAAAAGTCACTTTAAAAATACCGTTTAAAATCACTAAAAATGAATTTAAGTTCTTGTATATCTAAAAGTGAAGAGAGGGCGGGTTATCTTCTCTCTTTGTCATAATGAAAACAAGTTAAAACAGGAGGTCCAGCTGTTTGATGCCATCGCAGCGGATTGGAAAAACCCTGTGGGAAAATGAATCCTCTGTTTAATATGGAAAAGCGAAGTTCTAGCGGTAAAAACCAAATAGCTGGACCCGTGGAGTATTTACATATAAACATGTACGTGTTGTTCTTTCATATAATTTTAAAGTTAGTTTAAAGTCCTTTGACACAGATCACGAACCTAGTCTACACAACCAGTTATCTTTCCAGTGCTCTATTTTTGCAACTTACTTTCTTGCTATGAATTTTGGGATCGATTCATCAGTTTTATTTGACATATTCAGGGAGGGGGGGGGGACATTTTGGGGGGTATATTGAAGTTTGTAATCTTCCATTAAACTTCTTACAGGGAGACTTTTATCTTCCAATTTATTGCACGCAATGATGACATGATTAACGGTCAAAATGTGACCACATTCGCATTTCACTGGCTAATATTTGTGGTCGGTAATTAAATCTTTGGTTCTTAGACTTGTGATTAACCCACAAACTTTGCTCGATGGGTGGTGGACGTCCGCCTTTACACACCAGATAGTTATTAAATTAGAATCTAACGGTATTTGCCCAATCTCCCATTCTAATTAAATTTTAGTTTTAACGATGCTATTAAATTCCTGAACGCTATATTTTAAGTCTTCGGTATCGCAGAGGCTCATTGTCTACTATGCCAACATGAGATGGTATCTATGTAAATTCTACGGTTTTATTTTTGTTTTGGAGGGAATAAACACTTGCTCGAATATTCTGAACAATTTCTGGTCTAGGTGTTGTTATTTCATGTATTATTGATCTTATACCGCTCAGGGAGTCTGCTCTTCGAGCGGTGGATGACACAAGCCACTCAAGCGCTGTGGATATTGCCTTTAATTCTGCTGTATAGATCATTCATCTGGTAGCCTTTTTGATGTATAAAATTCTCGTTCTAACTGTGCCGTCGTTTTTCGATTCATGCCAGATTGAACGGTCGTCTGCATAAACCGCTACATCAGTAAGTTTGTTAATGTAGTAATTAGACTGAAGGCCATTAATCATGATATCAAAAAGTGTATGGCTACTAACAAAGCCGTGGGGTGTGCCATTTTCGATATCGTATTTATTGCTTATTGAGAGACCTACATTAACTTGTATTTGCCTATCGCTTAGAAAATCCTCGATCCAGTGGAACATTCGTCCTGTTACCTCTAGTTCATGTACTTTTTAAGTAGGCCATCCACCCAAACTAAGTCAAATGCCTTGGTCAGGTCGACGAATACTACACAAAGATAATTGTTCTTTTTAGACAGTGAAGTCATGATGAGGTCTTGTAGCCTTACAATATGATCAATAGGGGAGCGCTGTTGTCTATATCCAGTTTGATTTGAACTAATTAGTCCATTACTTTCTCAATAATATCTTAGCCTATTATTTACCATAGTGTCAAGTGTTTTGCACAACGTAGAGGTCAAACTTTTATCTTTTAATAACCGGGTTATCGTTGCTGTTTTCCAGCTTGTGGGAACTATTCTTTCTGACCATAATTTATCGAATAATTCAAGAAGTAAATTACGTAATGAACATGAGAGTTTTCTTAACATGCTGTATTTTATTTGATCTTCGCCAGACGCCGAGTCAATTTTGCCACTTAAACCTTTATGCATTTCATCTAGGGTAAAGGGTAAATCAATTGCTTTATGGTCATCTGCTGCGTTTCACGATAGTTTATTCCAATGAAATTCAGACTTCCGTTATAAGAATATTTCACTGATTTTTATCGCTACTGCCATGAGCAAAAGTTTTCGCTAACAGCTCTGCCTTTTCGCTATTTGTTATGGCTGATTGGGATTAATAATTAATTAAGCGTAGGAATATTTCTAGAAAAAACGTCTTCCGCTTATTGCGTGAATTTGTTTTCCAGACATTTGAAACTTTAGTTTGATCATTAGTACTATGACAGAATGCCTTCCAATGATTTTCTTTTGCATCTGAGATGACCTGTCTGGCGTTTGAATCACACTGCTTATACAAAGATTTATTCTCTGCGGACCATACGCGAAATAGTATTTTAAGTGATTTATTTCCTTGCAATTACCGCTGTTTAACATTCTGGGGACCACCAAGGTTTTTAGGGCGCCTTTAGTTTCCCCGCCCGTTGTTCTGGGGATTGAAGATTCTGCTACACTAATAAAGTAAGGAAGAGTGCGCTTTAAAATGTGAACCGCAAGTGTACGCTACAATACACACTTCTACGGATGACCAGTAGGGTTGATCAAATGAAAACAAAAATATTCTGATTATCTTATTATTACAAGATAACTATCTCGTTATTACAAGATAACTATCTCGTTATTACAAGATAACTATCTCGTTATTACAAGATAACTATCTCGTTATTACAAGATAACTATCTCGTTATTACAAGATAACTATCTCGTTATTACAAGATAACTATCCTGTGAATACAAGGCACGGAGAAGCCCATTAGGATCAATCACATGAAAAAAAGGGGTTCAAAGTAAATTATAGTTTTACCGATGCCGACTATCTTTTATGTTACAGAATTGGCAAATTCATGTCATGCTCCCATTAATATCATTCGTTATTTTAATGCCCCAATTAGTATATTAACTTCATACTCCCACTAACTTCATACTTTGATATCATTTATTCATGATTCTTTAATTTCATGCTCTAATTAAAGGTACGGAACGTTATTCACATTTTTCGGAAAATAACATTAAAATTTGATCACATTTTGACCGTTTATGTTTTCGTTCGTTCTGACTTTACACAGCTTTTAATGTTTGCAGAATTTGCAGAGTTTAACGATTTTATTTAAATTCTTCAGATAATTAAAAACTGTGCAAAGTCAGAATGAACAAAAACGGTCGACGAATCAGAGATTTTTAAGTTCTAGAAAAAATTGCGTTTGAAATTTGCGCTCTGTTGTTATCTCTGTGGCCATCAAAAAATAACATTTATTTGTGATTTAATATTTCATACATATACATGAGGACACTAACTCACTAACTACTATTACCTAACCAGTTTATTTGTTACTTGTGATACCTTTTACTTTGATAATGGTCAAATTTCATGATTGTTTCATTCGTCATAAAACAAAATGGTACGGTTCACATTCGCCCCAATTCGCCACTTTGTTAGATCAGAAAATGGTTGTTTTATCATGGACAGTTTTATAGCAGTTTTATCAGTTTTATCTCGATTCGAGAGAATATTTTATACAAATGTATTCATTTCTCTTGGTGTATAAAAGCAAGCTAATTGAACACGGAATCTGAAGGCCCCACAATACAGTAACTTACAAGTTAAATCATAACTTTTAGGCTAAACGACCATGGATTGGCTACGATGGCCATCAAATCAAAATGATCGGTTAATATTTTTTATTTAATGTGAAGCCAGTGACTTATAGTAAGGTCAGCTGTGTTCACAGTTTTGTCCTTTTTGGTTTTCGTCCGTTTTGATATATACAGTTTTGATCGTTTGGTTTACCGCCGTTTCGCCTATATCCCTTTTAAACAAGCAATTGCCATCTTTAAGTTTCGCTGAAACGTTTTATATTTGAAATTTAATACCGCTTCCCATTCATATATCACAATATATCATAATTATATATATCGGGGCGGGGGGGGGGGGGGTTCTTATTACTTTGAAAATATTTTCATATCAGTGGTTATGTGCTTAGGCTCTCGACTATCGAGGAATTTTTTCTTAAGTATTCTAAATATAGACCATTACTGTCATTTATACAGGTCAGGTAAAGTCACAAATGCTATGTCAAGCGATCTTCCAGCTAGGCATCTGAAAGAAAGGATCTTTTTAGTCATGCAATTTGAATCATATCAAGAGTAACAAAAATGGACAATAGGATAACAAACTTTATACATGTCACGTAACAAGATAAACCAGTATATGAGACAAAGGGAACAATCCTTTGTAGTTTCCGATATCTCCATCTTTTAATAATAGTAAGTAAAAACACTACTCAAATGAAAGACAGGGCAATCACTACTGAGTTACTTGTTTGATTTGTTTTTTTAATATCAAGCTAGGTTCTGTGAAAATAAATGATACACACCTCAATCTTCAACCCATAGAAGGTGGTCTACATAATCTTACAACATTTGAAGCAGTGAGTTATGGTGCCGATATGCTGGTTGGGGAAGGTACGTTGGACTTCTTATTAGTAGAACCCGTTGACATAAGCTGCTCACTTAGCATCTTCAATGAAACTATATGACTTGGGAGGTTGACCAAGCATTTGTCCGATTCCAGGTAGGTATACAGTAGAGGGCTTTCCTATGAAGGTACCTGTTTAACCCCGTGAGTTTATGTCGGGTCTTCTTGTTACTCATCAAAAGGTCAACAAGAGATTATACTACAGGATAAATGTCGATCCAAGTTAAAAAAAACTTCATACCTGTCTTAAATTAAAGCTACTAGTTTATAACAACATATTGTATTATCTGTTAATTTGATCATGATAGTTAATTGATTTGTGGTTCATGAATGTAATATGTTATTTCTGGTGACGAATACCAACTAAAAATGTCTGATCCACGAACGACCAAAGGATAAACTTGTAGACTGGACTAATCAGGCGCAAAATACTGCCATTCAATTTGGTCAGCTCATGTATTTCGTCGTACAGAACTGATTAGGAAATACAATAGATATTTAAGCACAGCAGTGGAATGTAAATCATGTGCTTTCAACCAATTTTCGCCTATATTAAGGTTCCAAAGTATAGTTATTTAGCGCCAGTGTATCTTGAAATAATTACTGTAATGTACACCTAAATTATTTGTTCCATTTTAAAGGTGTTAATCTAGAAAGAATTAAGGACGTGGCGAAAATAATGAAACGTAAGAAACGAAGGGTTCGGAACAAGCGCCAAGCGAATGTCTATACCGTAGAGGTACTGGTTGTAACTGATCATTCAGTTAAGGAAAAGTAAGTCCATTTTTTCTTTTATCTATGCAGCCGTTTAATAGTGATTCTTGAATTTACAATCCATGTTTTATCTGACAGCATAACACGTCTAATAGGCAGTGTGGCCAGGGGCGTACATAACGATTTTGTTTGGGGGGGGGGGTGTTTAGCGAAAATGCGACCGACTGATGCCCATACCCCTAGTACGAGTGACGCAGTCAGGAACCGAGCACCACAGGTGCGAGTTTTGTAGGGGCCATGTGAAGTAGCGGATCTAGATAGGGTTGGGGGGGCAAATCTAGGGCGCCACCTCAGCCACAATCCCACCCCACAATGAATGTCAACAAAATAATGGCTATAACATTAAGCGTCCCGGTAGAACATAGATGGTATTGTATAATTATATAGTTGTTTGCCGATCGTTGTCTCGCTGGAAAGCAGTTTTATTTAAGTTGACATAAAGTTTATGTCATATATGATTGTGTCTATAACACTGAGCAACCTGAGAAAATTTTGAAAAATTGAGTCAATATCTTGGCATTTGAGGTCATTGCAGGGATAAATTCTTGTGGACGAGGGGGCCAGAAATGTGAGTTAATTAGACAAAATCTCGAGATCTGCCCCCTGTCAATTCCGCCTGTTTTGCAAGAGTTGACAGAACTTTTGTATAGTCTGACGCCCCACGACCCACACACCAGTGCCAGTGGTACTACTAACATAACTAGGCAGTTCAGTATAACCGTGAATATGATAGTGCTGAGACAGTATAAGACAACAGAGGAGTGGAAGAATGATGTTATAATGGAATCGAGCGCCGCAGGCGCGAAAAAATTTGAGATGTGTAACCGAGCTTTTAATTTTTGGGACTGGGCCTGACAATTTTAGTCAATGTCATGGCAAATGGATCCACATTCTCGTTAACGAGAGGATAAGAAATGGGACAGAATCTCGAGGCCTATCTGTCAATGTCGCCTGTTTTGTGAGAGTAGAACTAACAATTCTACAGTCTTTTGACCCACGACTCACTCACTAGTGGTACTACTAACTGGGCGATTCACTGTAACTGTGAATATGATAGTGATGAGATAGTAAAAGTCAGAGAAGGAGTTGAAGAATGATGGCATAATGGAATTGAGCGCCGATATGTAACTGAGCTTTTAACTTTTGAGGACTGGGCCTGAGAGCACTTTACATCAATGGGGCGCTTACTTGGTCTCTGAAATGCCCTGGACTTTGGGGAGAGATTTTGCAGAATTCTGATAGTCAGAAAACACCCATTAATTCATTTAGTCTGAGACCGACTGCAGTGAACACTTTTTTTTGAGACCGACTATTTTTTTGCCATGGGGTGAAAAACATTTTTTTCAAACATGATAAGTCGACAAGGTTATTTTATACTAAAGTTTTGCGTGAGTAGAGTGAGGTGTGCAGTGAGCATTTATTTTGATACCGACTGCTCATATCTTACGACCGACTGCACTGATTTTGCGACCGACTAGTATTTGGGATCTATTCTGGCATTATTTGATTACCTCATTAATTCATTAAGACGGCGATGCATAATTTTGAGACCGTCTGCAGTGACTGCACTTATTTTGAGACCGACTATTTTTCTCCATGGGGGAAATTTTGTTCTTAGACCTACATACCCACAACAGAATAAGAGTGAAACACATTAAGTTAACAAGGTTATTTTATACTAAAGTTTTGCGTGAGTAGCGTGACGTGTGCAGTCAGCACTTATTTTGATACCGACTGCTCTTATTTTGCGACCGACTGCACTGATTTTGCGACTGCTCTTATTTTGCGACCGACTGCACTGATTTTGCGACCGACTATTTTTTTTCCTGGTGGCCCCCCCCCCCCCACACACACACACACACACACACACATTTACGCCCCTGAGTGTGGCATTAACAAGACTGTTCTATAGCAAACACAGAACAATTTAATAGAAACACGTTTGCTAATCAATCTTTTGTTTTCTAATAGTAAGTGCAGGGGGACCGCACTACACGTAAAACAATAATCTACAAGATAAACCTGCGGACAAGATAGAAAATAGACATTGCACCAAATAAACAAACAAATATCAAATCAAGTGAATGGATCCAGGGGCCAGCCGTAAGCGTCCACTGCGCTGTACATTCCCGGGCCTTTAGTGACACAGACTTCACTCAAATTTGAAAACAATCAGGAATACAAAAAAGACCGTAACAGAAATAATGCGACCAATCTCAGCAGTGGTCGTCTCCTCAATGGCGATAGTCTGCCAATTGCCGTCATGGGTTAGGACGTCAAACAATTTTAACAATAAGGGCGATAATCCGGATAGAATCTCGGAAAACGCTAAAATAATGAGTGTAGTGAGCAAACAGGAGCAAAACCCGACAACGAGAACATTCTGCAGTACGAAGGGTTAAAACTCTACTCTAATATACGACTTCTAATGACCCAGATCACATAGCCGGGCGGTTAATTGAATTGATATTACAAAAGAACTTTAAATTCACAAATATCCGGTTGACACAACTATCAGATACGAATATAAACTTTGATGTATAACCAACAAACAACTTGTGTGCATGATATGGTTTATTCATGTATGTACATTATCTGAATATTAAGAACATTTACTTATGTCTATGCAATTCTTGTCCATATTGGTCGAGAAGGCGTCCATGATCAGTTTTACCCAACACATGAATCAGCATCAACTACTCCCGCCTTATCGAAGTGCCTATTGTGCTAATTACAGTACCGATACTTTGACGTTGAAGATTTACAGTGATTTTCTGCATAACATCAACTATTATCTCCTTTTGTTGCCTTTGAATTAAGTGCGGATTTTGACATCGTCAATCACCAACTACTTCTTGATGTCCTGAAAAATTGCTTTGGCAAACATCAAAGTCAAGATTGGAGACACATATTCAGATACAGTGAATATCAGTTACTCTGTCCTCCAGGGTAACATAAACGGTCCTACCATTTTTTACATGCTATTCCAGCACTTGACAGTATTTTGTGGGTAACAATCGAACTTTAGTGGGCTATGTTGACGATCACAAAATCTACGGCTGTTTTAATTTAAAATTTAAAGCTGGTGATCATGCGCCCGAAGGGGAAAACCATCTTGGATTGGCAGCAACAATGGATGACATAAAGCAGTGAATGTTGATGTATCAGCTCAAGATGAACGACGACAGGTCGGTGTTTATTGTGTTTGGCAGTTCACGAGCTCTAACCAAATGCGCTATATCTAAGATGCAAATCGGAGATGTATTTGTACCAAGATCAACATCAGTTAAAGTTCATGCAGTTACCATGGATGAAAATCTAACCCTCAAATCTCATATTGCGTTCAAGACACGTGCTGCGTCGCTATCCCTACTCAATACAAGGTAAAAAAGAAAACATTTGGACAGACCGATGTGTTTAAAACTAGACAACGCTCTCATACTTTCACATTTAGATTATTGTAATGGTCTTTTTGTGAATTTACCCAAAACTACTCTCGTCCCTCTTAAGCGAGTACAAAACCTTACCGCTAAAATGATTCTTGGACAATCCAAATTTTTCAGTTCATCTGATGCCCTAAAACAACTTCATTTTCTCCCAATACATGTCCGTGCTGAATATAAAACTCTGCTGATGGTATTTACATGTTTGAACAATATTGTCCCAAATTACCTTTGTGATCTTTTAACCTACAACCCTAATCGATATTCCACATGATCATTGACCGCCCACGATTTGCATATTCCAAAAAACAAAAAATAAAACGTTTGCTGACAGATCTTTCTGTGTAGCGGCTTCATCATTCGGGTAGTAACGAATATCTGTTGCACTTGGTGGCTGCTCTTTTAAATGGTTATACTTGTTGAGGCGTCGCATTTAAAATACACAAGCTAGGAATTTTTAGGGTCTCATCTTGTCTGCGACTTGCCTGTGATACTCGTAGCATGAGAGCAATTTGATACGTATCATCCGGGCTAATACGTATATGTTTGATTATCATTACAGGTTTATGGAAAGAAATAACAACTATGAATCTATGGCTGATTCTGAACTTAAAACATACTATGGCTTTACTTTACTTGGGGTGAGTGGAAATTTATTACCTAGACATTACCGAGATATAACAATTATGAATCTATGGCTGATTCTGAACTTAAAACATACTATTGCTTTACTTTACTTGGAGTAAGTGGAAATTTATTACCTATATGATTTCGGTAGTTCGTGTTGGAGGTCGTGCACATGGCAGAAACATCACTCAACCCAAACCAGGTCATGTGGACACCTACCACTTTCCCTGTTACGAACAAACTTGGGATTGAAGGCATAACAGGAGTAGGTTTTATTATTTATAGTGCACGTGTTGCCCCACCCCAACCCCCATCAATGTAGTAGAAAATAGAAATGCATTATTTTGTGAATTGCGAATCATGTATTCGTTTTTATTATAGATGGCAGTAAGATATGAATCTATAACAAGATTTGAACCTGATACAGTTATAAACATAGAGGGAAGCGGTATCATTATATCTAATGTACGTCATATTTTTATTTTTAAATAAATATTATCCGTGGGATACCTGTAAGTCAGAAAACCACCAAATTATTACTGACCACTAACCATTAGGTTTCGTTTAGAATGTTTTAAAAAATAATGTTCGTGTTTTCGGTTAGTGGATTAAAAACAGTAGGTGTGTGTGGTGCAGAGTGTCTGGGGTTGGGATAACCTACATGCATCTTTATGAATTTCAACAAGTAACCAAAAAGTCTGTAAATCTATGGCCACTGATTAATGTTGATTAAACATGCATTATTCAAGAGCTAAATCTGCCTAATGCAGATATTTCATTTGGCCTCAAATGTTATATAAATCATTAACGAGACAATTATTTATATGCCAGGCCCATAATCGACTCTCTACAGAGGGGGGGGGGGGGGTCACCCTGTATGTATATATATATATATATATATATATACCCACTGATTCAAATCCGACAGACTAGCAATGGTCCCCAAACAAACTGATATCATTATTGCATTCATCGATATCTGTCCTTAGTTTTCTCTTATAAGCCATGAGTTGTGGTTTAAGAAAAGGTTGGCAGAACATACTATGATATTCCAACATTTGCCAAATGGGTAATATAAACCGATTTTTTGAACAGACGTGCTATATTACATCTCCTTTAGAAAGTAAATACGAAATTGAGATCAATTGGGAAACGAGTTAAAACATTACTTTCCGGCGTACAAACTGTATGATTTGATGATATATTTTGACTAAAAACATATTCTAACTAATTAATCTATCAAAAGAAATTTGCTTCAAATCCCTCTCAAAACTGTGTTTTCGCGGGGATATACCCCAAGCTATAAAAATCTGTTTTTAGAAGCCATGTTTGTCACCTAACTTGATTGATCGAGGGTCCATTTTCAGATGTATTTGAGATTACTTACTGTCCATTTACCATACATATTGGGGCCTAAATAAATTCTTGGATTATTTTCTGCCAACTTCTTTTTCCGCCGTTTAATTGCAGAGTCTTTTATACGTTTACATCCCTCAATGTTCGCAAAACCGCCTAGCCATTTGATCAAGAAATAACAACTGCTTCCTCAGTCAAGCTAGCATAGAATAAGCCTGACATTTTGGCCCAGTGCTTGCCCCATGGGTGTTTTTCGGGTAGTCCAGTATTTTTCTAGTAAGATTTAGCGTCTATACTTCCCATATATACCATATTTGCCATACTCTTATTGGAAATAATCACCCGATAAATAATTTCGTGACAATGTATCATTAAGTAGAGAGTTCAGGCCAAACAATATAATTCTCATAACACCAAGAACGAGAAGCGGTTGTATGCTTTACGACTTGTTTTTTCGCACTTTGCTAAGAGCACAATATGCAAATTACTGGTATTTAAGAAGTAGCTGTTTTTTTTTAAAAAAATTATGTTTCAGACAGAAGATGATTCGCCTTATAATCGTGATAATAGTGATAAAGGTGTTGTGCAGTATTTTTCCGGTTTGGTTCATTTCACAGATTGGGTAGATGCTAATACTAATAATGGTTATCTTCCAGCCCATGATCATGCTATGTGGTTTACGGAGTACGTATAACTTTACTATCACATACGTTCCGTGGCTCTTTATTTGGAAAAGTTCGCCATTGCGCAAAAATGAACTGTCCAAAAGAAAACTAACGTTTAAAGGAACGATAAGTTAGATCGTTCACAGATATCTCCAAAGTCAATAAATAAATTGTTTTTAATGTAAAGATTGCATACAGCTCATGTATGATAAAAACCTTCACGATTAATGGGCTGTATTAAATGAAAAGATATAATTATTATTACTCTATTAGTCTAAAACACATAAGGTGGTGGTGTGAATTCAGTAGAAACCAATGTAAACTTTGTGTGTCTATATCTGAAGTTAAAGGAGATAAACCTCTAACTCAATTTTTTCCATAATATTTCAAAATTGAAATCACGAATTAAAATGCATTATTGGTCCATTTCAATCAATTTTGATGTTTTTATCTGGTCGTGAACATATGCAACATTTAAGACACAGTCGTGTTTCCGTGATGTGTTATGAATAATGAAAAACATACCCTACAAGACGATGCAGAAGTAATTAGTAATGTCTGATTCACAAACGACAAAATAATAATCTAAAAAAAACGAGTAGAATGGAATAAACAGGATTTGGACTGTTCGCGTATTTCACCGAACATAATTGACTAGAAATTACAAAATCACTTTATATACATTAATATTACAATAAAGTGTGCCTTTAGAGACCATTTTAGTTTCGTTCTGGCTCCAAAGAATCTTCTGAAAAGCTTTGGGATAAAAATGTTGTTTAATAAAAGTTTGTTTTATTGTCTTAGTGGGGAAGGAAATAATAATGTGTTCGTTTAATGTTAACATGTCAGTCACTTTTCAGTCACAGTTTAGCAGAGAAAAAAAGCACTTCTGTCATAGGTAAGAATTTAGATGTCTTCTAAAAAAAACCAAGAGGTTTTACATGATCTGTCGGTCAAGCGCTATGTCAAGTCGTGTTTTTTCCCTTAAAAACTTTTAACCAGTGTATGTGTGAAAATACCCCCGTTCCGTTATCATGTATAGTGTAAAATGGAACCGATAACTATTTCTAAGAATAGTTGTCGATCACGATTCTTTGTGGAAATCGGAAATTCCAGAACATTCGACATCCTTTTCTATGCGTACGGATATCGTTTACTAATATTGTTAATCAAAACATTGTCACATTCGCTTTGTAGGTATTGCCTGGTTAGCATCTATGTGCACCAGGAATAGTACATCAATTATAGAAGATTATTTCTCTGGTAGAACAGAACATATCGCAGCTCATGAACTGGGTCACAGGTAACCAATTTTATTTTTATTTCCACTACAGACAATATATAAAATATGGTCAAAACCGGCAGGCGCCATCTTTTCGCTGGTCCCCTTTCTAATCTAATTAAATTCAAGCCAGAGATCACCTACTGTTGATATTTTGACTAAATGTTTTTAAATAATTCATTCGAGTACAGTTTATAAACTGTTATTTAGAAATTAGATAGTGTCAAAAAAGAAGCCAATATTACGATCAGGAAGTATAAATGCCAAAAAAAAAAATATAAATAAATACCTATGTAAATATACACATAAGTTTTAAATTACTTATTTCACTCACTGTCTAATATTAATAACCGTATTTAATACAGTTTACAGGCACTTCATGATGGACAAGTAAAAGGCTGTAGTGATAACAACTTTTTTATTATGGCTGCCGCATCGTATTTTCCTGATGATGACAAGAGAAGTAACCCATGGTTGTTTTCTGATTGTTCAGCTAGTACCATAGCAAATTTTGCTTCCAAGTAATTATATTCCCAACCGTGATATTCCTTATTCCCTATGATAGGGAAAGGGGTTATTATTACACAACATTTATGGCAGTGTCTTTATTGAAGTGCTTCGATGCGCTTTACATACAAAATATCTGAAATGATGAAACTAAAAATGAATAATTTTAACAAGTTCATGTTAAACACAAAACATATTTAGAAGTAAATACGTATACATTTAAAGTCGGTAAAAGTAGAAGGGGCTTTCCATGCTTTCTCAAAGGTAGCCATAGATTGGTTTTGCGTATATTACATGGAGGGCTATTCGGTAGTTTTTGAGCTTGTGCACTAAAAGGTCTGTTGTCGTATGATACAAGTTTTAATTTATAGACTTTTAATAGAATGTATTCGAATATGATACGAGACTACAACTTTGCAAATACAATTTCATCTAAATAACACTGTGTCGTAATAGTCCTATTGGTTCAACGTCCTGTCTTATTGCCGCCTTCAAACCAAACTGGTGGTCATTTCGTGTCGCAAAAGCCGCGTCGTGTCAAGAAAGTGTTGAAACTTTTGCCGTAATAGTGACGCAAATGGTAATGCGGTGTTGTGAGATGTGACACAGTACGTGTGACATCGGCAACTGATGGCCAAAAAGTGGGGAGAGCCGACAGACGGCCTACAACAAACGTATATGTTGCGTAGCTGTCCCGCAAAATCACAGTGCCGTTACCAGGGTGTCACACAACGCACCACCGACGCAAGGGTTACTAATGTCGTATAGGTCCTCATATAGGTGACACGCTAACCTTGTCTTTCAAAAATGGAAAAACTTCGACCAGGATTAACCAATAGATCCAAGGCTAGTCTCAATTCTTATGTCGATCAGCATTAAAATTATCCTATGTAGACCGTCAATAAATATGTGTTATTGAAACAATAAAGCATTCAAACTTTTAAATCACGTTAAACGTTTTGATTTCAGAAGTAAATGTTTACGATCAGGGGGCGGAATGTCATTATCAACTTCTAATTTAGCTGGACAGCATCTTGATGCTGACGAGCAATGTAGAATCCACATGGGAGACCCCAGTTCGTATTTCTGTAGGGTATGTATAAACAATAGCTGAAGGAACATGTCGTCAAGATATAACTTGTTGAACGCAAACTATTTAAGTAAGATGGTTCACTCAGGATTACATGTTCATTATAAAGAGAGCATTTTTTTTTTAAGATTGCGAATAATTACATTGTTGAACACATCACTGTGGTTGTGTGGATTTCCCATCTTATACAAAACATTCAGTTGAACGAAGGAACCCTACTGAACTGTATAATCTACAATTATTAATCTTTCCTAAACTTATAGTGGCTGTCCAGTAGTCCACCATATTGAAAGGACCAACCCTGATGATTTTCAATGATTTTTGATAATAACTTACACAGATATTCCCCTTTGTTACAAAATCTAATTGCCAGCTCAGAAGCTTCAGTTATGATCCTCTGTTTTTATACGCCCACATTTTCATGTGGATGTATATTGTCGTCGTCCCAGTCCGTCCGTCCACAATTGTTTGTGAACACTCTACAGGTCATGGATTATGGCCCCTGGTTGTATGAAAAATCACGTTTTTAGCTTGTGAACACTGCAGAGGTCACAATTTTTATCCGATTTGGTTTAAACTTGAAATGTGTTTATAACCCACATATCTCGGTTCCTTTCGATATTCGCGCATATCGGACCATAACTTCCTGAATTATGGCCCCTGATTGTACGAAAAATCACGTTTTTATCTTGTGGACCCCATAGAGGTCACAATTTTTTTTATCCGATTTGGTTTAAACTTGAAATGTATGTTTATAACCCATAGATCTCGGTTCCTTTCGATATTCGCGCATATCGGACAATAACTTCCTGAATTTGAACTATGGCCCCTGATTGTACGAAAAATCACGTTTTTATCTTGTAGACCTCATAGAGGTCACGGGAGCCACGGTGGCTAGGTGGTTAAGACGCTGGCTCGCTAGCCTGGAGGTCGGGTGTTCGATCCCTGCATTGGCCGAGAAAGTTCATCTGGATTTTCCGACGTGGTTTCCCCTTGTCAGTAGTGCAGAACGGAGGGCCTGACAAGGACAGCTGTCTAGTCCTTCGGATGAGACCGAGGTCCCGTGTATACATTGGAATGCACGTAAAAGATCCCTTGGCAGTTGGAATTCGATATAAGAGTAGGCGATAGTGCCGCTGCCCGGGCAAAATTTCCCTCATAGCACACTGTATGGCGTATGCCCGTCTTCATTAGCCCAGTATAGGAGCAGAACAGTAGGACGTTAAACCCCATTTCATTTCATTTCATTTCATAGAGGTCACAATTTTTATCCGATTTAAAAAAAAACCGTTACAATATATCACCGTTACACCCTAAGGGTGGTTGAGTTCGAATTTCGTAAAAATCGGACCGAAACTGACGGACAAAATGGCCGCCCTTTGTTCGCAAATAGTGTCAAAATATTGTGTATCGGGGTTTTGGATCCTCTGGGGGTCACAATTTTCATCTGATTTTGATGAAACTTGAAATGCATGTTTATAACTCAAATATATTGGTTCCTTTCTATTTCCTTACATATCGAATCATAACTTCCCGAATTATGCCCCTGATTGTACGAAAAATCGCGTTTTTAGTGTGTGGTTCCTCTAGAGGTCACAATTATCCGATTTTAAAAAAAACGTTCGAATATATCACCGTTACACCCTAAGAGCAAAACTGCCGGACAAAATGGCCGTTCCTTAGCTTGTGGTCCCTCTAGAGGTCACAATTTTTATTCGATTTAAAAAAAAACGTTCGAATTTATCACCGTTACACCGTAATGTTTATTGAGTTTGAATTTCATGAAAATCAAGTTTTTAGCTTGTGGTCCCTGTAGAGGTCACAATTTTTATCCGATTTAAAAAAAGGTGTGAATATATCACCATTACACACTAAGATCTTAGTTCCTTTTGATAATGGCGGATACCCGAACTTAACTTCCTGGATTATGGCCCCTGGTTGTTCGAGAAACCGCAGTTTTAGCTTGCGGATTCTCTAGAGGTCACAATTTTTTTCCGATTTTAAAACCGTTTAAACACATCACCATTCCACCATAATGAAGGTTGAATTCGTATTTCGGGAAAATCGAAATGAAACTGCCCGACAAAATGGCCTCTCTTTGTACGCAAATTGTGTAGAAGTGTGTAATACGAAGGTTGTGGACCCCCTAGAGGTCACAATTGGAGGGTCTAGAGCACAAGTGATCTAACTACAAAAATCCCATTTTTAGAAAATTGACCTTAAAGTCTAAACCATGTGCATTTCAAACCACCATTGGTACCCAATTCAAATTATTACTGAATATTATAGGCGCTAAGGGTTATCTCTGTCCATCTGCCTACTTCAATTTGACTTCCATGAAAAAAGCTACAATCTTTTTAATTTCAGATAGATCACATGAACACAAGCAAATTATCCAACTTAGATTAAATTGTCACAAAACCATTTTATTATATAATGTTCACTGTATTTAGTCAAAAAAGCATTCATTGCTGCCTGGGTCACCATTTAACATTCGTGAACAGAGATAATCAACAGATGATATTTTCATGTCTCAAATCAAGCAGAGTTCTTTGGATCAACTCAAGTGTTGCTCATGCTGAAGTTTAGTGAAGTTGTAATTCTGCAGATTTAAGGTGGACGGAGGAGGGGAAAGATGGATGGGTCAGGTGGTTAAAATGGAAAGCGTAAAGTGTGTAGGACGGGAATAAGATGGGAAAAGGGGGGTGGGGGGTGGAGGGGGTTACGATTGGGGTGGAGTAAGGTGACTGGGGGAGTAGTGTTTGTCTGGTATAGATGGGTAATGTTGGTAGTTGATAAGAAAGGTTGAAAGAGCATGGACAGCAGAAGGTGCGGAAGGGATTATAATAAGGAGAAAGAGATAAGACGGGGTTGTGGGGATTTGTGTGAGTGGGGGAGGTGGTGATGATCAGTGATCAGTGGATGTGTAAGGGTGTAGAAAGGAATGCAAATAAATGATAGACTTGAATAATATGATATGACCAAAGAGGATAGATTACTGTATGTATTATCATACGCCCACATTTTCATGTATTATGTTGTTGTCCCTGTCCGTTCATATGTCTGTCCGTCCGTCTGTTCAAATTTTTTGGGGGAACCCTCCACAGGTCACAATTTTTATCCGCTTTTGACAAACCTTTAATTATGGCTTTATATCCCAAAGATCGCAGTTCCTTTCGATATTAGCATGTATCGGATCATAACTTCATGGGTTATGGCGACATCATTGTACGAAAAATCACGTTTTGCCTTGTTCACCCCCTAGAGGTCACAATTTTTATCAGATTTTGCGGAAACTTTAAATGTATGTTTATAACTCAAAGATCACGGTTCCTTTCGATATTGCCGTATATCGCACAGTAACTGCCATTATTAACATTGAGAAGACAGTTAGCCCAACTACAGATAGATCACTATGCCACAATCAACTTCGGAGCATTTAGGCCATGAATTTTTTAATCATCCATCCTGGCATTAATAATTCCTCTACACATTAGATCCCTAGACACGAAATACATTATGAGTCAAAGAATATGGCCAACTAAAGAGTTCAAAATATGACAATTGGTAGTTAGATCACTTGTGCTCTAGACCCCCCAATTTTTATCCGATTTTATATCCCAAAGAACTCTGTCCCTTGTGATATTTGCACATTTCAGGCCATAACTTTCTGGATTATTGCCCCTGATTATACTAAAAATCACGTTTGTGTTTAGCTTGTTCTTGCAAAATATGGGCGTATCCTGCCTGGCAACCGCTGGTTCATAATTTTTATGGGTTTTGTTTACGTCAGAACTCCCCGAGTGACCGGGCTTGCTGAAATATCCCTTTTTGCATCGAGTATTTCCCTAAAGCACCGGACAATATCAGCGAACAAGGTTATATATTTTTCAGAAAGCACAGTTTACCGAGATGGGTTTTGAGTTAATGTGTCAAAGAATGTTTTGTTATGATCCTTCATCCCATTCTTGTACGTCTATTATTGCTAAGGATTATACGTCATGTGGTAATGGCAGGGTCTGTATTTTCTTGAAACATTTATACTGTGTTGATGATTAAAATATATTTTATGTAACTTATTTTTATCAGTGTAACGGAAAAAACACAAATCGACTATTGATCGAGCCGCACGTTTGGTCTACTGCAGTGACAAAAAAAGAGAGATATATAATTATGTTTTGGTTAACAGGTGTTCGAGACGGCAGCAATTTTGTGCAATAAATAACTTTACATAGTACTAGTAATATATTACTTCTAAATGTCAAACAAAGTATTTATTTTCGTTTTCAGTGGTGTGAACGAGGAACGTGTGTGGGTTCATCCTATGCGCCATTTACACAGGGTAATCTCTTTATTTCGATGTTGATAGGCGGTGGTAGGGGTTACGGTATATCTTAACGTATTATTTTTGCAATCTGTTGACATTATTTTGCGTTATTATTCTCTGAAATACCGAACCGCACTTTCAATCTGGCGATTCTCTTACAAAATTAAATAAAATAGAGTTTAATATCCTACTTTTCAGCACTTACGGAGCTAATGTTGATACGCTTTAGACTTCAAGAACACTTGAATTATCTGATTATATCTGTGTTTGGGGAGCTATTAACAAAGGGCATTGTCGAAATAAATGACCCACGATATTGTACTATTAATTTCGGGCTATACAGTGCAATGCAAATAATAATAAGAGTATCTGCTTACTGTGTACATTACCGTTCTCAAACGTTATAGATAAAAGATACTGCTTATGCCTATAATGGTGTCTATTTGTATCAACACCGTATTGATGTTTTTATTTTGTCATCATTTTAAATGTGTTGACATATTTGGGGTTTTATATTAAAATGATATTTGGTGTATTGATATCATTTTTTGTGTTGGCATGATATTTTCAGATTGACATTATATTCGTGTATTTCAGATTAACAATATATTCATAAATTTTTCAGCAAATTGTCCGCAGGGCGATGGTCGAACATTTACCTGCGATTATTCGGAATGTGAAAGGTACTCAGAAGCTCAAAAAGCAGAATGTTGTTTCACCTGTCCCCACGTGGAACCTGCTAGAGAACCATTACAAGATTTAGCATTATGCCCACTGGATGATATGCTCTGTGAAAAATGTAGAAGTAATGACCGATATCGTTCCAGACAAAATTGTGCGCCATACAGGTTATAGACAATCTGATTAAAACACAGATCCTATTTCGTTTCGATTTTTACAGTTCAAAATTCTGTTTACTTGTCTTTATACTAGGATCTGTAAGAGTTATTATATAACCCGCGTTCTGGTTAGTGTGAGGGATTAGCCAATACAACGGTCTGTTGCGGCGATTTCTTGACGTGGGATGCAGGGAAATGTGGGTATCTTACTAGAAACACCAACGCTCTTTGGTTAATCAAATGTCTAACGTCATAGGTCAAAAGCCACTCGTATGATCCTTGATGCGACCCCCACTACAACTGGCCAGATCTTCATGTAGTAGAGGCCATTGAAAGTATAAAAAACGATACGAAATATATAGATATGTATTTTAATCAGATTGGATTGTAGATATACTTGGAATAATTTAATGTATTATCTATGGGTTGTAAGTTGGTAATACCATGAACTTTACTATAATCTTTATATCTAGTTTTTCACACGTTATTTTAGTCCTAAGACTTAACTCCTTCTAATGTTTATTTGCACCAATGATTTCATGGCTGGATAACCCCGACATGAAGACTAAGCATGTGCTTAGGAAACTGGAGAGATGGGAGACCAAACAAAAACTGTAAACACTCTTACCCATTATGGGTGCTCGCCTTCAATAATCAGTATACACGTTATGATATTAGAGACTAAATCAAAAGTAGAAAGGCTGGAAATTCAAATTCAAATGAGGTCTTTATGTATACACCCGGCTATATAGGTTGATACTATTTGATGGTTTTAAAATCAAAATAGTTTTTAAATTTTAAAACGTATAACTATTCATTTTAAGTTGACTGTAAATTGTGATAATTTTTGGTCAAAGCTAGCCCCAATAAATAAAGCAGCTAATCTTTGAACGATGGTGGTAACATTTGTTTTGTATTTTTGACTAAATACTAGTCTATTATATATTTGAAGCTCCGATGGATTTTATAACAAAGTTCATGGGAGCTAAACCGCTTTGGAAACACTCGGTCTACCAGTCGAAATAAACAACAAACATATCGTTGGCCGAGTATTAACTAGTTTTTATCCAAAATGAATTAGGGGTCTGGGGAAAATGTATTTGAAGTTTCGGTATTCAATGTTTCTACCCGTTAGTATTGATACTGGTATCGAACCATGATTGATTCATGCAAATAACCTGACCAAAACCTCTTAATGTAACAGAAATATAAGATCCCGAAGCTTCAAACTAATTTTCCTCAGAAAAGAACTGGAAAATGGTAGACAGATATTGTTAATTCTATGAGTTTGTGATATGTGACCGTTCCAATTACGTGGTGATCGTAATCATTGTGACACTATCTTTTGTCGCGGTACCAAAAAATATGTAGGGGTGACATTAAAAGGACAGATGTGACTTTAACCAGGAACTTCCAGAAAACGGCCCATGACACTAGAGTGACACTTTTCTAGTCAGGACTTTCATGCTCTATATAAAACTGAAAAAATCAATTCACTTTGAAACACTTTGTTGGTTTATAACTTAGGAAATGCCACACAATTACCAAATTTAAACATAAATTGAGATGTAGAGTTTTAAGTCTCAAAGGGAAATACATCCAGTAATAATGTGCCTTCCTACCCCATTGTCAATCCAATTTTCGTCAGTAAATTCTTCCTTCTCGTGAATGTCTATGTGAACTCTTGGCATCAATAACTTTATTAATTAACTCTTCTATCCCTCCAAACAGTTTTAAAATTGCTAGTGCGTATCCCTTGGTTAAGAAAGTAAATCTTGATTGTGTGTATTTGAAACATTCACAGGCCATGCCAGTATTAAACGTTTATCTATGTGCAATCACGAAAACGATATGTGGCTGCTAAAAAAAGATTCTACTGTAAATACAGAATGTTTATATACAAGTACACTTCAAAATCTATGTACAAACACGAGATAAAAATAACATCTCTGCTTCTGATTTATCCACTAATAAAATGTTAACTGTAAAATCGTGAAGCAGGGATATTCACCAATATCCACATTTTGGTTCCTCCACCAATATCCACATAATATAAATCATAAATCTAGCCTAACTAAATCAGTTGTATTCACCAGTATTCACGCACAAATACTTAGATCAAGCCTGGACGTTCATGTAATAATTGTTTACGGTGTTTTACGATCTCACTTCCTGTCGATATTGGCAAGTATCGGATCATAACTTCATGGATTATGACTCCTGATTGTACGAAAAATCACATTTTTAGCTTGTGGTCCTTCAAGTTCAAGAGATCACAATTTTTATCCGATTTTGATTAAACTTGACATATAGGTTTATCTTCATATGATCACAGTTCCGTTGGATATTCGCGCATATCGGACCGTAATTTCCTGGATTATGGCCCCTGATTGTGGTAGGTCTAGAGGTCACAATTTTTATCCTATTTAAAAAAAATCGTTAAATTATATCCCCGTTACACCATAACAATGGTTTGGTTAGAATTTCGTGAAATCGGGCCGACACTGCCGTACAAAATGGCCGCTCATCGAACGCTTATAGTGTAAAAGTATGTCATATGATGGTTTTGATCCGATTTTGATGAAACTTTAATTTAATTTAACTTTAATTTCCTTTAGATAATCACCTGGATTATGGCCACTGGTTGTTCGAAAAATCACGTTTTTCGCTTGTGGAACTTGTCCAATTTTAAAAACTACCTAAAAGTTTCACCGTTACACCTCAGTGAAGGTGGGGTTCAAATTACGTAAAAATCCGACCGAAACTGCCTGACAAAATGGCCGCTCCTTCTACGCAAATAGTCTAAAAGTATGTAATACCTAGGTTGTGGACCCTCTAGAAGTCACAATTTAAATTTGATTTTTCTGAAACTTGAAATGTGTGCTTATAACCTAAAGATCTCGCGCATATCGGACCGTAACTTCCTGGATTATGGCCCCTAAATTGTACGAAAAATCGCGGTTTTTTTTTTTAGTTTGTGGAACCTCTAGGGGTCACAATTTTTATCTGATTTTAAAAAAAAAACCTGTTTAATTATATCATCGTTACACACTAATGATGGTTGAGTTCAAATCTCGTGAAAATCGGACCGAAATTGCTTGAGAAAATGCCTGTGACTTGTATGCAAATTGTGTAAAAGTATGTAATACCAATATTGTAGACTCTCTAGAGGTTTATATCCGATCTTGATGAAACTTAAAATATATGTTTATATCCAAAATATCTCGGTTCCTTTCGATATTCGTACATATCGGACCGTAACTTGTTTATGTCCCCTGATTGTACAAAAAAAATCGTGTTTTTGTTTAGCGTGTTTTCTGTCCAACTCTTGCAAAATGTGGGCGTATCTTGCCAGGCGAACGCTAGTTTTATCTTTATAGTGCATTTTTTGATACGCTTCGAGCATCTAAAGTCTTAAAGAATACTGTAATGATGTTAAGCTTAAAAGGCCTGAGAAAATAAATCACTTCTGTAAATATATGCAAGTAGATTGCAACAGTATCTCTTGTAATATTCCTGTTGTGTATATTTCAGATAAATCCAAATAATCATTTATTATCACGATAGACGAACTAGGCCCGTAAGTGAATGTTTCATAGATTATGCTAATAACCACCTTATTATTTAATTCAGTGAGCAAATTACTCCCTTTTATTGCATCTTAAATTGTATTTAATATTATCTCATTCATTTCCCCCGTCTTCATTAGCCCAGTTGGAACAGAACAGTAGGACGTTAAACCCCATTTCATTTCATTTCTACATTTCCATAATCGTCTGTTTCCAATATTCTTTGTTTTACACTTTTCATGTAGCTTATGCATTGCTATAAACCGTTTTAGTAACCATATTGTTTGTATATGTGATATATTTAAAGAACCAGCGGCTGCCAGGCATCATACGCCCACGCTTTGCAAGAGATGGATAGAGAAAAAGCTAAAAACAAAAACGATTTTTTGAACAATCAGGGGCCATAATCCAGAAAGTTATGGTCTGAAATGCGCAAATATCAAAAGGGGCTGAGATTTTTGGAATATAAAGATATGTTTTAAGTTTTATCAAAATCGGATAAAAATTGTGACCTCTAGAGGGTCCATAACCTTTGTATTACATACTTATACACAATTTGCGTACAAAGAACGGCCATTTTGTCGGTTTATTTCATTTCGATTTTCCCGAAATTCCAATTCAGCCTTCATTATGGTGGAATGGTGATTTTTAATATCGGGAAAAAATTGTGACCTCTAGAGAATCCACAAGCTAAAAATGCGATTTTTCGACCAATCAGGGGCCATAATCCAGGAAGTTACGTTCGGATATGTGTGATTATCATTCAAAAGGGACCAAGATCTTTATGATAACAACTGAAATATTCACACTTTTTTTAAATCGGATAAAAATTGTGACCTCTATAGGGACCACAAGCTCAAATCGCGATCTTTCGTACAACCAAGGGCCATAATTTAGGAAGTTACGATCCGATATGCGCGAATATCGAAACGAACCAAGATTTTTGGATTATAAACATGCATTTCAAGTTTCATCAAAATCGGATCAAAATTGTGACACTATTTATGCGTACGGGGGGCGGTCATTTTGTCCAACAGTTTTGGTCCGATTTTCATGAAATTCAAACTCAACCATCATTAGGGTGTAACGGTGATATACTAAAACGGTTTTTTAAATCGGATAAAAGTTGTGACCTCTAGAGGAACCACAAGCTAAAAGCGCGATTATTCGTACAATCAGGGGCCATAATTCAGGAAGTTACGATCCGATATGCGCGAATATCGGAAGCAACCAAGATCTTTGTCATCAAAATCGGATGACAATTGTTGTGACCTCTAGAGGGTCCACAACCTTGATATACGATATTTTACCTGCAGTTTTGGTCCGATTTTCACAAAATTCGAACTCAACCATTATTAGGGTTTAACGGTGATATATGAAAACGGTTTTTAAAATCGGTGAAAAATTGTGATCTCTAGAGGGACCACAAGCTAAAAAGGTGATTTTTCGTACAATCAGGGGCCATAATTCAGGACGTTACAATCAGATATGTACGAATATCGAAAGGAAACAAGATCTTTAGGTTAAAAACATGCATTTCAAGTTTTATCAAAATCCGATCAAAATTGTGACCTCTAGAGTGTCCACAAGCTAAAATCGTGATTTTTCGTACAATCAGGGGCCATAATCCATGAAGTTATGGCCCCATACATGCAATATCGAAAGGAACCGAGATCTTTGGGAGATAGACCTATATTTCAAGTTTCGTCAAAATTCAATGTAGAGTGTCCACAAATAAATTGTGGAGGGACGTTCGGGCGAACAGGGGCGACGACAATATACGTATAAAAATGACATGGGTAACTAATGATGATATAGATCCAAACTAGTCAGTCAAAGGAACCTTTTTACAAACCTTGATTTGGAGATCAACTTCAAATCACATTCCGAATGACAAACTTAGTGTACCTGTATTTGGATATTGGGAGACAAACGTTTATGTCAGTTCTCATATGCATATTGGTCGCGGGGGGATGGTTAGGGCGTGAGTCATTGAGTCAACTGTCGTGGTTTCGATTCCCCGGTTATACGTGACAAGGAGTATGGTCGCCTGTTCAACCTCGTGGGTTTTCTCCGGGTCCTCCGGTAATTGTCAAAACTGGGCGGTCCAATTTGATCATGTAATTGTTGAACAAAATGATTTCTTAAAAAATTGTGTTTTAGTTTCTTCAAAAAATGTAAAGACGCTTGTAGCATTAATAATGTGTAGTCGAACTCAACCATGATTATTGTGTAACAGCGATATATTTGAAGGGCTTTTAGAATTAAAAATTCCCACAGTCAAAAAAGAACGCGACTTACGGTCCGATACGTGCCAATATCGAAGGGAACCGAGATCGTTGGTATATATTTTAAGTTCGGTTAAAATCAGATATTTGTCTCAGTATCACCCCTAGTGGACGTTAAACTCCAGAAACGAAAGAACGAACAAAATCAGATAAAAAAATATTATGAACTCAAGACGGTCCACGGGCTAAACATAATTTTTCGTACAATCAGGGGCCATATTCCATACATGCTAGTGTTTTAGTTTCTTCAAAAAATGTAAAGACGCTTGTAGCAATAATAATGTGTAGTCGAACTCAACCATGATTATTGTGTAACAGCGATATATTTGAAGGGCTTTTAGAATTAAAAATTCCCACAGTCAAAAAAGAACGCGACTTACGGTCCGATACGTGCCAATATCGAAGGGAACCGAGATCGTTGGTATATATTTTAAGTTCGGTTAAAATCAGATATTTGTCTCAGTATCACCCCTAGTGGACGTTAAACTCCAGAAACGAAAGAACGAACAAAATCAGATAAAAAAATATTATGAACTCAAGACGGTCCACGGGCTAAACATAATTTTTCGTACAATCAGGGGCCATATTCCATACATGCTAGTATCGAAAACAACCGAAATCTTTGGGACAAACAGAGTGTAGAGCGTCCACAAACAAAATGGAACATGAAAAGGAATACACAACCACCGCCAAGAAATGGTATGGTCCTCACAGTATTACACGGGCCATACTATATACCGGAAAACACCGGTGTTTTCCGGTATATAGTATTGCCGGTTACTACACGGAATAATGAAGGTCCTGTATCATTTAATATTTCTTATCATAAAAGTACCAGAAGGATCATGTTCTCAAATATGGTTATGTCGGTCCCCACAGTATTTAGCTTCATGCGAAGGATTCTGATTTTCAACAATTTCCGAAAACTAATCTCACGGTTGTTGACCTTGATCACTTTCAAGAATCTTGTTGACTCTTTAGAGAGTAAAGTTATACTCCTTGAAGCTATGATCCAATTGAAAGTGTCTATGTTAATGAGACGCAAACGATAAAAACGATCAAATCATGTGGCTGCACTCGAGAGGCTAAAGCATCATAATATTACACAACTATATCTTATGGTCATTGTTTGTTACTGCCCTTGTTCTTTTTGAAAACTCTTGTGCATGACATATTGTGGCTGAAGTTACCATTCGATTGATTTGAAATTTATAGACCATGGGTTTTTTTTCAAAAATGACAATGTGTAGTTTTTGAACTCGGACAGGTTAAGTTATCATATGATTACCGGTTGTTGCCCTTGATCAGGTTTCATGTATATGTTTAGGCTTCCATTACGATAGATTTTATGGTCATCCAGAAATCGTTAACTAATTACAGATAGCATCGTGTAGTTATATGTATATCTTTGAATTGTGGTGTTGATCTGTGAAGTCTGCGACTGCTATCTTAGGCCCAATACGACTAGAAGGTCATTATCAACATATAGAAATGAATCGAGCAGTTCATGTGGTATTAAACGCGTAGAAACCCATAACTGCATGGTATACATTGGGTCTACAAAGAACTATAATGATTGATTCCGTTCGAATTCAGATTCATTTTTAAAATTTTTGTTGGGGTCTGTCATCTGTGGCAACCGTGAGTTCGATTCCAGCTTTGCACATGTGTGCAAATTAACCTTTCTGTTTGTAATGCAAGCGCTGTGCCAGAGTCGAGGTAATATCTAATATTTCATTGGGCAAGAAACTGTAACACAAAAAGACAAAAACGTACATAAAAGGTCAAAGATTTTAAAACATTACGATCAAACTGTAATGGATAAAGATGATATTAAGACTTTAATTCAATAATGCAGATCGTAATAAAGCCCCAGACGATATGCTGTATAAGAAAGACCATAGATTCCGTGGTAGATCTTGTTAAATTATTGGCAGTTTTTGTAGAACATGACCTGTAATATAAATTTTAATTTTATCTACTGAAACTATAATCTTAACCAATAAATTATATTTATCCCACGTTTATTGTTCGTGATAATCACACATACTGGACTCTGTTTATTGGTAACAAACGTTTTACTTCAGTGTAATTAGACTTGGCTATCATCGTTATTATATAAATAGAAATATGATAACGATTAAAAACTCATACTGACCCATAAAAGCAACATCAAGAAATTGATAGGTTTTTCAAGAATGGCGCGAAAGATCATAAACTGATTGCGATTCTTACAATCTGATTAAAATACAGATCTATATTTCGTTTCGTTTTTTTTATACTTTCGATGGCCTACACTACATGAAGATCTGACAAGTTATAACCACATGTCACGTCAGGAGTCAAAAGACCGACTTATGACCCTATGACGTCAGACATCAGCATTGATGTTACTAGTGGATTACCCACAGTTCCGTGCAAAACACACCTAAAGCTCGCCGTAACAGACCGTTTCATTGGCTTATCCCTGACACCATTCAGAACACGAGTTAAATTACAACTCTTCCAGATCCAAGTGTAGTAAAGACAAGTAAAACGAAATTTTGAACTATAAAAACGAAACGAAATAGGATCTGTGTTTAACCAGATTGCGATTCTTATTACCATTTAGGTCGCAATTATTGAATTATCTTCCCGGCTTTAATGCGTAACTTGTGTGTGGGTCGGCACCGCAAATGTCAAATCCAGTAACTTGAGTACCATTATAGGCATTCGATAGCAATATCTTTAAATTTACAAATAAATCTAGACACAGTGCGAGTTTAATTCTAATTAAGCCTACATGTAGAATAACTGAGAGGCCAATGAAAACTGGTCCTGTATAGGAATACGGGAGTTACAACAAACATACATTCCCATAAACTTACATTGTCCATAAAGCCGATGAAGTTCCTAGTTTGATATCCAGTACCAATGGCCAAAGAACAATCGTTCCCGGAAATCACTTCATCTGTTAAACACAACGACAGTTCATCAGTACATTTTACATAATATCAGAGAGAGAGGGACAGAGACAGAGAGAGGGGGGGGGGGGGTAACGTCCACTCGACACAAACTAGATCATTTGCGCGTAGGGGTCTTTAGCAGTGGGAGGAAACCGGAGGGCCCGGACAAAACCCACGAGGTAGGACAGGCGACCTTACTCCTTGTCACGTACAAACGGGGAATCGAAACCACGCCAGGTGACTCAAAGACAGACCTTATGATACAACGCTTTGACGCTAACCATTTAGTTCAGTACCTTTACAGAACACAATTTACACTACATTTTATCACTATATTTTAGTCGGCTTAACCTGATGGTCAATGTTCGCCAAAAGTTATTTAAGGGTCAATCTGTAAATCTTTTTAAAGTATTAAAGATTAACTATTAAAATATTTAACGCCATTGCTAACCCATCTTCTATTTCACATGAATATTATTGTTTATATTAATTAACCAGATTATATAATGATTATGAGTAACTTACTATCCTGAAAGCTAAACGTTCGAGTATCTGTAGATTGTCCCTCTGTACTAACCATCAAGGTACCAATAGTTCTGTCCCTCTTAAACACAACTGATTGTGTTTTGGTTAGATCCTGTAATGTAGAAAATGGCCCTTTTTAGTTCATTGGTACAAAAATGTTTTTAAAAAATACTTATTCTGTCGGATAAAAGTTATTAAACCATCGATTCATTTTATTTATATTAAAATGTTATCATTTATCGTTACTTTTCCACAGGTTTGTCTGTTAAGTTTTGTATACGTGCAGTGTGGTCCTTCTGCACTTATATTATAGTAGATCTAGCCTTTTAGCCCCATTGAAGAATGTTCTCGTTGATGGGCAGCTCCTGTTTTCTCACTGGACTTTATTTATTAATTTTTTTTAACGTTTTTCCAAAATTCTAACAGCATTATAGCCCTTATTATTGCTAATATTTTGACGTTCCAGCTCATGACATCGGCAGACAAACTATTGCCTTCAAAAAAGCCATATAGACAACCACATTATTTCTATTGTGTCTTTCTTTTAAACATTGAGTGGAGTGTGTATCATTATAGGCCCGGGAGTGTTCACCTGATTTGATGTGTTGTTTAATTCTTACAATGTCTGTGTAGTTTATCAAAAAAAGTAGGGGATATTCAGAAACAATACAAAACTGCGGAAATGCACTGCTGTTTTTATTAGAGGTAACCAGTGTAGGTTAATAACAGGTCAATTGCCTGCAAATGAACATAAACATTTCATATGGGCGGCTTATCTGACGGCCCCATTTCACTCGCAAAGAGATACACCGTCAAAAGTGAAAATGGACGTTTTTGATTTTTGTCTTAATAATGAGTAATTGCTCCACCAATCCTCAGATATTCAGCAATTCGCCGTGACATGCTCCTAACCAACCGTCCAATCACGGTTTTGGGCAATCTGACCCACTCCTCTTGCAGTGCCACGACCAATTCTTGCAGTGTTGTCGGTTGATGTTAACGTCGACGAACACGTCTCCCGATCAAATTAAACTTAACATACTAAAGCAAAGATACGCCAAACAGTAAATCTTATGCAAGAACCGATAGGAAAGCAAGCACGGATAGATAAACCAACACGCGGCAGTTTTCATCAACCCTTCCTTGAAGTGTCAAATTTGACAATGAACCCCTCCCACGTGTCGCATGTGCAGCTCAGTGGTTCTGTTGGGGCGATAAGTTAAAATCTGTGAACATACTCTCAAAGCATGTCATATGTCTATGACTATTTATCATATCACAAACTGCATAGGTATTTGCATTTCAATATCCCCTACTTTTTAAAGAGTATATTATATTCAATCTACGCAACTAAATCCTTTTCTTACCCGAGAATTAGTAGTAACTGTGTGTGAGTTGGCAAAACATTCAATAACACCACGATTTAAGCTTTTTACATCGATTTGACAACCATAGGTAGGTTTAGCACCACAGGCACTGTTAGCAATAAGAGCTACTTTACCACCTGGTTGAATACCAACAACAACAGTGTCACCAGACATTTCGCCAGCTTGGAACTGAAATGATATATAATCCAATACTCACAAGACGTTGTTGATAGTATGAGTAAAATGAAATAGGCCTAATATAAAAGTACTATAAACCGTTCGTTTTACCTATGTGAAATTTTCAAATGGAATGTTCGGGGTTTTTCTTTCAAATAAATCACCAATAAAGAATTTATATCATTGAAAAATAAACATCACAATTACGCTTATAAATACAAAAATATACCCTTTAATCTGTAACGCGTTAACATGGTTTCGGTGGCAGAGGCAATAACTCAATGACTAACCAAACAACCCCATAAATTTGGAATAAACTCCCTGATATCTGCACAGTTTTAACAAGGTTTGGGTGACTGGGACAAGTTTCCACAGTGTGACTAACCGAATAATTGTAGCAGGGTTTAAAACAAATTATTTGATAAGTTTCTTGTGTAAACATGAACAGATTTGCCGATGGAATTCCATAACAAAGAGACCCGGTGTTACGGTACGGTTAGATAACACCCCGTGACAATAATTTATTTCTAACATCAGTAAAATGAAGATCTATGCGATCATGACCATATCAAAAATAACTGACACCTGAGAAAAATAACTATACAATAACTTACATCAAATGTCATGTTCCAGTAGTATCTTAGCTCATTGTCGGACATTTTTGTGGCAGAGAACATGTCATCACCATCAAAATAAGCCCAGCCATTAAATTGGGTGTTAGTGTTATCAACGATTGTGGCGTTCCCTTCAATCTTGCTGAAGGGGGTCTCGTGGCCAGCTAGAGCTAATCTCCAGCCATTATTTGCTGAAGTACCACGAACCAGATTCATAGGTTCACAGGCTACTGGAATTTGTAAAAAAAATTTAATAAAATCCGAATTCTAAATACTGTTAAAAACATGTATAACAAGAGAAATGTGTGTAGTGTCAATTACCTTTAAAATACGACACCTAAAACAACTTGATATATTTCCCCGACAGGACACATGATAATATCATTAACAGTTTGTATTAGCAGCATAGCGTGTGTAAAATATGATGAATAACAATCTGCATTAGCATAGTACATATAGTATGATGATTAACAGATGTAGAGGTAGGGAAACTGTTGATAATATATTTATCGTAGTCAAAACATTATTCCTGAGATCTTACTAATATTAAAAATGATAACAAAACTGATTAAGATCAGTTATCAAAGGGGAATTATAATTGCTTGGTAGATAACTAAGACCAAACCCCGAATGCCAGTAGTTTAATAACAATTCCCTTTCAAAAACTATGATCTAAATTCCATAAATATTACAATAAACGAGTAGAAAACCAAGATGGCTGTATATTTATTTCATGGTTCTCTCTCTCTCTCTCATACTTACGCTTGACATCATCTACACGATTGCTACAGCAGAATTCACTTCCTACGCGATTTTCATCAAAAACCATGGAGGCAGGACATGGCACTTCAGAAGATCGGTATTCAGGGAGGCCGTTAATCTCATAGAATTCTGTTAACATATAGCTGTTGGGATCATCGGTTACACCACTACATGTAGCATTGACTGCAATAGATAAAAAAAAACAAATACTATACTCAGCCAAATTAAAAACTTGACACTCAGGATTTTTAGGACTAGATTTTTAATATTTGGTTTAAGGCAACTATTTTAGTGCTATGTTGTGCACAGACGACCTTGAAATCAACAGAAAGCAAGAATACGTCTCGCCGAAAGTCCTTGACATTGATAACATTCGTGATGTCACAGTACCCCCCAAAATGAAATTCACAGACTTTGAGAACAATCGGAATAAAGTGTTTAGTAACGGTTGTGGCCTCCTCTAGCGTCTCGTACTGCCACACAACGTCTTCTCGTGGATCTCAGAACATTAGTAAACACTACCCGAGGAAGACGTCGCCACTGCTCAGCAAGAGCATGTTGAAGGTCCTGCAACGTCAGTGGTGGATTCACTTGCTCACCAACACGTCGACCCAGTTCGTCCCAGATGTGTTCAATAGTATTAAGGTCGGGGCTAAGCGACGGCCAATCCAGGACACCGGCATTTCTTAAAAAATTCTGGGTAGCAATTGTTGTATGGGGTCGAGCATTGTCTTGTTGAAACGTTAGTCCAGGCCCATGTCTCTGCATAAACGGAAGAAGAACAGGTTGCAAAATCTGATCCCTGTACTGGACAGCATTTAAGTTCCCTTGGACAACAACAAGGGGAGAACGTCCATGTGCACAAAAAGAACCCCAAACCATGACGCTGCCGCCACCAAATCGGTCAACTTCTCTGACGTATACTTGAGCGTAACGTTCACCTCGTCTGCGGTACACTCGGACCCTGCCATCGGCAAATCTCAAAGTGAATCGAGATTCGTCACTAAAGACAACCGAATTCCACTGTCTTTGAGTAAATCTTATGTGTCTTGTGGCCCACACAAGTCGGTTACGGCGATGAAAAGGTGTCAATATTGGTCCATTATAGGGCCTCCGAGCACGAAGACCAGCAGCCTGCAAGCGATTTCGAACAGTTTGTGCAGTTACCCTTCCACCAAACATCTCTCTACTTGTGGAGGTTGCAGTGACAAATCTGTTTCTAAGATGACGTAATCGTATTGTGTGAGTGACGTCACACGTGGCGCTCCCCCCGTTGGGCGGTCGGCAATAGTTCCAGTTTGAAGCACTCTCATTCTAAGATTAATTATTGTCTGGCGTGAACAATTAAAGGCTCTTGCAACAGTGACCACAGACTGACCAGCATAGAGCCTACCTATAGCACGTAGACGTTCTACATTTGGAAGGCGCGGCATTTTCTAACAAAGATGAAAATAACAATTTTAATTTGTTTTTCCAGTTCAAGTTACGTGTGCGTGTTCAGTTTAAGCAAACTTGCACCGATTGACCTCACGAGTTTGTGTTTGCACGCGTTTTTCAGGTTTTTCATCTTTATATGCTCAAAAGTCACATGATCCACGTGACTTTACAATTTTATGAAATTAAAGGCTTCTTACTACTTACTATCGTTAGAAACAATTTAAAATTTATTTGACTTACCAGAAAAAAAATTGTTGAAATTCATCAGTGTCAAGTTTTTAATTTGGCTGAGTATATATCAGAATATCCCAATTATTCACTTGACCACTTGTCTATTAGACAGCACTAACACAGACAATTCATAAAATCAAAAGTTAATTGCAAAGATATGTGTCATTTAAAAAAATATGTCACAAATGTTAACAATATGACATGCCTTCCATAGAAGATATTATTGTTTTAGTCAATATGTCTGATCGTTTTCGATTCGACAACACAATTCGAGGTCAATCTGGTGTGTCCATTCATTGCCACCCATGCAGAGACTAACATGATACAGGTAAGATACGCAACATAGTAATACAATCTCTAATAAACCAAGACAGCCAAGCAAATTGTGGAAATACGCCCATACAGCGGCTATCCCTCGACAGTAGCATTTCCGTGAGAAAAATTTGGATGTTGACCAAATTTTATAATGAATGCCTTCGAGAATCTATCGGACTGTCACAGGCTTGAAAAGACCTGTTACAAGTTGTTGGATTTTCGGCAAAACGGGGATAACTCACAGAACGCTGAATATAGATAGGGTTCATCCTCTCAAGATCACAACGCTCCACACCAGATTTGAAACAAATTCATTAAAGAATGTAGCTTATATCATGTTCAAAGGGTTTTAGGCAAACTATCAATACGGTTCGTCCCCTCATGACCACAATGCTTTAGATTAAATTGAAAAGAATTCGTTAAAAACTATAGCCTCTATTGCGTTCACAAAGATTTTGGAAAACCCTGGTACGGAAAGTTGCGGAACGCTGAATATCGATAGCGTTCGTCCTCTAATGAGCTCAATGCTTCCCCGCAAATATGAAAAAAAGATGTGTTAAAAACTATAGCCTCTACCGCGTTTACACTGTTGTCGGCATGCGGACGATGGGGGGGGGTAACTCGGCAGGGAGCTTCCGGTCATGACCTCAATGCTACCCACCAAATTTGAAAAAGATCCGTCAAAAACAATAGCTTCTATTGCGTTTACAATGTTTTCGGCGAAGAGGGGTAACTACAGAAAGAACGGAAAGTTGCGGAACACTGAATATCGAAGGCGTCAGCCGTTTTGAATCCGTCAAAAAGACACCTCTCGAAATAAACAGATCATAGGCACTCAACATTTCTCTGGTAGGTCAGAAAGGCATGTGTAATTAGTGTCTCCCATTGTAAGAAAGGTTTGTATATTGGGGTTTGTTTCCGGGCATTGCAGTCCCCCTGGACTTATTTACTACAGGGTTCATCCTCTCCGCCCGTCTTCATTAGCCCAGTCAGGGGCAGAACAGTAGGACGTTAAACCCCATTTCATTTCATTTCATCCTTTCCGATCAAAATGCTTCACTCAAGATTTAAAAACTTTGTTAGAGAGAGAGAAAAAAAAATGGGGTTTAACGTCCACTCGACACAAACTAGGTCATTTCGGGACTAACATATGGTTTAATTTTGTTTCAATAATTCGCTTGCGCGTAGGGGTCTTTGGCAGTGGGAGGAAACCGGACGACCCGGAGAAAAACCTACGAGGTTGGACAGGCGACCATACTCCGTGTCACGAAAAACTTTGTTAGAATTTGTAGGCTTAATGGCGTCCTATCGTAATAAAAGTTTCGGGAAGGTTTCAGATCAAGTTGGCTTCTATCATGCTGACAAGGAATACACACAGTGTGGATAGTTTTCGGTAAACAAAGGGCACAACTCGAAAAATATGGATTGAGATGGGGGGATAACTTACTTCTTGTAGGTAAAACAGATGGAGCAGCACCATTGGAAACACATGTAGAGTCGGGTACACATCCGTCTTGAAAGTGAAATCGTTGTCCATCATCGCATGTCATCTTTTTTAAACTATTGTAACCCGTACTAGGATCACACTCATAGTAACCACTACACGTCTTACCGTCTGTGATACGAAGTTCACGGTTTGTAGCATTACTACAGGGATTGTTAGCTGAAATACAAAGGTTTAATATAATTAGTTAGAACACAGAGTCGCCAACTAAAATATGCTCCTAGTGATTAAGAATGTTCTGTTTGCTTGCATTTAATTTTTGTCCAATTATCCACACTTTAACAGGCGAATTCAACACAATCAATTTAGAGGAAGTGGTACGAAAAGAAAATTAAATGATAAATAATTACAACTAAAACATACCATTAACGATGAGTGGGTATAGTAATGTTTTTCTTTATTCTGGTGTGAATCAAGTATATTTTTACGTTTTGACATTTTGTGATTAGCAAAGTGTAATTAAATCTCCAAATATAATTATACATTAAGCATTAACTCGAAATAAAAATTTCAAATGTATAAATTCCTGTTAATTATATTATATGAAAAAGAAACATCGAATAATGTGTCTGGCTTATTTGCAATGGGCTTCACACCAAGGGCAGTATCATTTGCCACCTTTCTCGAAATCATGACACACATGTCTAAAAGTGCAAATATTTATTAGTAAATGTTAATAATACTATCTAAAATTCTACTTACTTTCATCATATATACAATTTACTTTGTAATGGTTGTCGACCCTGTTACAAGAGTAATAGGCGTTATACATCACATCATCAGTTGGACATTCAGTGAAAGATACTTTCCCTGACAATTCGTTACATGTGACTAAAATACGACATGAATATGGATGTACAATAAATGGTTTATTCTCTGATTTGGCTTTGGCACACACGGCTACAAAAACAAAAGATAAGTGTCAACATACATGACTTCTGAAAAATAAAAACATTGGCAAACACGTTATGGTGATATAATACTTTGAAGTACAACAGATAATGTGAACTCAAATGTGAAGCAGCATTGGGTGTACTATAGGCCTTGATACCTGTTCTGTTTTGGGTCTTACATGATTGTTTGGTGCCGTTTTGCAGACACCGTCTTCATTAGCCCAGTCGGAACAGAACAGTGGGACGTTAAACCCCATTTCATTTCATTTTGCAGACATTGTAACACACGGCTGTGTAACATGTTTGTTTTGGGTCCTACGTTCCAGAAGGAGTGTCAAAACCCCGAAAAATTTATCAAAATTCTCAAAATTTATTATTCGGAACTGAAGACAGAAGCAGTTCTGAAGAAATTTTTTCTGCAGTACATAACTTCCTCGGCATCTCCCAAAGATTTTGAAAACTCCGTATGAAAATGTATGAAATATAAATATTCTGATTGTGGTTTGTACATATCGTGTATATAGTTTATATAGCCATCTTATAATTTAATCGTTCCACTAATTTAATCATTCCACTACTTTACAATATATATTTATGCTTATGGAAAGGGGGTCAATGGGCTTCTGTCTGTTCTCCAGTCCAGTTTCTGTGAATAAATATTTTTAGAAAAAAAGTGTCCTTGTACAGTCTTGTGTTATCGCGTTATGGCCTTTTGCACTTAAAATGGAAAAGATGAATGCAAATTGTTAGCTATTTTGTGTTAATCTCGGACATTCATTTAAGTTTAAAATAACATCAGAAAGAATGAACTGCGTTTGTACTCACCTGTATAATTTGTTGGTGGTAAAAAATTGAAGTTGTGTGTTGACGCACTTACTGTATATTGTTTACCCTCAGCTGTACGGGTAGATACCAGAATACTGGCCATTAATATAACTACATTCAGCATCGTGGTCATATTTACAGATGCAGTAGTTGGAGATTACACGAAGAAAACTTTAAAGGTGGAAGGTGATGTGACTCTTATAGATTGTCTTCAAGTGTTCTGTCAACATCATCTCCGCCAATCAAATCGTGTTTTATGTATCCGTATTTACACATAGTATTTACCAGAAGAACAATTTAGATGATGAGCCAATCCTAGATTTTAATGACTTTCTCTAAACTTGGTCAATACTTAGAACAATTGTAAGTTTAATCCTGTAGGTGCCGGCCTTTTTCTGAGTCGAGGCACTCATATTGTTTAGTTTAGTTTCTAGATTTTATTTGTATTAAACAGTATTTGTATTTTCCAATAAGCGGTTAAATAGTCTCCACGTAATCCATGTATATGTAACGTACCCAATTGAACCAAGATAGTCAATGTGTAATAATTATTAATTATTTATTACAAAAATAAAGATATAAGACGCCCAACCCTTTGAAGTTCTTCATCGTTATGTAAAATATAATTTTTAATTAACAACATTTCTTTCGTGTTGTGTTTAAAGTGATAATTCCTCTTCATGTTATTTTAGTCTATTTTGCTTCGCCAGTATTATATATAGTAAACAGCAAAACAAAAAACGTCAGTACAATTTCAAAATCAGAGAGGCACTTTAATCAAATCATTCTAGAAAATGACTTAACTAAATGGATCAAAGCAATTTTTTGTGAACAGTATGTTGACACATTAGTGATTAATTCATCACAATTTCATGACATTACGAGAGTCTGTACACATCAGTATCTGGTGTGTCCACTGCGAGTGTCAATAACAGCAGCGCAGCGTTTATACATGGAGTGGAACAGACGATTGATGAACGCCATTGGCACCTGGAACCACACTCTCAGAAAAGCCTGGCGCAATCCATCGGCTGTGTTTGGTTGAGGTACGACGTTATTAAGTCTCCTCTGAATTTCATCCCAAAGATGTTCAATCGGGTTTAAGTCCAGACTAAGGGCTGACTAGTGCATAATGTTGTCACCGTTCTGCTTTAGAAAGTCTCGAGTAACTCTGGCGGTGTGGGCACTGGCGTTGTCATGCTGGAAAACGTTGTTTCGATGACGTGCGAAATGTGGTATGACGTGGGGTCTGAGAGCTTGATCGATGTAGCACACTGCTGTGATGCCGCCTCCTCTCCCTGGACCAAAATTTTGGAACACAACAGGACCCACTCTCTGGTTCAGGCTGAATTCACCCCAAACCAATATGCTTGGAGCTCCCCATGAGTATCGTTCCATGACACATTGGTCAGAATAATGCTGGCCACGTCGACGCCATATTCTGCTCCTGCCATATGCAGTTCATACGCAATACCGACTCTCATCTGTAAACAGAACATTTCTCCATTGCCTGTGACGCCAGTTCTGGTGTTGTTGGGCAACCTGTAGACGTTCACGTCGATGGCGGGGGGGTGGGGGGGTGAGAATCGGTCCACGGTAAGCTCTACGGCAATGGATGTTCTTTCTGGTGAGACGTTGGCGCACTGTATCGGTACTGATGGGTTTTCCGTGTGTTCCCACTGTGTAACGTGCTGTCTAAGATGCCTGTGTGAAGGGATTCTGCACGTGCTGTCGCACAACATGGCGGTCTTGTCGTTTTGTGGTAACCCTTGTTTTGCCAGTTGGGGCGATCATCCGTAGTGTTGGTGGCCCGAAAGCGTTGCCGAACATTGACCTGAAAGTGATTGGCAACGGCTTGGGCAGTGTGGCCACCGCCGAGCCTTCCAAGCGCCTGGTTCCTCTCAGCTGTCGTGAGTCGAGACATGCTGCTGACGTTGTAGTGTGAATGATTCAACCAGGTATGGGGGGGGGGTGCATTTTATAGAGCTGGTCCCGGTGAACAGCACGTGCAGCATGAGTTACATGAAAATCATGAAGAACACATTACCATTTCCTGGGTTAAATTCTGTGTTTGGGAAGGAGTCTTATTGCTTAGTTAAAGTTGGAGATGTGGTCAAAAATATACAATTAAAACATTTGACAAGTTTTATACAATACGTCTATTCAGAGTAACATACCAAACTGAAGTTTCTTTTGCTGCTTAGTATACTTTATAAGGATCGAACTCTCAAAGTTCTAATCAGCGTGGGGGGTTGGATGGCTGAATGGTTAACGTGCGCGCGCTGTATCATAAAGTCTGTCATTGAGTCGACTGGCGTGGTTTCGAAAGCGCCGGTTGTACGTGACAAGGAGTAGGGTCGCCTGTCCAACCTCGTGGGTTTTCTCCGGGTCCTCCGGTTTCCTCCCACTGCTAAAGACCCCTACGCGCAAGCGAATTATTGAAATAAAATCAAACCATATGTTAGTCCCGAAATGACCTAGTTTGTGTCGAGTGGACGTTAAACCCCATTTCTCTCTCTCTCTAATCAGCGTTCGAAAATATAACAACAAATGTTCAACTATTAAATTAGGTCAGTTTAGGGATATATACAGTTTCGGTGAGTAAAACATGAAACTAAAATTAGTAGTGTAATGGTCGACTACTACATTTTCTGCCAAACCAATTGTGAATTACTTGCAAAATCGTTAATCTAAATGAACCTGCGTGTACCTATGGTGTGGCATCTTTTACGACTTTGAAGATTGTACCTGTTTTAATATTGTGCTAATAAGACCCACTCACTGATTAAATACAACAAACTGATTATTTCAATATCATTTCAATTAACAAAAGCACTCATTTGTCTTTATAGTATTGTATTAAAAATAATTGCTGTCGTTTGAAGTGTTCGGGGCTATCCGGTACCGGTCCTTTAGAAATTACACAACGCAATCTACATTAATTGTTTCTATTTATTTAACTGAGATGTAACGTCGATTTTCTCCATCTAATGACGAACTGACTCAGTTGTTTTCAAGAAGATCAACATTTAACTTTCGGGCGGAGAGAAATATATACCTTCTAATCAGCCCAGTTTGTCAAGAAATAACACCAGAATTTACTAACACCCCTCCCCTATTTTACATTTACAAATATATAGAATTCTATCAAATTCACTTGTTTCTAACAACTTCTTACTATTTTTGCAATAATGCACTTCGTTATGGTTGTCTTCAGTTGATGCTAAATTTGATATACATCTGAGTAAAACTGACTAATTTAACGAGTATTTTACGGGAAGATTTTATTAATATGGGAATAGTGAAATAATCTGTTCTGGATAAAGTTATTCTTAATCCAATATGTGTTGGCCCAAATTGTGTCTCTTCTTCGTTTTCATTAAACAATAAAGGGACTATCCCGATTTCAAAAGAGTCTCAAAAATAAAAGTCGGAGTACGTATGAAATTTAAGCGCCAAAATAAGGAGGAATGGTGTATTTACCTTCTCTCAAAATTCCAGCTCAAAATATTGAGTCTCTGGACGTGAACGTCAAAACTGCTTATCCGGACACGTAACCCTTTTAAGATTTCCGGTCAGTTTTTTCGTTGGGTGACCTGATAATCGATTCCCGTTCCTTGAGAGGTCTATATAGTGAATGATCCATATGCTCTACTTGATAACGAAAGGTAAATTTCACCTACACATTGTTATTATAAAATAAAAGTCTAGTTTTATGCAGACACCGCATGCAGCTTGGGGCACCTGTCTCCATTTCCAGATGAAGACTGGCAGGTTTAAGTTGTTTGAAAACGTATCACAAATATTGAGTTAGTTTCTCCGCCCTTAGCTAGAGGAATTTAAGGGATTTTAACACAAAATTAAGCAGTTTTATTCTGCAAAAAAATATCGGGATTAGCCCTTTAAACTTGGTTTTATTTTTCGTTGGTTTACTTATTTCTTCATAAGACGCGTTCAGTAAGGTGAAAATTGTGATTGGTCGACAACATTAATCTACTTATCAAAACATGTGATACAAAAAAGTTTACATTATCCAAACATTTCGAATCAAGGTCAAGTGTTATATTACGCAGTCGCCATTCTAAGTAAAACAATTGGGTTGTGATGCCTCGCCTACACAAATAATCTTAATGCTATTAATCATCCCCATCCAAATTTGCTAAGCTAAATCAATTTACATTGACTCTTGATATCGCGTTTATCACACCTATTTCATTTTTCTATTGATACTCTCAAGGGTTGCTCACCTCACATTTATAAATCATGTAGGATCATTCAATGGAGCTAGTTAAACGCCTTCGAGGTGGGGGTCATTGACGGATTTGTACCTAAAGTTCTAGTCATCATTTTAGTTCTCCTTCATTTGAAAGTACGTTGTAATTTGAAAGGTCATGTTTGCTTTCATTTGGACTTCGTGTTAATTAATGTGTTACAATGTCATGTTCACTTATTTGTACCAATCCTGGAAGGCATTCCAGCAACCTTTTCGATTATATCATTACGGTTACTTCCATTTTGTCTTTCTCATTTATTTGACCAATCATCGTCTTCAAATACAACACACACGAAAAAATGTGAGCTGTTGATATGTAAAAGTAAAGTCAAGTATCTGTGAAAGAAGTAGTCGGGTAAAACTCATCAACCTAACTATAGTTACAGGTGTGAATTAATGTACTGAGGTGTTGCAATTGTAACATCGCGGTACAAAGTCATGTACATTACACATACCACATCTTTATACGATACACGAATACTGGTCTGAAAATACTACTCGGCATTCCGCATTGTATTCCGTTAATTTCTGGCTATAATACAGGTTGCATTTACTATTTCGGGTATTTGTCTGCGATATCTCAATCGGTGGAAGCGGCGTTTAAATAAACGTATTCATATACATATTTCAGGTTAATTTTCATATTGTTTTAATTCTTTCAGATATAGTTGGTGGTCGATTGGTCCAACGCGTGTGCTTTAGAGCATAGGATCTGTTATTGAGTCAAATAGCGTGGTTTAGATCCCACACCCGTTACACGACAATGAGTAAAATTGGCTGGCTAAACTCGTGGGTCTCTCTCTCTCTCTCTCTCTCATATTTCCCTGGCCACAAGAAAGACGTCCGAGATACGGCGAAGTGAGGGCCGGGCTGGATTTCCTCGGGGCGTTGGTAATAGTCACCAAGCCGCACTCTCGAGCTACGCCGCGTGGCCGTCATATCTCACGACCAACTGAGGACTACAAAAGCGTTGCGGCGATGGGAAGATACGACCGGTTACTAGGAAATACTTGCGGACAAACGTCTCTTTATTCATTAGATCATTAAAGGGCAGCGTAAAAGAATTTATCAGGCATAAGAATGTGCCTAGATGTTTTTGATAATTCAAGCCAAATTCAGCTCTGGGGAGTTACTTCCCTTTACCAAAATGTCGGTTTTCTCAAGCCGCATCCATGTTGCCAAGAATACAAAGAATGGAATGCGATTAGTATTTTGTGCATTGTTTTAGTCAAAAACCTTTTGCATTGGCCTAATAAATGTATTGTTTACTTTATCAAATACACAACCATTAGCTTATTTATGTGTAATCTCACATAAGCTATAACTTCATGAAGGTGCGTTCCACGAAAGGCCACATTAATTATCGTATTGATTTTTATACGCCTACATTTTCATGTGGATGTATTATGCCGTCGTCCCAGTCCGTCCGTCCACAATTTGTTTGTGGACACTCTACAGGTCACAATTCTCGACCATCCGGTGATCTAGAGAGTTGATTATAGGCTTATATGCTCTGATCGAACACATCATAGTTTTGTTTTAAATACTTTCTGCTATTGAATTTAATGCTGAATATGCTGAAGAAGTAAACCTTGAACCTTGATTGACTATCGACAGACCGATTGTTAACACACTGTGTGCACAGTCTCTGTGTTAAAAAATAAATATTTAAAGATTAGACACAGAGCTGGCAGGTATCGCAATAATAGTTGAAAAATAGATAATGAAAGTGGAATATGCTGAAAATTTCAGTCAAATTTCTTCACTCTGAGCGCGGTGGTAACGCAATGACAGCAAGGAAGGCGTTGGGTTCGCGTAAATGAACGGCAATAAATTCACCACGCGTTCATCACGCTCCTGTAACGACCTCGCCAAACGCTCAAGTTCTTACTACGCCCATGGCCACGCTCCGGCTACGAACACTGTGTCCCTACCACCTCTTGCTGCGACCATTCAGCCCTGGCGAAACAGTGTAACACGCACACGTGCCAGAAGCGTCGTTTTCCAACGTGGTGGAAACGCGGTTGCGGATATGGGGACGTGGCTGTGAATTAAATACTTTCCAAGAAGCCTCCGTGGCATTGATGATGTTATACCCCCGTCAGACTGGGGGTGGCGTCCTTACTGCGACGCTACGGCGACGGAAAATGGTCGCTGAGCGCGTCAAGATCGCCATAAGCTTAGTAAAAGCTGAGATCTTCATGGTCGTGAATGATCGCGGAGTCACGGCGTTTGTTTTAAGCATGTTCAAAACAAACGCCAAGGCTCTGCGATCTAACCTTGAAAGCTGTAATGCCCCCGTCAGACCGGAGTGTCGTCCTGCAGCGACCGTACGGCGACCAGAAAATGCACAAGGTCGACCAAAAAGTCTGAATATTGGAGTTACTGGGCGTTATTTTGGAGTTATTGTGTGTTTTGTGGTAGTCATTGAACCCGAGACCTCCATCTAGACTAGCGTCTTACTAGCTGAACCATGGCGGCTCTCCAAATTAAAAATGGCATAAGAACAGTTATAATTATATTATCAAATATAAATAAACATTATTATGATATGAGTTTAATCAAATAAAACCAAGTACGAACAATCCAAACCATTCGACAAATAATAAGGCAAAATAGTATAATAAGGCAAAATAGTGTAATCAGCATATGGACTGTTCACCGTGTACAAAATACACGACAAACAGTGGTAACAGGTGTCCGGAAGAGTAAGCTTACCCTGCCTGGTGCCATACCCGCCATAGCTGCATCCAAACTATTAGACGAAATCTCGGTAAAATAGCGTGATTGGCCAATGGACTATCGGTATGCAAAATGCACGTGATGAACAGTGTTAACGATGTATAGTAGAGAGAGAGAGAGAGAGAGAGAGAGAGAGAGAGATGGGGTTTAATGTCCATTCGACACAAACTAGGTCATTTCGGGACTAACATATGGTTTAATTTTATTTCAATAATTCGCTTGCGCGTAGGGGTCTTTAGCATTGGGAGGAAACCGGACGACCCGGAGAAAACCCACGAGATTGGACAGGCGACCCTACTCCTTGTCACGTACAGGGGATTTGAAACCACGCCAGTTGACTCAATGATAGGCTTTATGATACAGCACGCACGGGTTAACCATTCGGCCATCCACCCCCCCCCCCACCCCTCTAGTAGACAGGCATTATCAGGGAGATATATGTAGTATACGCGTCAATTAAATATCTAGAATAATAGCCGAGAGAGAGATTATATTTACCAATCAAGTCAGTATGACGGCCATAAAACTTTTTAAAGGTTTTAATAAGTTTAGTTCGCAAGTAACCCTGTAGTTAAAGCGTAGATGGCAAATGCCTCGATCTACTTAAAAAACGGAATAAAAGGAACAAGCTCTCGCGTAACAAGCTAGCTGAGACACAAACACTCCATAAGCTGGTGATATTGGAATGTTACTACTAATAAATGGAAAGTTAACAATCGGAAAGTCAAAGTCATCACGTTTATCGTACAATTTAACACTAAGTTTGTGTCAATTGTCAAAATCGAGACGCAGATCCAAGTAGGAAGCGTAATAGTCAATGTCAGTAGTGTTTTTAATTTCGAGCTCACCAGGAGATATGAATTCTACATAATCACTAAATTTGGGATTATTTAGTGATAGAACATCATCGATATATCGATAAGTGAAATTAAAATGTCTGACTAATCGTTTATTTGATTTTACGAGTGCCTGTATTTAATTGGCTTCGTAGGAATAGAGGAACAAATCAGCAAGCAAAGGTGCACAGTTGGTGCCTATGGGGATACCTACCACTTGCTGATATATTTCCCCTCCAAATTCAACAAAGATATTATCAATTAAAAAATCCAACATCTGAATTATCTTGTTGGCGGTGAATTTATTTTTGGAATCACTATGGTTCTTAACAAAATATGTGGAATTGTAATTAACAACTAAATATTGATATCTAACATTTCCCGATTTTGATGAAAAGACACTGTGAATAATGTCTTTTAACCGAGCTTTTAATTTACTATGGGGAATTTTAGTGTAGGCCTACAAAGTAGAAAAGTCAAACGTTTGTATAGATGAGACCGAAGCAAATTAAGTGATCTAGATTGCAAACCACCAAGTAATTATTTGGATATTTTTTAATATCCACATTTGATTGATTAAAACCACTACGAGAGTATATTTTGTCACAGTATTTTTGAATACCCTCTTTCACTGGTTGCTTGTAGGGATTTTTATGTAGTTTAGGTATCCAATATAACAAGGGATAACAATGTGCAACTGTTTTGTTGGGTTTCTTTGTCTATTTTTTTTTCTTTTTTTTTTATACTTTTGTCTTTATTCATTTATTAAAAATTTATTATTTCGTTTTCGCCACACATATTGTCGGTCAAGAAATCCATAATTTCACGTAACCGATATTCCACGGGAAGATAACTCCCGTAGAAATTTCCGCCATGAAAATATGAATTCTAGATTTTTAAATAATTAATTCAATTATTTGGATAGTATTGAGTTAGATTCCAGTAGTTATTTAAGATCTAATGGGTTAAATATTGCCGACCTGAAAGAGAGACATACGTAGGTAGCCTGCTTTCTTCCTCATTCGCTGCCCTCCTTGCTTGTTAGTTGCGATTAGTTGTTGTGGCTTGACATTTGTTGATTGACAATGTCACACAATGATGAGAATAGAATGAATCAGTGATTAAGACAAGAGTCTTCTGTTCTACTTCTACTCCCTAATCAAACCAAACACTCGGACATATCACTGACTGACTGAGAAAAAGATTGGTGCTCAGCAAACCAAGACACTCTTGTTAAAGGCTCAATACCACTCTGTTGTAACTGAATAATATGTCCCAATCTTTATTCTGGTCAACAAATTGTACTATTTTAGAATATTCCAATTAATTGATGATACAAATTTCATCTTAACACACCTTATTTAAATTTTTTTAAAAATTCAACATAATGATTTGAAACGTCTAACGTAAACCTTTTCAAATGAAACTTCGATTTAAAAATATTTTCGAACCCTCTGCACAAGTAAAATAGGATGTAATGGATAATGTACACAACAGGTAGGACACTTAAACATCTAGTACTTAGATAGAGATATTATTTATTTTCTGGAGCTTTCAAGCCAGCAAGAGTGTTATTGTCCCTTTAACAATAGATAATTAAGAAACCTCATCTCTCAGTCTCAATCAACCCTCCGTGTTTCGAGAGATCCACCTTGACCTTGCAAATCTCGATTCTAATCAGATCGGGCTTCAAATAGGCAAAACTGACAATTTTTTCTTCAAAACAACGATTGATTATTGTTATTTACAAAATTCTGCCACATCAAATTACAATTAATAAGCATATAATCCGGTACTATATCAGTAACGTACCTCGACCAGTTCCCATGATCGTAGCGACTTGAAATTTTCAGGGGGTATTCATGGGGCCTAGCCATGACCTCACGACAAATTTCAGTCGAATCAGTCAATAACATTTTATTTTACCGTAGTTTAGCTTATAACGAGATTTCAAGTTTATCCTATTTTGACGCCATTTTGTTTGTTGGCTATTTAGACTCGAATAACAAGACAGGGTTAGGGCTAGCCCTGTCTAAATCTTGAGACTATGACGAAATCTACAGGTCCTAGCCCTTACCCTAACCCACAATCCACATATGACGTCATTCAAGCCTAAATAGTCAACAAACAAAATGGCGTCAAAATCGGATAAATTTATCTCTTATATAGAAGCTAAACTACGGTAAAATAAAAAGTTATTGACCGATTCGGCTGAAATTTCGTGTGAGGTCATGGCTAGTCCCCGTGAACACCCCCTGAAAATTTCAAGTCTCTACGATCACAGGAACTGGTAGAGGTACGTTACTGAAATAGTACCTATAATCCTACCTGACAGCTGACACAGGTACAAACCATATCTTTTAAATCGAAGCGATAATAGCTGCTGGCTTTCCAGGCATTTTAAATTTGACATCTTTACATCATGAAGGCAGGGCTTATGTTTAATAAATCCTTATATTATAAAATTAACATATTTTTAAGATGTTGCTTGCATCGTAGCTAAAAACAAGCAAATCAGTATATCTCAACGTTTTTAGCTACATCCTCGTAGCTAGTTAAACAACATCGTCAATGTATAACCTGTTAACTGATAATTTTGTGTTGGATGTCGCAAGAAATGATTCCTTTTGGCAAACAAAGATAAATCATGGTGAAAAATAAACAGAAAGGATTCCAAAATAGCCTTAGGTTAGAACCGAGATGGGGAAAAGCCTTATTTTCATATTAGTTGTCATTAGGTCGCGACAGTAACGAAGAGAGAGCGCTAGGGGTATCTAAGACTTTGTTACTAAAGTATCTACTATTATGTGAAAATACTACCCGTGCAGAAGCTGACATTTTATGAGATTCTCCTTTTCCTTAGTAGGGGGGCTAATCGGTGGTTGAATTTCTTTAATATTGTCTTGAATTCTTTCACGGAATCACTGATCTCTTCTCTTATTACTGTAATACCCTATTTCTTCACATTTTACAATCAACTAGATGTTTTCTGTATCGGTACTGTTCATTGTTTGCAGGAAAAAATAAATGGTTTTGGTTATTTACATTCATGTGTGCAGTTGATTATACTCTGCTAGAGCGCAGTCTGTCCCATTATATAGATTTCTTCACAGTTATGCAGTCCATTTCCCATGTGTTTTTCAGATCAAGATAAAGGATAAAATTTTAAAATGGATGATGTTATTGACCAAAAGCCAATGTCATCAGTATTATTGGGTGGAAATTTATCTCAGTCTTACTATGTGTCTCCTGATCAAAAAGAATTTAACATTGTTATGCTAGATCATTGTTATTCTAAGCCATGGGGAGCTCATCCTGATGCCAGTAATGCCCAACCTATGAGAACTCTTTATATGGCTAAATTCCCAAGAAATCCTAGTCCAGCAAATACAGTTAGGTAGGTAAAATATACAATAGTGGACATGAATGTAACTTAATTATACCATAGCTGTTGAAAAAAATATTTTTGTCAGATTTCTGCACATCTATGAATTTCTTCATCATGGCATGTAAACCAAGTAATCATTGGCTGCTATTTTGTACAGTGTAAAACTTATTAAACATATTAATCTATAAATTCCTCAACATGGCAATGATGGCATGTAATCTGATAATCATTGGATGCCATTATATGATGGGTACTGTTTTATTAATACTTAATTACACAAAGGAATATTTCATCTATGTATATCAAAGATCCACATCGTACATTGCCATACCTCCAAAACATGGTAAAATCTTTGTCTCATGAGGAATAAACCAAACAACTAATAAGCATGGTTTTAAATATGTTCTGCACTGGAAAGATATAATAAAAAAAGCGGAACTGACCATTTAAGGCTGTCCACGTTAACATTGAAAACTGATCTAAATCATAAATTAAACTTTTGATCCGATTTTGATGAAACTTAAAGCATGTGTTTAAATAACAAAGACCTCTATCTTAGAGCATATCAGACCGTGACTTTCTGGATTATGGCCCCTGATTGTACAAAAAACTCGTGATTTTTGTGGATTTTAAAATTGTTTAAATATATCATCGATACACCCTGATGATGGTTTAGTTCCAATTTCATAAAAATCAGACCGAAACTGCTCGACAAAGGTTATAGCCTACAAAGGTTGTGGGCCCTATAGAGGTCACAATTTTTATCCGATTTTAATCAAACTTAACATATATGGTTGTATCCCAAAGATCTCTGTTCCTTTTGATGAAACTTAAAATATATGTTTATATCCAAAAGATCTTGGTTCCTTTCCATATTCGTGCATATCAAACCATAACTGCTTGGATTATGGCCCCTGATTGTTCGAAAAATCACATTTTTAGGCTGTGGAACCTCTAGAGGTCACAATTTTTTTCAGGTTTTAAAAAACATTTAATTATATCACTGTTGTTGCACTATAATGAAGGTTGAGTTTGAATTTCGGGAAAATCAAAACAAAACTTCCCGACAAAATCGATGTTCCTTGTACACAAATTATAGTGTAAAAGTATGTATTACGAAGATTGTGGACCCTCTATAAGTCACAATTTTGGTCCGATTTTGATGAATATATGTTTATGTCATAATGATCTCAGTTCCTTTCAAAATTCACGCATTTCAGACTATAATTTACTGGATTATGGCCCCTGATCGTACGAAAAATCACATTTTTTTTAGCTTGTTTTATACGCCCACCACATGGAAATCTGGACGTATATTGCTGTCTCCCCTGTCCATCGTCCACAATATCTTGGGAACACTCTTACGCCAAAAGTTATCATCCGATATATGTTGTTTACATGTACATTAATGAGATGAAGAATCCTATTTAATTTCAATATTTTCCGTTAATTAATTCTAGAGTTATGGTCCTTGCCGATCTGTATGAAATTTGTATGCATTATTTAAACTAGTAAAAAGAAGAATCCTATTGAATTTCAGCAATTTCCATTACATCTAGAGTTATGACCCTTGTTTCATTTTGTTGAACCTTGTGAACGCTATAACGCCAGAAGTTATCATCTTGGTGATATTTATATGCATTATTTAAATTAGTGAAATCCTATTGAATTTCAGCAATTTCCGTCAATTACTTCTACAGTTATGGTCCGTCTTCATTAGCCCAGTTCGTAGAAGAGAAGTAGGATGTTAAACCCCATTTCATTTTATTTCTACAGTTATGGTCCTTGTTTGTGAACCTTGTGAACATTTAAATGACAAAAGTTATCATCCGATCTGTATGAAATTTATATGCATTATTTAAATTAGTAAAACAAAAAGGCCTGTCAAATTTCAACAATTTCTTTAAATTACTTCTAGAGTTAAGGCCCTTGTTTCAGTTTGTAGAACTTTGTGAACCCTCAAACAAAAATTATAATCTGATCTCTATGAAATTGTCTTGTAAATGCTCCCAATTACCTACAAAAGAATAAATATGCTGTGGACGTATGTTTCGTTGCCTGGCAACCTATCTTTTATTCATCTGTTGCAAAATGTAGGTCTATCTTGCATGGCAACTGCTGGCTACTGATGATTTGACCTATATTCAACTGTAAAAAAATTATGTTGTTTATTTAGAATGTAACTTGTACAATGTACACATCTTAGGTTATGCATGATTTCCTTTTTTCTTAATAGCTCCAGATCCTCTTTTAGAAAAAAAAACATGCACACTGTTTCTTACGTGGGTGAAATCACACCAGAAAAGTTTCAGCATGTTTTCCCTTTTTTAATAATCAATAAAGAAGTAATTTGTGTGATATTTAGCTTTTTGTTTTTTGGGTTTTTTTTTAAAGTCAATATGAAGAAATAATAGATGTAGTAGGAACTGAATCTCCACCTGTGTCAGTTGATCTAACTAAAGCTCGTGGTTTAATGAGTGAATGTGAAAGACATGTTAACTTTGCTAGAAGAGAAGAATGCCCTGATGATTGGGAAGAAAACATTTCAAGGTATAGAACTTTGCTATTAAACTTATTCATATTTGTTACATGGCAGAACAAAAGCTGTTTTTTTTATATGCAATCATTGAATGATTTTCAGCGATTCCTATAAGTATAATTTGAAAAGTTATAACCAAACTGATTTGAGATTTGTACAAAGTGTTTATGTTTATGCAATAAAGATCTCAATTGATTTTAAAATGCCACATTTTCACCTGGACGTATATTGCCGTCGCTCCTGTCCACCTAGACAACTGTCCCCCATTCTATACACATTTTGTTTGTGGACACGCTACAGGTCACAATTTTTATACGCCCACATTGAAATGTGGTTGTATATTGTCTTTGCCCCTGTCTGTCCGTCAGTCCGGTGTCCACAATTGCTTTTGGACACTCTAGAGGCTAAAGTTAAAAGCCGATTGACTTTAAATTTATACACAGTGTTTAAGGTCATGATACGAAGAAGCCTATTTGTTTTTCCTCGATTTCTGATAATTACTGCCAGAGTTATGACCCTTGATCACTTTGAAAAAACTTGTGGACGCTCTAGAGGCTAAAGTTAATATCTGATTGACTTTTATGAAGTTGTAATAATACATGTATCTGTTGTATTGAACAGGACTGGCTGGACTATGCAACAGAATCGTTTATTTACAAAAGTGATGAAATCTTTACAAGCTGACAGACAAGCCAGATTAACATTTGAAGGGGTAAGACTTTAATCTCTAATATGGCAAGGCCATATAGTAATCAAATAAAAATTTTGAAACAAATGAAACCTTCTTGTGAAGATCGTTTGATCAATTGCGATTTTATGTGATTATAAATGAAGTGTGGGTATTTCAATGTTGGTATTCTAATTAACAGATTGCTATTTAATATACACTAGATATTAGTAAGTAGTAAATAAAAATCTATTTTGTTTTTTCTATGTACCTGTTAGGAGGCCAGTGTCAAATAATTATTTTTTTCAGGTGCAAAATGAACCAATAATGAGAAGAAACAGTATTGATAAAACATCTAAAAGAATTCGGCAGGCTTTGGCTAGTTTTGGTTGGGTGAGTAGACTTTGTAATTCTTGTTGCCACCTTGACTGGGCTATTGGGGTAATGCACCCTTTGAATTTAGATTAAGTCGATGTACCTACATTGAAAGCCAACTATAACAAGGTAAAAAGCAGTAGTAAGAGTGAAGGTCTTGTGAAAGTGTAATGATTGTATTTTAGGATATGAAATTGGCACAGTGGTTGCATAACTTTCTGGTTCATAATCTCAGTTTACAACTGTTAGCAGCATATTTAGATGTTTTACAGACATTGAAGTCAAAGGTAACATAAATCTTTTTCTTTTCATTAAATTATCACATGGTATGCAATAAATGTCAGCCAGCAGATTGCCATCATAAAGTTATTACAAATACAGGTCACAATTCTATGGAATACAATTACTGCTTATCACTGAGCAATGTTTCAACTAGGCGTCTCTAGTCTTTCTTTATCAAACAATGATAAAATGTAAATGTGTGTGAAATTGCTTTATTTAACATCCTCTTTAACCAAAGTGATATCACTGACAATGTAAAATATAATGAGACAATATATATAAAACAACACTTGGTTAATACTGGCCACCAAGAGACACCCTTCTTATTGCCTTGAAGGAAACCTAACTTAATTAAAGTACCGCTAATGTATTTATGAAAGTTATCAAGGTTGATGAGGGTAATACAACAACATCCTATATGACATAGACCACTTTACCTGGAAATAAAACAAATTGATTGTGAAGTATTGACAATGATTTGATCAGGTTTTAATAACCACAACTCCATGAAAGAAGATGTAATTTAATTATCACTATTATCAGTGAAAAATATTAACATTTGAACATTGGACTCTATGGCGGGGTTGGAGTTTAAGTGTTCAGCTATAGCCGAGTTGATGGTTTCTACTTTCAACTTGTGTTTATCTATTCATTTGTTTAATTGTCATTTGGTCTCCCAGATGAAACAAATTCCACAAGAACACTTGATTTGGGATCATCTTGTTGTTTGATAATAACAAATGTGTCATCCACTTTTCTGAAATAGCAGCTTGGAGTTATGGCACCCTATTATATTCCATAGAATTCTGACCTTTATATTCGAGTTCAATTACTAAATGCCATTGAAACAATTTTAAAGTTTAACATGTTTGATCATGGAACTATATGTACTGTGTGGTACAGACAATATTACTACCCAAAATGTTCTGAAATTTCTAATACTGTTTGCTTTTTTCTTTTCCTGCATTTAGTTTTTTATTTGATATAATTTTGTGTTTTAGATACCTGAGTTGATAGATCGTATGATTAGTGACAGTGGTAGTTCTATGAGTCAAGTAGAAGCTGATGGATTAAATCTATTACTAAAGAGACCTTGGGATCCTGTTCAATCAGTCATACTACAGGAGAAACTGGTATATTATTTCTTGGTGTATCGAAATTATAATATTATTTTTTAATAATATTATTATCTACAGCTAACAATTCCCAATTGTCCTCTTGCTATGAAGACAGTATATCACTGTTTGATAAACAAGACAGGGCCATTTTACCACATTGGCACTTTGGGCAGTTTCCCTGGGGGCCCAATAGGATAGGGGCCCCTTGCTAATGTTTGTATTTTGAGACTTGCTGTCAATAAGTATTTTTTTAATGTGTGAACACTGATTTTGTTGAAAGCACCAATATATTAAAATATATGTTTAATTTTATCAACCATTTACATTGTTATTCCTGTGCTTTGAATGAGGACCTGTAATGAGATCAAGCCTTCTATTGAAGATGGGTGAAAAAGGGCAATTATATTTTAATGCGAGATACATATGCTATTCAGTATTTTACTTTAGCTCAGACAAATTAAAATGCACCAAACATAGCCTAAACTGGGATCAAATATACATAAATAATGACCTAAAATATTCAATTTCCCCATGTATGTATATTTACTATTCAAACATATACAATTCAATACAGTAATGTTAATAAGAGTGATCGTGTTATTTTTCAGAAAAAGTTACCAGGAAGCCCTCTGCTATTGTTAGCACCAAGTGGTCCCACATCCACCTCATCTCCTCAATCAAAACGTATGAAACTATGGCAGTCACAGTTATCATCGCTAGGGAAGGTTATACCAGTAACTATGCATACACCATCTGGTGGTAGTGGTGTCAGTATTACACAGTGTTTAGAACATATGATTGGTGCTGTTAAAGCTAAGGTTTTAGAGGTAATGAAATTTTTTACTTTTTAAGATAAAAAGACAATGGGTATATTTGATTGAACGTTCCGGAATTCGATTCTCTCAATCCCCAAAATAATCACAATTGAGTGAAAAGGGGGATTTCCACATCACTCAATTGAAATTCTGTCAATTTGGGGGACTATTTTGCTGGGACTGTTGGCAGATTTGATTTCTAACCTGCATTGCCAATATGGTCATTACATGTCAAGTGGACCAAATTCTTAGAAAATTATGAAAAAAAAATATGTTATAGTTCATACAGACTTATGTAAAACTGCAAAGTTATATATGACTATAGCATTAATATCGACTGAGATATGACCATTTGAATAGAGGATACCCTTTAATAAGTTTGGGGGGTCATGCTGACTAAGTGGGTAAGAACGTAAAAGATCCCCTGACAGTTGGAATTCGATATAAGAGTAGGCCGTAGTGCCGCTGCCCGAGCAAAATTTCCCTCATAGCACACTGAATGGCATATACCTGTCTTCATTAGCCCAGTTCTGAGCAAAACAGTAGGACATTAAATTTCATTTAATAAACTATTATTATATGACTCAGTTTTTGTGATCTGATTTTATTCCTTCTAGTCATTCAATATTCTTGAAATTATGGGGTTTGTAAGAAAATGTTATATAGATTAAGAATTTACCATCAAATTTTACAGAACAAGTACCCTCAACTGTGTATGGAGTGCCTTAACTGCCAAAAATTGATACTTGTGCAAAAAAAAAAATCAATATTTTGATACTGTGTAGGAATTTTACTGCTCTGTATTAAAAGTTGTTACTTATCACATGTATAATGGGTATTGTTTGAACATACATTATTAAAAGCCACATCTTTATCGGTTTCTTGTAAAATTAGTTTTGAAAATAGACTCACACAGGAAAATAGCTAAAATCACTCTTTTTCAAACGCTAACCATGTATAGGAGCTTTCCACGAAAAAATATGAAACTTTAAGAAAATGTTGCATGTACATGTGTCTATCAATAATGAAAGGCCTATCTTTGATATTTTACTCCTTCATTTTTTATTTTCATTATAAGTTCCCCGCCTTTCGAAGAAAGCAGGGGATAATTAAAATCTGTCTGTCTGTTTGTCGGTCCGTCACACTTTTTGGGACACAATAACTTCACTTCTAATTTAGCTAGAATGTTCTAACTTGGTGTAGGGGTTTATTAGGTGAATGCTTTGATGGAGTTCGAAGATGAGCATTTTCTGCTTAGGATAAGCAGAGATAAGCAATTTGATTGGTTGATGCTTTTGAACACAATAACTTTGGTTCTAATCTAGTGAGAGTGGTGCTAGTTTCATTACATCAGTACCTTAACAAAGTTCGATGCTGAGCATTTTCTGCTTAGGCAAAGTAAAAACTTCAATCTGATTGGTCGAGACTTTGGAACACAATAACTCTCCTTTTAATTGAGGTAGAATGTTCAAAATGGGTGTAGGTGTCTATTAAGTGAATGCATTGACAGAGTTCGATCATGCACATTTTCCTCAAAGCCTAAGCAGAGATAAGCAATTTGATTGGTTGAGGCTTTGGAACTTTGGTTCTGATTGGGTGAGAGCGATGAAACTCTGAGTATAGACTCATTATCAATACATTGACTAAGTTCGATGATGAAAATTTTCTGCTTAGGTCAAGTAACGACAAGCAATTTGATTGGTCAAGACTTTTGAACATAACAACTCTGCTTCTATTTGAAGTATAGATGTTCATTAGGCGAATGTCTTGACTGAATTCAGTGATTAATATTTCCCACTAAAGCTCAGCAGAGCTAAGCAATTTCATTGGTCGATGTTTTGGAACAGATAACTTTGATTCTAACTGATGGAGAGTGATGAAACATAGTGTATAGTTTTACTACCTGGTATTTCAAAACTTGACTGAGTTTGATTGTGAACATTTTATGTTAGACTAAGCACAGATAATCAGTTTGATTACTCAATACTTTTGAAAAAGATAAATGTGCAGTTAATTATATGTATCATCTGTTTATTTTGGGATTTCGGCGGGGGACATCAGCCTCACAAGGCTTGTTTTAAATAAAAAGAGTGATTTTAGCTATTTTCCTGTGTGAGTCAGTTTTCAAAGCTAATTTTACAATATTATTGCTAGAATGATATAACTTTGCAGTTTTACATAAATTTTCATGTACTATAACATATATTTTTTCGTAATATTCTGAGGGGGTCAGTTTACAAGTCCCAATTGTGAAATTTAGATTTCTCAATAGTTGTTTTTTTGTTACTGCAATAGCTTATCTGAATAAACATCTACTTAAAGACTCAATACCACTCTTGTTGTAACAGAATAATATATCCCAATCTTTATTCGGTCAACAAATTGTTACAGTATTCCAATTAATTGATGTAACAAATTTCATCTTAACACACCTAATTTAAAAAATTGGAAAAATTCAACGAAATGATTTGAAAAGCCTAACGTAAACCTTTTCAAATGTGACTTGGATTTAAAAATATTTTCGAACCCTCTGGACAAGTAAAATAGGATGTAATGGATATTTTACACAACAGGTAGGACACTTAAACATCTAATACTTAGAATAAGGCTAATATTTATTTACTGGAGCTGTCAAGCCAGCAAGAGTGTTATTGTCCCTTTCAACATACATAATGCAAGAGGTAAAGCTGCCTATTGCAGGTCTTTCTTTGGGCCTGAAATGTTATATAAACTATTAATTAGACATTTATTGACATGAAAAGACCATAATCAACTCTCGATGCCATCTTATGTGTCTGATTTTTGTTGGATTTGAATCTGATCTGCTACAACCTTTGATGATTAACTGCAAAAATGAATAATTGAGACTTTGTTGATTATCGCGACAAAGGTAACAATGACAATTGAGGCTACGGTGATTTTAAGATCAGGTTTTATCGACTTAAATAAAGCAATTCAACTAAAATTTTCAGCATATTCCCTTTACATTATCTAGTTTTTAACTATTATAGTGAGAACTGCAAACTCTTTATCTAATCTTCCATAATGTATCTCTAATGTTCCTTAATCTATATTTTATTTTTGTTTTGTTTTGTAGTTGAAGAACCATTTCCCTAATAAGCCAATAGTTTTGATTGGTTGGAATGTTGGAGCTTCAGTGGCTTGTCAGGTAAAATTTAAATATACATTTTTACATGTCTGGACAAACAGCATGTCACATATCAAGAATCTGAGACACACAATTCACTTGTAATACTTAATGAAAAGTTTATAATTGTTTACAGGTAGCATCAACAGAATTAGTATCAGCTGTAGTGTGTTTAGGATTTCCTTTTACTGGTGTAAATGGTAGTCGTGGGGTAAATATTTACATCCATTAATATTTTATTTTATGCACTCACATTATTTTTGCATACATGAGAATTTATATTTCTTTTGTTCCTTTTGCTAAAAGCTGAAATTCAATTATACAAAGTCTGTCTGGTTAATCAAAAAAATTGAATTATTAAACCTTTCTAGATCATACTAAAATGCTAAAAAAAACCAGTCACATCAGTTTGATTCTAGAACTCAGCCCAGTGACATTGTTAGTGAATTCCATTTTTTTAGCCACCATATCCACAAGCTACAAAGTTTGCAATTCTTTAGACTGTACATTATCAATTTATAGTATTCCTATCCTTTATTCAATATTTTTGTCAGTCATTACTCAGAAATAAACATATTAAACATACATTATGCAAGAGCTAAAGCTGCCTATTGCAGGTCTTTCTTTTGGCCTGAAATGTTTTCTATATTATTAATTAGACATTAATTAACTTATCTAGACCATAATCAACTCCTGATGCCATTGCTACCCTGCGATATTAAGCAGATTAGAATACATTTTGTGAAGGATGATTAAACGTAAAAATGGATAATCAAGACTTTGTTTTTTATTGTACCGACTTTAATAATGATGATCAAGGCTAGCCTAAAATTCAAAAGCTAATATCTCGGTTCAGAGTGGAGCAATTTGACTGAAATTTTCAGCATATTCTATTTAGGTTATCTACTTTTTTTTTAACTATTATAGCGAGAACTGTCAACTCTCTATCTAATCTCCCATAGTGCCCCTTTGTCAATAGGCAAGCCAGTATTCTACAAAGAGGGTGCCAATTCACCCAGATATGTGTACATCTGTCAGGGTGGTACATTTCTTACCATAAAGTCAACAGTAAATAACATTTTAGTGTGACCTAGAAGGTTTAGTATTATTATCAAAGCAAGTTTTTATGATTGCATACCAGCTTTTAAAGATGCATTATTAATATTCAGCAGGAAAAGAGATAATTATTTTTTTTTATAATATCATTTGTAAAATCGCCTAATTGAAAGTCAACGCAATAACCGTAATTTGCAAGAGTGTTTGTTAAACGTGAAAACCAACAGCACCTTGATAAGTGATAATTTTAATTGATTTTGCTTTGTATATTATTGTCACCAGAATCTTTGGTTAAATAAAATATTTCTCTCTGAAAATTATGAATCTTATTTATCATTTAGGATATTGAAGATTCTTTACTAGACACGAAAATTCCCACATACTTCGTTGTTGGACAGAATGCTAACACCTGTATACTAGATGATCTAGATTATCTAAGGGAGAGAATGCGGGCTGAAACAGGTTTATTAGTTATAGGAGGTGCCGATGATCAACTACGAATGTCAAGAGCTAAGAAAAAACAAGAAGGAGTAACCCAAGCCATATTAGATCGCAAGATAACGGTTAGTTACTTCTAAGACTTTATGTACATTTATTCCTGTATCACTGACTAGAACAATGTTACCCTAAGCTATATCAATGAATAGTGAATGTACTCGGCAGAACATTTTTATAGTGTATACGCCCACATTGATATTGGTCACTTGGAAAAATCATGTGGAACGCTCTAGAGGCTAAAGTAAACATTCAGTTGACTTAAAATTGATACACAGTGTTTAAGGTCATGAAACGAAGAAGCCTATTGATTTTCAGCGATTTGCGATAATTACTGACAGAGTTATGGTCCTTGATCACGTTGAAAATTTTTGTGGAAGCTCTAAAGGCTAAAGTTAATATCCGATTGACTTTAAATTTATACACAGTGTTTAAGGTCATGAGACAAAGATGCCTATTGATTTTCAGCGATTTCCAATGGTTACTGCCAGAGTAATGTCCCTTTGAAAAATTATGTGGATGTTCCAGAGGCTAAAGTTAATATAAATTATTCAAGGTCATGAGACAAACAATCGAAACAAAATCTAAAGATTTCTGTAAATTACTTCATGGGTTATTACTCGTAATAAGATTTTCATGTGTTGTAAATGATCTCATTACTGACAAAAGAAAAAATATGCGACAACCGTTGTTGACTGCCTTGACGACTTAGCTGTTGTGGGCGTATGTTTCGTTGCCTAGCAACCTATCTTTAGTGAAAATTGGAAGATTAGCTTGACATTGCTATTTACAATCATTATTTCGTTTACACTGAAGTCTACAGAAACAAATTTCAGTGATATATAGATTAGGACATACTAGTCTATGAGTTGTTGTCCCCCGCCTTTCGAAGAAAGCAGGGGACTATTAAAATGGGTTCGTCCGTCTGTCTGTCCGTCTGTCTGTCCGTCACACTTTTTGGGACACAATAACTCTCTTCCTAATTGAGCTAGAATGTTCAAACTTGGTGTATGTGTTTATTAGGTCAATGCCTTGATGGAGTTCGAAGATGAGCATTTTCCGCTTAGGGTAAGCAGAGATAAGCAATTTGATTGGTTGATGCTTTGGGACACGATAACTCTCTTCCTAATTGGGCTAGAATGTTCAAACTTGGTGTATGTGTTGATTAGGTCAATGCCTTGATGGAGTTCGAAGATGAGCATTTTCCGCTTAGGGTAAGCAGAGATAAGCAATTTGATTGGTTGATGCTTTGGGACACGATAACTTTTAATTGAGCTAGAATGTTCAAACTTGGTGTATGTGTTTATTAGGTCAATGCCTTGATGGAGTTCGAAGATGAGCATTTTCCGCTTAGGGTAAGCAGAGATAAGCAATTTGATTGGTTGATACTTTGGGGCACGATAACTCTCTTCCTAATTGAGCTAGAATGTTCAAACTTGGTGTATGTGTTGATTAGGTCAATGCCTTGGTGGAGTTCGAAGATGAGCATTTTCCGCTTAGGGTAAGCAGAGATAAGCAATTTGATTGGTTGATGCTTTGGGACACGATAACTTTATTTACACTGGTTACCTGTTAAATATTGAATTGATTTTAAGATTTTATTACTTACTTTTAAATGTTTAAATAATTTAGCTCCTGTTTACCTCTCAGATCTTTTAGAACTTTATACACCTGGCCGAACATTACGTACATCAGATAAACTACTTTTAAAGCCCAAAACTGTTCAACTAGTCTCCTATGGTCAGCGCTCTTTTAGTTATCAAGCACCTGTTTTATGGAATAATCTACCATTTAGTTTAAGATGTTGTACATCTCTGTATTCTTTTAAAAAACAACTTAAAACACATTTATTTAATCAGGCTTTTAACTGACTCTGTATACAATCGTTAACATGCCCATAATCTTGTTGTTTATGTGTGATTTACATTGTCACTTTGTAAAGTGCCCCTGAACATGTTATATGAAAGGGTGCACTATAAATATGCTGTAATAATAATAATAATAATAATTAAATGAGAATGATGCAACTTGGTGTATAGTTTCATTACATCAATACCTTGACTAATGTGATAATGAGCATTTTCTGCTCAGGGTAAGCAGAACGATAAGCAATTTGATTGGTTGAAACTTTGGAACACAATAACTTGCCTTCTAATTGAGGTAGAATGTTCAAACTTGGTGTAGGCATTCTTTAGGTGAATGCCTTGATGGAGTTTGAAGATGAGCATTTTCTGCTAGGGGTAAGCGGAGATAAGCAACTTAGTGTATAGTTTCCCTACCAAACCAGATACTTCAAAACTTTTACTGGATTTGATTGTGGACATTTTATGCTTAGACTAAGTATAGATAATCAGTTTGCTTGCTCTATACTTTTGAAAAAAATAAATGTGCAATTAAGCAATATGTGTCATCTATTTATTTTGGTATTTTGGCGGGGGACATCAGCCTCACTGTTGGCTTGTTCATTTAGTGATTTTAACTCTTGATAGTTTTATATCAATGTGTCGAGTTATGTCAATTTGCATGATGTATATAAGTGATTCTTCTATCTTTACTGTTTTCCATGAAACAGGAGAATATGTGTGAATTTCTGGGAAATATTCTGACCAGATCCTCAACACTTATTGAACCAGTTGAAATGCCAGAAACTGAACAGAAACGGAAATATAAACGCCGTAAAGGAGTAGATGATTATATGACGAGTGCTAATTTTTTAAATGAGGTAATTTTTTAATGGCATACAGTTTTTATCCTTATGTACAAGCCAATCTGCTGACTCTGAAGTACATTGTATGTAAATTTGTGAAAGTCTTACTCTGGTGGAGAAAACAATACCCCCAAAAGAAGAGCATCTGCTGGTATCTGCCTCTCTTACTTTAGCAATGTTTCTAAATGTTAATATTTTTTAAAACATTGGACATTTGTTAATTGTCTTTTTCGAAAAATAATAAAACATTTGAATAAATCATGACTTTATGTTAATGTATAGTGGCTCTACCTCTGATCATATCCCTTATATCAACTTATATTTTACTGTAGGCTGATTATACTAGTAAGAGTAAGATACAGAAAGGGAAAATTGGTACATTAACATATAGTGGTATAGACAGTTTAACAGATGCTATGTTTAGACCAAGTGGTTTTACAAGTTATAAACTACAGTGTAAGATATCTATAAATTATAAATCTGTTATCATTAAGTGGTTAGGTTTGTGAGTGGTATACACTGGATATCATAACTTCTGTTTGAGAACAGGTTTGTATGTGCCTTATGTTCGTGTTTCTCTGGCTGCTTTGATTGCAGGTCACTTCTAAAGACTCTTGCCCATAATTCTTCGACTAGCCACTGATTCTGATTATACAGTATAATCCCTGTTTGTGCATGATTGATGAAGGGTGAAAAAACGGGATTAGATCTTAGAGGATTGACTCTCAATATACTGTTTTTCTATACATCTATGGAAACAAATCAAACAGTGTAGAAAGTTTAAGACAGTTTTATATTTCTTCAATTTAACTTTTTTGATTTGCCAACAATAAATACCAATATTATTAGTGTAATTATGATTACTATTTTCACCAAGTTTTTAAATTCTCTTTATTTTCTATTGTATCTAATGTACCTCCCCAATTGTTTGAATCATTATTCATATTGCTATTTTTATAGATCGTAAACCATCTCCTACCAAGAAACGCCCAGCCAGCACCCAGTTAACTAACATGCCTAAAAAGAGAATGACACTAACAGCAAGGTTAGCTTCTGTTAAAAGCCCAGTACCTTCCATGCAACCATCCCAGCTTGTTCCAGGTGCCACTGAACTTTCTGGTCTTTTACAGAAAATGAAAGGAACCGAAGACATAGATCAGGACAGTACAAAGTCACGCATTGTTACATCTAGTCCAGTATTATCAGGAACAAATTCTTTATCTAAAATTCTTTCTGCTGCTGCTCTAAAAGCAAGTGAAGCAAGCAGTCCTTCATTTAGTACATTGGGTAACTCAACGCTTCTTGCATCAGCCATTAAGAGTCATAATATTCCAGAAGAATCGCAGATTTCCCCAGGATATAAGTCTATGACTTTAAAACAAGGAACAAGCGGTCAACATCAGATTTTAGTTCGTACTGGAAACAATTCACCTATTTCTATTCCTTTATCCATGGCACAAAAACTAGTGTCAGGTTCATCTTTAGTTCACATCACTACAGCAACAACAGGCACATCCCAGATACATCAGCTATTAAGTAAAATGAGTCGATCACAAGCTAATGTTAATCCCATGTCAGCATCATCAACTGTATCATCATCCAATTCTGTCCTATTATCAACATCATCATCTATACCTACATCTGTTTTAACCAGTTCATCTCAAACTGTTATGTCATCAGTATCAACATCAACCATAGACGAGAGTTCTTCCGATTCAGTTTCAGGTAAGTATATCAATTTAATTAGGTACATATGTATGGATGAGATTACACAGGATATTCAATATCTACTATTAAAGTAGTTTTCACAATGTACAACCGAAATTAAAACTTATTTAGTCTAATTAACAAATTAAGACATCAGATTGACATGATCAAGGTAAGTGTTAGGTTCTGTGCATGTTGTAATAGGCTGTATAAACATGTGGCTGTATGTGAATTATAGATGTTTACAGTGTCAGTTGTTTACAATGTCAGCAGTGAAGAAATCAAAAGTATTTATTAAATAGGCATTATTCAAGAGCTAAATCTGCCTATTGCAGGGGTTTCTTTAGACCTTAAATGTTATATAAATTATTAATTAGACATTTAACATGACAAGACCATAATCAACTTTTGATGCCATCGGATGGCTCCGATTATAAGTAGATTAGAACGGTTTGGCCATTTAATGATTTAATTTAAATATGGAGAAGCAAGGTTAAGCCTCAAATAACCAGCACCGTGGTTACAATAAACAACAATCAATGCACCCATCTTCTCAAAACTACAAAAACATTGATAACTTTGCACAGAATAAAGCAATTTGAATGAAATTTTCAATATATTCATTTTGCATTTATCTATTTAAAAACTATTATAGCAAGAACGACCAGTTCCTTATCTAAATCTTACATAATGTATTTTTAATATGGGCAGTTATATTTGAAATGAACGTAGAAAATATAATTCAATTAATTAGCAGGGCAATTAATTTTTAACCATCAATTTATTTTTGCAATGCAGTGTATTTTACTATTTTAAGGTCGATTAATGGTTTCCAAGCAATCTACTGAAAGTCCACAAGTTCAAGCAATACAGAAATTACAATTCCATGACTTTCCTTTAACTACAGCTACCTTTACTAGGAATTTTTCCAATAGTGGTGCCATAGTTACGCAAGCTAAAATACTCTCTAATAAAATAGACATTGGTAAACTCTCGATGGCCGATATTACTCGACTCACAGTTCCTGCTAATAGAAGTTTAATTAATAGAAGTCCTGTTACTGTAACAATACCTAAAATGACAACTAGTCCTAGAGTTATCCCCTCTTCCTCTGTTGGCATGACAACTGCCAGTAATTTAACTATTAGTTCTACCAGGCCTGTTATTATGACAGTGAAACCCGAATCAAGCCAGGCATCAGGTGAAACAACAAAATTTGATGAAATGTCAAGTGTTAGAGACTTGGTCAAAATACCACCAGCAGTACCCACTACAATGTCGGTTGAATCTGTAAAGCCAGTAAACATAGAGGCAGAACCTCCCACAGTGTTACAAGTTGATGATCTTGAACAATCAAGAAGTGCTACTCCATCTAGTACTAGTGGTTGTCAAACAACTGACCAAACAATGAATGATGACCAACCATCATCTTCACCATCTACACCAACAATATCATCCACACGAACCAGGAGAATAAAAACACCTAGACAATATGATGCTTAAGAAATATTGAATGTAGTGTATTTGCATTGAGGCATTTATTGAGTGAAATGGATGACAATGTGCAATAAATCTCTTTAATTTTTAGCTACATGTATCATTAGCTAGCAAAGTAATTAAATTAAATCAATCATGATCAGTGTCCCTGCTAATAAAACAATGATCTAATTATTTGAATGATTGTATTCATATTGAAAGAAGACACTAAGTTAGTGAAATTAGTTACCATAGACATTTTTGCTGTCCATTTGGATTATTTAAGTACTGGTACAAGTGTAAAAGGCAATGAAAGTGGGTTTTATAGATATTGTTTCAACATGGATTAGAAATAATAAGAGCGAACACCTTGCCCTTTTCTCTTTAATATTGTCTGTTATCAATCCCCATTTGGCCAACAAAGTTTTACCTGCCTGTTCTGTAGGATCATTATTTTTTCAAGTAGGAACCCGGGTACCGGGGTATACAAAAGGTACCCTGCCTTTTTCTGGGGTATACATGTATACCCATGCCCTAATGATGAAAGTTTTCAACCTTTTTACTAGTATATTCACTTTTAAATGATAGATATGTTATTGCTCTCTGGTCCCTCGCACTCTCATTATCAGCTATCAGTGCATGCCTTGGCCAGATGTCTATAAGTGGTAAATCGAGGCACTCTAAACCGTGTTCTCAGAATTGACAAATTTCAAAATTTTCTAGAGGCCAGGAAGGGAAAAAAACCCCTGGACCCTTCCTATCATTTGGTACCCTGGCCCTCGCGCCGTTCCGGCACCCCTCCCCCTGACTCTGTAAGTCAATTTTTTAAGCCAATATAACTGACTCTTAAAGTCATTATATAGTATATTGTCACTGCAGAGGTAAATTGTAATAATCTCATATCAGGCATTACCCCCCAAAAATACATAGTGTTGTATATATGAATATTATGTTTATATTGTGTAATTTGACTTGAATTTACAAGTTCTGTAAATAAGAATCTGACTGAATATTGTTAAAAAATATCTTTACATGTATTGGTTATAGATTAAAGTGCTAATAGCTATTATAAAGTCATGTATTATATTTCCATCCTTCCATCACACTCTTTAAAACACTATAAATTTAGATAATAAAAGCTATTTAATAAATAGCCAAAAGGGAATATTATAAGCCATTCAATGCTTCACACTCAATTTGAAGAAAGAACTTTATCACCCAATAACACATTCTACAGTAGATATTGCTTGTGTGATAACTTTCATGAATGTCCAAGAATTATAGACAGTGACACTGATTGTTTTTTTCTATTAAATCAAGGAAACACTGGGTCAATATATAGGACTTTGCATCCGATTTTGATGAACCTTGGAATGCATGTTTATATCCCAAAGATCTTGGTTCCTTTCGATATTCGCGCATATCGGATCGTAACTGCCTGAATTATGGCCCCTGATTGCACTTTTAGCTTGTGGTCCCTCTAGAGGTCACAATTTTTATCCGATTTTGATGTATATCACCGTTACACCATAATGATGGTTGAGTCCAAATTTCGTGAAAATCGGACCAAAACTTCGGACAAAATGGGCTCCCCTTATATGCAAATAGTGTAAAAATATGGTATATCAAGTTGTGGACCTCCTAGAGGTCACAATTTTGATCCGATTTTGATGAAACTTGAAATGCGTGTTTATAACCCAAAGATCTTGGTTCCTTTCGATATTCGCGCATATCAGATCGTAACTTCCTGAATTATGGCCCTTGATTGTACGAAAAATCGCGTTTTGAGCTTGTGGTCCCTATAGAGGTCACAATTTTTATCCGATTTAAAAAGAAACGTGTGAATAAATCACAGTTATACACTAATGATGGTTGAGTTCGAATATCGTGAAAAACTGACGGACATAATGGCCGCCCCTTGTATGCAAATAGTGTAAAAATATGGTATATCAAGGTTGTGGACCTTCTACAGGCCACAGTTTTTATCCGATTTGGATGAAACTTAAAATATATGATTTTATCATAAAGATCTTGGTTTCTTTTGATAATCACACATATCCGAAAGTAACTTCCTGGATTATGGCCCCTGATTAGTCGAAAAATCACATTTTTAGCTTGTGGATTCTCTAGAGTTCACAATTTTTTTTCTAATTTTAAAAACCATTTAGATATATCAACATTCCACCATAATGAAGGTTGAATTGGAATTTCAGGAAAATCGAAATGAAACTGCCTGACAAAATGGCCACTCTTTGTACGCAAATTGTATATAATTGTAGTATCCGACTTTGATGAAACTTAAAACATATCTTTATATTCCAAAAATCTCAGTCCCTTTTGATATTTCCACATTTCAGACCATAACTTTCTGGATTATGGCCCCTGATTGTACAAAAAATCATTTTTGTGTTTAGCTTGTTCTCTATCCATCTCTTGCAAAATGGTAGCCGCTGGTTTTATATCAGAAAAGACTTGTAGAAGATTCTCTATGTAGCCCACAAGCCAATTGTTGAGGAACATACGGATATGGGTGACGCCTTCAATAAAATGTGGGCATACATAAATCAACACAGGTAGTGTGAAAATATAATAGATTACAAAAAGTAAAAATACACATTATGCAAGTTTTTTTTTATCTTTATCAATTAAAGGCATTAAAGTTTGAATCATACACATATAACGATTTAGTGTTTATAGATGACAGAAAATTTTGAAATATTGAGAAGGTATAATAACTGATGTACAATAAATCTAATCTGACTAGATCAATTTGGTACTCAATAATCAAAGAAGAAAATAATATATTTTTTCCTTATACACTAGTAAACTTTTGTAAATGACATTTTATTGAATCATACACATATAACGATTTAGTGTTTATAGATGACAGAAAATTTTGAAATATTGAGAAGGTATAATAACTAATGTACAATAAATCTAATCTGACTAGATCAATTTGGTACTCAATAATCAAAGAAGAAAATAATATATTTTTTCCTTATACACTAGTAAACTTTTGTAAATGACATTTTATTGAAGTCTGTTTAAGATATATTTCGCTGTAAGTGCTGGTAATGGGGCACCAGTTGGTACGCCTGGAAAAGGACCAGATGAACCAGCTATATCAAGATGGGAATATGGTATTGGTTTATCTGAATCTATACCATGCTGTAAATATATAAATACAACTATAATTATATTTTTTCCAATATAAGATTATATAATACTAAGATCGTTGTGTAAGACAAGCACAAATGGTTCTCAGAAGAAGAACCTTTTGAATTTCAAGCAGGTTTCCCACTTTTAAGAAGACTGAAAAGAAAAATTTGTCCTGTAGAAATTTGAAAGTTATGAAGCAAAACGGTCTCAAAATCAGTATTATAGTTCAGTATAAGACATTAAACCACATTCCTTTTATTTTTCTTTATTGTTTACCTGAAGAGCTTAATAAAATAAGCGAAAGTACTAGTAATCGACAAATAATGTAGTTCTTTTTTTCAAAAACTTTTCTATTTTTGTTTATATACTATATATATAAATGACAAAACGTAAACAACACTTTTTTTATTTACCTTATCTAAACCAGAAGATCTGATTAAAAACGCTGCAGGAAACTGATGACCTCTTGGAGTAGCACTTGATGCCTGGTTATTACACTGTAATACATCTTCATATTCTGATTTACCAGCTATAAAATCATAATCCTGTAAAAACAAACCATACCAGCGAAAAAATCATAACAAACCATACCAGCTAAAAAATCATAATCTTGATAAAACAAAACAAAATGAACTTTTTCAATGTAAACTTTATATTTTTGAAAAACAGATACGCCAGACTTCCATAAGTTTGGTTAAACTGACAATCATTTGGTTAAAATGAAGAGAATGAAATATAAAATGGCTGCAATGACTGTAATATGACAAGGGGTAAAGAAGGCTAGGCGTTGGATTTGTTTTGCCAAATTTACAGACTAAATATTATCAAAAATTGGTCATGCACCAAAATAAATAGGTGCTGTCTTACAGTATAAGGAATAAATATGCAAAGTTCGAAGATAATCCTTTCAGAACTGCAGCCTGTAGATGATAAATACCAAAATTCGGCATGGCTCTGCCCCTGGGGGTTGGATGTGGAACAATATAAATAGGTACCACCCTGTTATTGAAATGATTGCTATACTGAATTTGAACAAAATTTGTTGATTATCGCAACCTGTACAGTATTTAGAGATAAAAATTAACAAAAAAGAGGGTGAGGTACCACAACCCTGGGGGTCGGGACATGCACCAAAATAAATAGTTGTTATCCTTACAGTATAAGGAATAAATATGCCAAGTTCCAAGATGATCTATTTAGAATTCCAGCCTGTATACGATAAACAAAAAAACTACGAATCGTGGTCTGTAGGCAACACACAGACACAAACAAAAAAATGGGCGTGGCTCTGCCCCTAGGGGTTGGGCACGCACTACAAACAATAGGGTTGTTCCTTAGGGTATAAGGAATAAGAATGCGGTCGTTAAGAAATGCGGTCGTTAGATGACAAACAAATACATGAAATGGGTGTGGTTCTGCCCATGGGGGTTGAGCATGCACCAAAAACAATAGGGATCATCCTTGGAGTATAAGGAATAAGTATGAACATTTTTCAAGACAATTGATTAAGAATTGTGGACTGTAGGCGACATACAGACACACAAAAAGGAAATGGGCTTGGTTCTGCCCCTGGGGGATGGGCATGCACCACAAACAATAGGGATGTTCCTTAGGGTATAAAGAATAAGTATGCAAAGTTTCAAGATGAAACATTAAGAAATGCGGCCTGAAGACGATACATACATACATACATACATACATACACATACATACATACATACATACTGCCAGGCAGGATATGCCCACATTTTGCAAGAGATGGATAGAGAACAAGCTAAAAACAAACGAGATTTTTTGTACAATCCGGGGTAATAATCCAGAAAGTTATGGCCTGCAATGTGCAAATATCAAAAGACTGAGATCTTTGGGATATACAGATATGTTTTAAGTTTCATCAAAATTGGATAAAAATTGTGACCTCTAGACTCTAGAGGGTCCACAACCTTCGTATCACACACTTCTACACAATTTACGTACAAAGAACGGCCATTTTGTCAGGCAGATTCATTTCGATTTTCCCGAAATACGAATTCAACCTTCATTATGGTGGAATGGTGATGTATTTAAACGGTTTTTAAAATCGGAAAAAAATTGTGACCTCTAGAGAATCCGCAAGCTAAAAATGCGATTTTTTTTAAGAATCAGGGGCAATAATCCAGGAAGTTAAGTTCGGATATCTGCGATTATCAAAAGGAATAAAGATCTTAGTGTGTAATGGGGATATATTCACACGTTTTTTTTTTAAATCGGATAAAAATTGTGACCTCTACAGGGAATATGCGCGAATATCGACAGAAACCAAGATATTTGGGTTTTAAACATGTATTTCAGGTTCATCAAAATCCGATCAAAATTGTGACCTCTAGGAGGTCCACAACCTTGATATACCAGATATATGCAAGAAATATCGACAGGAACCAATATCTTTGGGTTATAAACATGTACAGTAAATTTCGCATTAGTCGGATCTAAATGGACTGACCAATTTTATCCGAGTTACGCGAAGATCCAAGTTAGCCGAAGACTTAGTTCAGCTCTGAACGTAGGTCTCATTATCGCCTTGTACATTCAGGAACCGCCCTATTGAATCCTTGTCGAAATAAAATCGGTTCCCAGTCAATCTCACTGGGCAACTTTTTACTTTTTTACTACTAAACGGTCATGTGTCAGTCTCTGTGAACTCCTGAACAATGTAAAGGAACATTTTAGTGAGAAAATAAGACCTTGCTTACCTCGCTAGAGTCAGTATGTGCAACACAACATGCTGTTAAAAATCCGTTCCCTGGGGTGGGGAAATATTAGAATCGTTGAAAAGCTGAGAATTATTGCCTCGCCTAGCCCAATTACAATTTCGTTTCATCTTATATGGCCGAGTTGCACAAATTTGTGCGCTGCGCTGTATTTGGATTTCAATGGCGTCAGCCAGGCCGTATTTTTAACAGCATGTTATGAACATACTGCCGATCCGACTTAGGCGAAGGAAAAAAGCCAGAATTAGATCAAATGGACTGAACATTTTGATCCGAGTTAAGCAAAGATCCGACTTGGGAAAACCGACTTACGCGCAGAAATTTAATAAGAAAAACGTGCAGGATCAAAGGGTCCAAAAGATTTTATTCGAGTTGAGCGAAGATCCAACTTATACGAATCCGACTTATGCGAGGTTTACTGTATTTCAAAGTTTCATCGAAATCAGATCAAAATTGTAACCTCTAGAGGGTCCACAACCTTGATTTACCAGATATTTACACTATTTGCGTACGAGGGGCGCCCATTTTGTCCGACAATATTACAGTGTAACAGTGATATATTCGAAAGTTTTTTTAAATCGGTATAATAATTGTGAACTCTAGAGGAACCACAAGCTAAAAACACGATTTTTTGTACAATCAGGGGCCATAATTCAGGAAGTTACGATTCGATATGTATGAAAATAGAAAGGAACCAAGATATTTGAGTTAAACATGCATTTCAAGTTTCATCAAAATCAGATGAAAATTGTGACCTCCAAAGGGTCCACAACCCTGATACACAATATTGTCCGTCAGTTTCGGTTTGATTTATACAAAATTCGAACTCAACCATCCTTAGCGTGTAACGGTGACCTCTATGGGGTTCACAAGCTAAAAACAAGATTTTTCGTACAATCAGGGGTCATAATTCAGGAAGTTATGGTCCGATATGTTCAAATATCAAAAGGAACCGAAATCTGTGGGTTATAAACATACATTTCAAGTTTAAACCAAATTGTATAAAAATTGTGACCTCTACACATATGCGTTGAAGTTCCGATAGGGTTAAAAAAAAGTTCCCCACTCGATTTCTTTTTTATCGGAGACTTGGCAATTTATCTAATACCATGTCGAACAGTTTCTGGAAACACAGAAGGAGTTGTATGATCAGAACCAGAGTCGATTACCAGCTACGGAGAGGCAATCCTTCAATCGCGGGCTCGGATTTTGGAGTGAGCAGGCATCGGAGTCTGTTCACTCTGATTTCAGAAAAATTGTGGGAAAGTGGGGGGTATAAGCGCGACATGAGACATCCGGAATACGCTAAAAAAAACTGTTAAAATGTGTTGTAACATATTGTTCAAGGCATACATAAACTGCGAACTGACAGGACTTGCTCTACGGATTGTTATATCTGAAATACTGGATTGATTCGATAAGTCACATTGAAAAAATGAATATTTACTGTTTTTATAGAAAGGGCTCGATGAAAAATTTTATTTTTTCTATTTTGATGGTAGATAAATTGCCAAGTCTCCGATAAAAAAGAAATCGAGAGGGGAACTTTTTTTTAACCCTATCGGAACTTCAACGCATATGTGTCTACAGTGTTCAGAAGCTAAAAACGTGATTTTTCGTACAATCAGGGGCCATAATCCATGAAGTTACAGTCTGATACATGCCAATATTGAAAGGAACCGAGATCTTGGGGTGATCAACCTATATTTCAAGTTTCATTGAAATCGGATAAAAATTGTGACCTGTAGAGTGTTCAAAAACAATTGTGGACAGGCGGACGGACAGGAGTGACGACAATATACGTCCACATGAAAATGTGGGCTTATAAAAATTGAAAATACTAGATAAAATACTTAAATATTGGTCCTACATGATCTGTTTCATATCATAGTATTATATCAAGAATAAATCTGTTATACCAGTTATAACCAAATCAGTTATACTCTGTGGTATAAAATGTTAATCAGCTTACTTATGACATGATTATCATGTGATCACAAAATAGAATAAGTGTCTGTTGTTCACTTTATGACATTCATTAGATGTTAGAAGAATTTTTTTGTTGTTGCATCAAATTACAAATCAATTGTCAATTTAGTCATTTTAAACAGCCATTGTAAAAACCTAATTATTTGTTTTACCTGCCCTTTAAATATATCCTGCACAGTCCACCCACAAGCTGTTTTATTGAGGTCCCTTTCTAGACATTCAAGCTACCAATTTTATATTGAAATGCAGACATTTTCCTCTCCTTTGTTATACAAAGTTTATTGTATACTATTTATTGTGTGTGTGTGTCAAGTTTAACTTCTGCTTCCACCTAGGATTACAGATCCATTTTGTGGGATTCCGTTAATTTATGAAGGAATTACGAAAATTCTGTAATCCATAATTATTAGATTATTGGTATTGGTATATAGGATTATGTTAACTTTTTTCTGAATTATAACCCTTTGTTGACTTAAAATTTGTTGAAGTTGTGTTTTCCTGAATATTTTGATTGTATATTGGCCATGTTACAGATCAACTATATATTAATTATAATTACCTCTCTTCGGATTGTTGAGATTTCAAATGGATCACCAAAAATATCACCCACTGTTTGGACAGTTTGAGCAGTCTGCAGCAATTTAGCTGGACCATTATCCATTATAATCTAGAAAAATTATAACTGAAGTTATATGACGTTTGACTGATGCTCTTTACAAGATCGCTTGGGATTCATGTTGTCTAAAGTGTTGCGCTGCTGATTTTTAGTCTGTATGTATTGTCAGGATTTTGTATGTAACAAGAGCATGGGGTGTCTGTTTCTTCTGAAGAACCTCTGACTGATAAGATATAATGAAATGGGGTTTAACCTCCTACTTATCTGCACTGACTGGGCTAATGAAGACAGGTATAAGCCATACAGGGCACTATGAGCGAAATTTTGCTCGGACAGCAATGCTTACTTCCTCTTTCAAATTCCAACAATCAAGGGTTATTTTACGCCAATGTGTACACAGGATCTTGTTTTTTTTTTTTATCCCATCCAGAAGACTAGACATTGTCCTTGCCAGGCCATCCGTCCCCCACTGACAGGGGGAAACCACACCGGAAAATTATGAGAAACTTTTTCATCCAACACTGGGAGCAAACCCTAGACCTCCAGGTTAGCGAGTCATAGTCTTACTCACTGAGCCAAAGTGACTCCAGAGATATAATGAACTCTTTTTGAAACAATATGTATAATAAACACACACAAAGAAGATCTATAAAAAATAAACTGTGTAGATTCTGTTGAGACCTCAGAAATGATGTCTACTTACTGTATAATGTGTGCCCATGGCACGGACAGCATGACCAGTTAAAGTAGCAATAGTCATCAGTTCTGGGTTGACAGCTTCTAAAGCCTGTGGGATTAAAAAATAGTTAGTTTTTATAGTAAGTGTACTATTGATTGTGTTTGGCCTCAGCCTCGATAAATGGCAAGTTGTACCATTAATATTTATGTAAAGGCAAAACACGTGTTACTTAGAGCATAATTAGCTCCAATCTGTTTCCCAGAGGGATACGAAAGTCTTCTAATATCTCTGCAAAAGATGACTGCCTTCAACACGTGGCGTCACCACACACAGCGTCAATCATTGGCTCAATGGCGCATGCATTGTTTACATACAACATTACTGGTTCGGGAGGAATGGTGCATTTTACTCATTTTAATACCCATTTACACTAAATAGGAAATAATTTTTACCTACAAATACTTCAAACGTCTTTATTTATTTTTCTAATACATAAAAAAAATGCTTTAGAATTTAATTTGTCGGGGGAAAAAAGTTAATATTTGTGGCTCATTAAGAAGTCACATCGATGTTATCCTTATCAGTATGCATTAGCTCCACATTTGCAACTATTCAAAAATTGTATAACACAAATCAGTGATAAGTTTATTGTATGTTTCCAATATGAAAATTACTCTATATATGTCTGAATGAAATAATACATCTAATCAACCTACCATTTCTTTAAATTTACACAATAAATCAGCCATGACCATTCTACCTTCAGCATCTGTATTACCAACACGTACTCGTACACCAGCTCGTGATGTTATAATCTCATCTGCTACATACGATTCTTAAATAGATCACAATCCAATAAATATACTGTATTTCAACCAAAAAATATAAATTATAATACAAACATGATTACCTTATAATTTAGATTTATTTACTATAAAACGATTGGCTTTAAATAATATTTTCCTACTGTTACAGTACATCTTAAACCTACCTTCTCCTACACTATTTCTAACCATTGCCATTCCACCTACCACTCTTAATCCTTTAGGTTTTAATATAGATAAAGTCTGAAATAATTCAACATGATAATATCAAATTGAGAGTATAAATTTTCAATTTTAGCTACCCGATACTTAACAACTAATTTTAATTTGCAATTAACTATTACAAAGCATACAATAAAATTCCAGCTTTGTTTTCTATTCGAAACTTATGAATTTATCAAAAACAAGTTGTTGTTATGTAAAAAAAAACATACCTTAAAGAAACCTGCTACTGCTGCTGCTCCACATTTATCACGATGCATACCAGCCATAACACCACCAGCTTTAATATCAGCACCACCTGTATCATATGTTATACCCTGAAAATTATAAACAGAGATATATATTTGACAAACCAACCATATTCTATATACATGTACATCCCTAACTTAAACAATGCTACATCTGATCATGAGGAGATGAATTTGAGATGTTGCAGAGAGCCGACACAAATATCATTCCAACTGCCAAGGGATCTTTTACGTGCACGCCAATGTGTACACGGGATCTCGGTTTTTCGTCCCATCCGAACGACTAGACAGCTGACCTTGTCAGACCCTCCATAACACGCAGTGAGTTGGAAATGAAGTATTGGTAGGAAATGAAATATACGAATGGTATATAGATAGAACATGCGATTGGCAATGAAATAAAATGGGTAGCCTGCTCCGGGTGGTAGGCGGGCAGGCAGATCAGGTAGAACAATTTCAAAAAGCCTCTACTGCTTTCGCAGGAATGAAATTAGATTAAGTTTGTATTTTATCTACTTTGTGATAAACAAAATGTTTCTGGATTAGTAAAGATACAAACTTTCACAGAATACAGAACTTTTCACATGTGTGCTTCCATCTACACACAATGTCGGTTTCGGTGTCTACGCTTCGCTGTGAACAAAGGTGTTCATATGCACTATGAAGCTTCAAATAACAAATGACAATTAAAAAGGGATTCTGGGCCTGTATTTTGAATAAAAGCACAAACAATCTGCAAGAATGTTAGGTTTATTATATAAAACGAATGGCGAATAACCATCCTTATGGCTCTAGATACACACTCCGCTATGTATATTCCCTCATTTAATGTATATTATTAATCATGGATGATAGGTTAAATATATATTCACCACTAACCAGACTTTATCAGGTGTGTTATATGTGTATTTACCAAGAGTTGATGTGTATTATTTATCATGGGGTGTAATAGGTAAATTAACCAGGCTTTCTTGCTGTATTCTTGTAACTGTCTGTTTTTAATCATGGGTTATATGTATATTCACCAGGCTTGACTGTGTGTTATATGTAAAGTCACCAGGAGTTAATGTGTATTATTAATTGTGGGTTATACATATATCCACCCAGTTATTAGGTATTATTGAATGGAGATATTTAATCTGAGTTTTGTGGGGGGGGGGGGGATCCAGATGTATTACATGCATATTGTACCAATGAGGTACCTGTGAGATGGGTGGATAAATAATGCATGGTAACAAGTCATTTTTCATGAGAGAAAATTACAAAAAAAACCAAGGAATTTGTTTCATACTGTAGTAATAATAGAAAAACCTTGCAAGTTGTTTTCAAATTGAAATTGTGGATAAACTATACCCGATAAAATCTAGCCAATGACACTGACAGATGGAAAATTAAACACATAATAAGAATCCCAAATAAAATTTATTTTCGATAAGTAGACTTACAAGGTTTTTCTATTTCACCCATGATATAGAATATTTACGATTAGCACAAATGATAAAAGTTATAGATATAGAATTAATAAGTAAATACATTACCTTGCCAACAAGGAAGAGTGTCTTTTCTATTGAACCATCACCAACATATTCTAGAAAAATGATTCTACCTCTGTGTCTTTCAACGACTGTAATATATATTAAACATATTCATAACTAACAACACTTTGTACTGAAGGGCTAAGTACTCATATTAAGTTAAAAGCTTACTGTCACAATGTCTTCAGGGGCAGATTGAGAAAAGTGTAAAACTTTTTTCAACACTTAAACCCTGAGAAAGAATAAATGTCATATAAAATTGTATTTGACTATTTCAAGCGATTTAATAATTGACAGGGTAGTTTTAAGGATCCGGCTTTTATATAAATAATAAATGGTTACCATCAGCAGCTCTGTTGACAGCAGCTAAAAGTGGGTATTCCTTTTTAAACATATTCACATCAGAAATAATATTTACCTTAAAACAAGAATGTCAATCAATAATCAAACAATATCAACAATCTATTTAGATATTTTTGGCGGGTTTTCTCACTGAATCAAGTTGTTCCAGAATTTTGTTTTAGAAATATCTTATATTAATGGCAGCTAAAACAGGATCCGATAAAAATGCTTGATTGTCACATTTTCACCTTTCAGTAAGATAAAGTGGAGGTAAAGATATAACAAAATACATGTAAATATGTGAGGATCCAACATTAACATATTTTCACCTTTTCGTATTGTTGTGGACCCTGCTTGGTCTATGCTTATCATCAACTGCAGTCAACTCAAGACATTAACCTAATGAACTACACAAAGTTTGAATATTCTACAACAATTAGAGTTATTGTGTCCAAAAAAGTGTGACGAACAGACTGACATACGTGAGACCGAAAAGAATAATATTTAAAAAGGGATATATATATATATCCTGCCTATTATGTCTATTGTGAAATTGAACTAAGTACTCCTTTATTCGAGTAGTGTACTTACATTTATTCCTGTGTCCTTGAACACTTCTAAAACATATTCTTCCACCCTCTGAGCTGCCATTCTCTCGGGATCTGAACCACCAATATCTCGACAGATGATCCTTGAAATATATATATTGTAGATTTAAATAGAAGTAAAATTTCCCTATTTGTCAAAAGTAGGAATGTTATAAGATATCTATTTTACTGGAAATAAAATGTCTCTATTACTACTTGTGACATGTATGTGAAACCATGGCGACATGGCTTTCTTTTAACTTTTATAAACAAAATACAATTTACCATGCTCTTTTAATACATAGTGTCATGATATTAAAAGTGTGGATGAAATTATTTTGAACAGAATTCAAGAACTCAAAGAAATTAACCTTCCTAATTCTATAGCTGATGAAATTTCAATCCCAGCTTTAAGTCGAGCTTCATTATTACACCATATACCAAGGGATTCCACTTTAGTTCTCTTTTCAAATACAGTTTCCCTTATCTCTAGAGGCTGTAAAAGAAATGCCATTTCAGGTGGGTAAGACTGTCTTATTTGTGATAGGGTACCTAGTTAGTCTATTTTGTTTGGATGGTTTAATCAACTTAGTGAGAGAGGGTCAACCAAATTGGGGGTACATCACTTGTATTTTGTGAGCTGAGTCTAATGTTGGGCTTGTGAAGCATGCTCAGAAAGATTTCATGTAGGCTACTTACCACAACCACCCACTGTATACAGTCCTTATGTATTTCATCAATACATAGTTTCATTTTATTTTCATTCCATATTTTAAGTTCTCACTTTATTATACCATGATAAGGATTGTGCCTTTTGCTCATTGGTCAGACGTCAGAGTTACTGCACAGATCTGGTCGAAACTATGCTGTTTGGTGATACTACAGTATATTGCTGACAGTAGGCAAGCCTCTGTTCCTATTGCAAGTCACCAGTCTACTGTTATATAGTGCCATCCTCGCATATATTATCTACCATTTACAATATCATTTTAGTTCTGAGAGTAGCATCTTATAAATATTCATGATGTAGTATATAAGTTTAGAGCTCTAGTAGGAGTCTACGATATCACCCATGGTGAAAGTAGACGTAAAACTCTAGGAATGAATGAACGTAGGAGTTTTAGTTTAGTTTTAGATTCTGTAGGATACTCTCATCTGAGAAAGATGAAATAGTATTAATTTGTGATGTAGTATTTAATCCAACCCCCAGATTGCAGTACCTCTCAAGGTGTTGTACATTGTGAAACTCGGCATAACACTACATACCACATAGAGATCATGTAAAGCACCAAGTGTTGCTACTAAACCAGCTTTAGGGAAACTATCATCAATTGGTCGAACTAACAATGGTGATATACTTCCTGCTTCTCGTGCTCTCTTTATTCCCTTTACAGCTGCATCAGCAAAACTTCTTACATCATCATAATCACGATTTAATTTTCCGGTCGGTGAAAATATCTGTATTAATAAAGATTTAAAAATTAGTTGTAAGAAGTGAGGCAATCAATACTTTCTTTTTGTAGAAACCAGCCCCGCGTTTAGTAGAAGGCAAAATAACATAATAATATTAGGTATCATTATTCATCGCAAACCAAGGTTCAGTAAAGTATTGTAGTTTACCTACCAATCTGTTGGATGGAATATTCTCAGTATGTACCAAAACAACAGATTTCCCACATAATTCATCAAGCTAGAAAAAAATCAATGAATTTATCTATAAATATGTGTGATTAAAATTTCCTAAGAATACAATTACAATCAAGTGAAAAAACAGATATGTAAAATTTATTATGACGGTTCAATTTATCTAATCATGGTATAGTGTAATGATAAAAATTAATAACAATCAAGAAAATTATTTGCAAATAAATATCCAGGAAGAACTTAAGATTTAAAAAGCTATGATTGAAGTATTTTAAAAGTTGTCATCATCAATACTGTGTACTAATCATTGCAGAGAACCACAGTGACTCTTGGTGCAGGATTGAGGTTGTGGCAAAGAACAATGAAAAACCGAGATCCTGAGTACACAGTGGTGTAAACAGAATAGAACCCTTGACAGTTGGAATTTGATAAAGAGTAGGAGGAAATACTGTTGTCCGGACAAAATTTCCATAATAGCACACTTCATGACATGCTTGTCTTCATTAGCTCTGTGCAGAAAAATAGGACATTAAACTCTATTTCATTTTATTTGAAGTGAATCGGTGGCAGATCTCAGACTCATATCCGCACCCATCAATATAATATAACATTATGTGTCTATTCAAATCAGCAAACAGAAACATAAAATATGAAATGTATCGATAACCCAAATATAATTACCGTACCTTAGAATATTTCCGTAGTGGTTCTTCAAGACATTTTAAGTTGTCATCTGTCAATTTATTGATAGAATCGGTTACCACCACAACCGAATCAAATCTTATATCAGTTACATCTAAACATGGCAAGATACGGGGTAAACTAAAACCAAAAATAGCAATTGATACTGTTTAAAAATTTGCTAGTTTTTCACGTAGGAATATTTAAAGTCCCTGACTGTGATTTGAGCGATATAGGAATCCCTTGCAAACTACAATTGTAATTTAAGTTTAGTTTCTAATTGGAATATTAGTCCAAAATGGCTTAATTCAATTCAGTATTTAAAAAGATATTATGAATGTACATTCCATTGATCTATGCTTCCACTTCTGTAAATGGTACGCTTTGCTCTTTTTCTCTCTTCTCATTTCTTTTTCTTGACAGAACCTGTCAACAAAACAGGTCTACATTTCGTCCAAATTGAACGTTTCGCCATTTATAGTCTGTTTTTTGTCGAATGATGTCATGATATTATAACATGCCTGCCGCCATCTTAATGCATTCGCAAAATCTAATTGATGGGCATGTTTTTAATCTGTTGAATCCAAACCAGGAGAATGATTATCTAGCCATATCTGCGAATATCACTGGTTATGTTAACCATGTGTGAACTATATTGGGACACACCAGTTCCAAACTAAATAGTAAGAGTCTATACCAGTTCTGTCTTAAGACCTTTTAAAATTGAAATATCTGTCTGCTTCACTGTCAGATAAAAGTTGGGTTCAATGAAAAATGAATAAATAATAATAATCAATTGTTGTTTTGTATTTATATGCAATAGTTTTTGAACGTTTAATGCTGTCGTGAATAACAATTAATTGCTATCATTAACCTGGCTATCCTCACATAACTTGAAACAGGAAGGGTTATTATCTATAACTTCATACAACCTTTGGACAAAAAATTGCCAGATGATGCTCTGTTTGCGATGGAGAGCGTTCAGCACAAAACAAATGTAAGGAAAATTTTAACCTGGTCAGCACTCAGCAGTCAATGGCGTCGGCGTCAGTACAGTACCGGTAGGCTACTCAGTGGTCTGTCCCCACGTCCAACAATCAACATGTTATTAATGTTGATTGCACTGAACATATCCACAAAATAGGCCTATCAGGTTTTAAAATCAAATCGCTTAGAAGGCCAAATGACAGTGTTTGTGGTACATACAAAATATAGACAAGATTCAGATTCATAATTTTGATCCATAGCCTACAACTGCAAAACCCTCACCTTGGTGTCGCCATTTTGAACAGCTGTAAATCACATGACACTTGAGGCTTATCACATCACGTTTTAACTTGAAAAGGGATCCGGACGAGGTCAAGGGTTATCGTACATTAGGGAAACTTTCGGTTGAATGCCCAGTAATCTAACGTCGGAGAGATGAGATTTGTACAGTTTTTAAGAGATGGGCGACAGCATATTGGCGTGGAACTGACAGATGGCGGATCTATTGTTGATCTGAACGCAGCAGATTCTACTATGCCATGTGATATGCGATCTTTTTTGACAGGAGGTCAACCCCTACTAGTTGCTGCAAAAAGGTTTGCCTTATAATTATAATAATATCACTCAGTCACGGTCACTGTGTCACCGTCCGGTTTTCAACCCCAATAATATTTATAGCGTAATATCATAGCGCCGTTATAACTTATAATTGGAGAGAGGTGTGGGGGGGGGGGTGATTCGCCAACTTTCCCGCGTGTCCAGGTGGTGTGTGTGGGGGGGTGCACCCCCCCCCCCCCTGCTCATGTGGAGTCTATACAAGAGACTAGAGAGAGCCTAAGTAAGAGATCAGAGCCTATACATTTAAAAGAGTAAATTTCCTTCTGAAATGGCCTCAGATGCAAAGAAGTCGACTTCAAACTTTCAATATTACTGGTACCGGTAGGCCTACTTAATTTGACAAAATCATTCTTTAGGTGTATATATGATCAAGTGAAAAAAACACCAAGTTCCTACCACCCTAAACAAAATATACTCTCATTCTCAATATTGATGAACAGTCCTAAATAATGAGTACGGATTTAGGGATTTAGTGATCATTTCGCATACCCATTCAAAGGTACGTGACAATGCAAGTTAGTCATATTGAATGACAGGTGATGGCACGTATGTTCAAACTCTACTTGAGAGTAGGCCTACCACACGTGGCTGTTGCTTGTTGCAAAAGAATGTTAATCATATAGGGGAACTCTAATACGAAATGTGCAACTGCCAATACTACTTTTGTTATAATCATAGAAGTCCACATTAATTGCTACATACGGATGTATACGCATGATCTTAAGTAGACATAATTTCTAGCAAGGGGACGAAGAAACTTCATTTTCTTGGTTATCCTATTTTCCAGGTCTAGCACACAAGGTGCAGGGCATATTTATATGTTATTGATATGATTCATGTTATTCTAATTTCAGTGCTGTTGAGAGTGGGCGCAATGTGATTAATCGTGATTCAGTAAAGATTCTAGCACCTATCACTAATCCTGATAAAGTTCTATGTATTGGTATGAATTATGTGGATCATTGTGTAGAACAGAACTGTCCTGTTCCAGTTGAACCTGTTGTGTTTAATAAATTTCCTAGCTGTATCATAGCAACCGGTGATGATTTAGTTTATCCCTGTGAAACACAGGTAGGTCTATTAATCGAATCAGGTTTAACATCTTGTCAATAACTATTTCACTGCAAAAAACGTAGGATAGGGTTATTTTGTTTTCTATGCATACCGGTAGCCTATGTGTGCAAGGGTAAGAAAGAGACTTTAGTCTGGGCAATAGCATTCTTGCCCGGTATGATTAGACATACTTTTTTTGTTAAATGTACATGCTTCTGACCTCAAAGCAAGTACTGCGTTCCCCTAGCCTGATAATGACCGACATGAACAGGCTCTTTCAAAGCTATCGGGAACAAGAATGCATTCCTTACAAGCTATTATAATTAGATGAAATGTCTAAAAACTAATTTTTCAGTACTAATATATAATCTATTGCTTACCAAAGGCTGAATATATTCAAGTGTTATTGACAAAACAGTGACTTTATTTAAAATTATTGAATTTTCCAATGTTTCTATTTGTTCAATACAGTACAACTATCCTAATGAACACAACTTAAATCATTGTCATTATCACTGGTGTCCATGCTTCGTAAATCTTGGCATTGGAAAAAAATGTAATCCGAGATGTGTGAGTAAGATAGGATTCGGAACATACATGAAAATATCAAGATTTCTTTCTGAAAATCCAATATGATTAGAATTAGATATCATTTATGAGAGAGAGAGAAATGGGGTTTAATGCCCACTCAAAACAAACGTCATTTCGGAACTAACATGATTCAATTTTATTTCAATAACCCCTCCCCACCCCCATATTTGTTATGTTTTTCTACTGATAGATTATCAAAAGGAAATCATAATCTACTGGTAATTGGTGGAAATCTAGCTTAATATGAAATGTTATAGATTAGTAATTTTATTATTTCAAATAGGAACTAGATTGGGAAGTTGAATTAGTTATTGTTATTGGTAAAGATGGTAAAAATATCAAGGTAAGAAATTTGAAAAGCAGCTAATACATTTTTGTTTAATTAGTAATTAACTATGCCTGGCAAGGAACCGCATCTATTCATTCGGATGGGAAAAAACTGAGGTCCTGTGTACGTAAAAAGAACGTTTAACAGTTGTAATTCAAAATAAGAGTAGGCCATAGCACCACTGTCAGGACAAGTCTTCATTAGCTTGTTGGTTCAGAAAAACAGAATGTTAAACTTTGAGATGGTTACAATAATGACACGGCTCACCAAACAATTTGCCAAATATTCTGATATTTTATTATTTACATATAGAAAGAAGACACAATGAACCATGTATTTGGATACGCAGTTGCACATGATGTTAGTGCAAGAGATTGGCAGATGAAGAAAAATGGTGGACAGTGGTTGTTGGGGAAAGCTATGGATTGTTTTTGTCCACTTGGGGCAGCTATTGTTATGAAAGAAGATATAAAAGGTATGGCTTCAGTGACAAAAAATCAGCCCATGTATATGATTTGTATTGTAATGTCATGTTATGTATCCTGAAAATGTTAGAATTATGTTTTAGCCTACTATAAATCTGTTAATCAACAATTGCCAGGGCAGTACTAAACCATCTTTATCAAAAAATGAAATGCCCAGAGCAATAAATTAATTGAGTTTTATTTTAGTACTAGATGTTGACCTGCATGATAAGTTCATGCATTTAGCAAGGAGAGCAGTTATAGAGCAAGCTCTTTAATTGATTTTGGTTAATTACAAGCTGCTCTTATCTGGCCTTCAATAATTCTAACTTATTTTTGTGCTACTTCAGCAGCAAACTATCAAACACTCAATATGTATTTGCTATCCAATATAGAAACTACTTAAACATACATTATGCAAGAGGTAAATCTGCCAATTGCAGGCTTAAAATGTTATCTGAATCATTAATTAGACATTAATTAACTTATCCAGACCATAATCAACTCTTGATGGCATCGCTAGCCTGCGATATTTACTGGATTAGAACCCGGTCTACTGCTGCTGATTAAATCAAAAATTGGATTGGACTTATGGGAGATACATTATGGGAGATTTTTACAGAGAATTGGCCATTCTTGCTATAACAGTTCAAAAGTAGATGATGAAAGAAGCATATTTTGAAAATTTCAGTCAAATTACTTTATTCTGAACATAGTTATCATCGTTGTAATATTTGACTAGAAATGGTAGTGAAATGTGCCTTCACTGTGGGTGATCGTTTGATTGACAGGTGTTAACTCCACCTACATATCTCGATTATCAAGTAAGTTTTCAATGGCATGCGGAAACGCTCTACAGCGGCCTCGCTAAGTACACTCTATCATTTAGCCTCGATCTAACTGACATATTCTCATCAGGATGCGCCATATTTGAATTGATAAGTGAAATCCTATTTAAATCCGAGCTATAGCCGAGCCATCCGTGGGTCTACAGAGTTGATTTTGGGCTTGTTGTTTAAATAAAGATCTAATTTATAATTTCTATAACATCTGAAGCCTAAATTAAGACTTGCAATAATCAGATTTTGCTCTTGCATAATGTATGTTTAAGTAATGATGATTGAGGTTAGGCCCAATATTCAATCGCTAAATACTCAGTTACGGGTGGATCAATTTGACTGAAATTTTCAGCAAATTCCCTTTACATTATCTAGTTTTTAACTATACTCAAAGCCATTAAAAACACAATGCCTAATTCCGGAAATTTTTCTGGTAAACGTTTTCTTGGCCTTTCCTATCTTATGGCACATAGGTGAAACTTGTGATGGGTCTCTTTTTGTGGAGTTCTGGGGTTGAACCCAATATCCGTTCTCGGTAATGAACTTTGTTAGTGCAAACGCAACACTTGTCTTTTTTCACGATATTAAGGAGTCCAATGTCACATGTTTTGCACTCTGGCCCTTTAAATACAAATCAAAATTTCAACATTCATCACTTCGGAAAAATGCCACGCCTTACACAAGAAAACAGGAACAGAGCTATTGGCATACTGGATCAGGTGGCTTCACGGGTATCTGTCGCCAGACACTTTAATGCCCACCCATCGACCATTGCTCGCCTCAGACAATGCCCTGCCAATGGAAGAGGTGCCGATCGACCCCGACCTGGAGCGCCACCTGTAACAACCGCTGCTCAAGATCGCCACATCCGACTACAGCATCTGCGCTACAGGTTCCAGTCAGCTAATACTGCCAGGGGAACTGTTGGAACACGGCAACGTCAGATCAGCCCTCAAACAGTCCGAAGGCGTCTGGCTGCTCTTGGGTTACGCTGCCGTCAACCTTATCAAAGTCAAATCCTTTTGCATCGTCATCGACTTGCCAGACAGCAATGGGCCGCAAAAAAGGGGTATCTGCACAACACACCATGGCGAAATGTCATCTTCTCGGATGAATTCCGATTCAACCTCAGGTTTCCTGATGGACGTCACCGTATCTACCGACGTCGACATGAACGATTGATCGAACACCTTTGGGATGAACTTGGACGACGGTTTCAAACTCAAGGCATGTGTAAGAGCTCAGGGTGGACATACCCGATATTGACTTCAGCTGACCCCTGCTTTGTTTCATGGTTCTCTGACGTTTCGGTTTTGTGCATTTGTTGTGAATTCTTTCATGAAATTATCCACAGATGCTTGTTATCTCGATTTTGTCAATTGTTATGTACATTTGTTAAAAGTTGTTGCAGAGAGAGAGAGAGAAATGGGGTTTAACGTCCACTCGACACAAACTAGGTCATTTCGGGACTAACATATGATTTTAATTTTATTTCAATAATTCGCTTGCGCGTAGGGGTCTTTAGCAGTGGGAGGAAACCGGAGGACCCGGAGAAAACCCACGAGGTTGGACAGGCGACCCTAATCCTTGTCACGTACAACCGGGGATTCGAAACCACGCCAGTTGACTCAATGACAGGCCTTATGATACAGCACGCACGTGCTAACCATTCGGCCATCCAACCCCCCAAGTTGTTGCAGTAAATAAACTTTGAATTTGGCATTGCGTTTTTAATGGCTTTGAGTGTATTATAGTGAGGAACTACCAGCTCTTTATCTAATCTCCCATAATGTATCTTTAATGTTTTTTCTATTTAAACAAGATCCCCATAATCTGCGGTTGACATGCAGTGTTAATGGTGTTATTAAACAAGATGGAAACACAAACACACTAGTTCATAAATCAGAAGATATAGTTTCATTTATTTCTAGGTATGTTCTAATTATATAACGTAATAAGGGATGGGGGTGAATTTCTCAAAATTAAAACAAAAGAGCCTGGCTATTGTATCAGCGGAGCTTTAAATCTTTGCAAATCTAAGCTGCTTAGGTTAAGTTTTAAAATAATTTTATTCATTAGCCCTACATTGGGAAAACTACTGTATACAACTAATCACGCCAAATAAAGAGTAAGCCTAAATGTTGACTGTGATGTGTAGATGTTACATTGAGGTTAATCCTTGTGATGACCACTATCAGTCTGTGGCTGTTATATGGGGGTTTGATTGTATTTGACCTAGCTATCTTGGGTCAAATATTGATAGACGGTTAGAAACCACTGATTCCTTGAATTGTTGATTGGCTGTAAAATATTTACATATATGAATATACTCTGTTTAAAAATGAATGTAATATTAATATATTAAAATAAGTAAGTCGAACTATGATTGATTATATTACAGGTTTTGTACATTAAAAGCAGGTGATATAATATTAACAGGTACTCCACCTGGTGTCGGTGTATTTAGAAAGCCACCAGAATTTTTAAAGGTAATATTTTTTTATCTAATATTGTAGAATCACTCACATGAAATGAAAAACTCCATTATTTCTACTTTAACAAGGTTCACCACCAAAACAATGTGACAAAGATAAATTACCCACTGAAATAAATCGTTTAGGAACCTCTTTATCACAGTTACACATCATCTACAAAATCATCTCGTAAAATATCAGACCAGCTGAAATGGCTGATGAAAAAGAAGTATACATATACAGAGAACATACTAAAAACCAGTGAAGAAACCAATAGAAACAAAGGTCCCACAACCCAGAATTATATTGCAATATGTCAAGATACAACTAGCTACATTGCAATATGTATTGCAATATACTGTGAAATCCATTTCCTGAAGGCAAATGTTAGCATCAGAAAGAAATAGAAGCCAATCAAATTATTTCTCATGATTACTTAATAGGTCTGGTAAATACTCCTATTATTTTCTCAAAAGAATTAATATGTGACAACCCTTGTAGACTGCCTTGATGACTAAGGTGCTGTGGGCATACATTTCATTGCCTGGCAGCCTGTCTGTGTTTTTTGAAAAATGACATGTGCCCAAACTTTATGTTTAATTACGTACCTTCATAGCTACTTTCATACAGTTTTCAAATTTTATCCAAAATACCTTCCTTGTTGAATAGTTCTGTACTGTTTTCTTCAATGCATTAACATGGAGAAGGTAAATATTTTGTAAACACACAGCCGATCATGACAAACACAAGAATAATACAATTTTGGGGGGATTAGGCCTACTCCCATTTTCATGGTTTGGAGGTAGCCCACAATTTTCACCATCTGGGTACCCACAAATTGTAGTTTGTCTGTTTATAGTAATTCTCTATCTCTCCCTTATCTCCCCACTTGCATGGCTATTTTTGTTGATTTTTTGGTCTAGAATGGAAGAAGAGGGCTTGAATTAATATTTTCTGCCAGGGTTTGGTAACTATTCATGATTTGGAGGTGGAAGGATAGTTACATGTTTTTAGTATGCTACTTCAAATTTGTGAATCTCAAAATTTCATTTGTCAACCTCATACAAAATCTGGAGCAAAGACATTACCAATGGTTGCGTTGTCGGTAGTGAAAAGCGTTCAGTCTGCCGAAAATTTGGGGAATATTTTACGCCAGGCAAAGAGACCAGAATTAACATTGAAGTCAATGGGTAAATTAATGGTGATCTGGCTGTTTTTGCATTTGTGGATTGGCTCTCTTGTTGGGAGTTTGTTTTCATTTTAAGCTACCATCTCCCCTATTCATTCTCTAGATTTGATATTACCTTTATTGTATATTATTGTGTATTACTTGTAATATCCATGTTTTTGTATCATTTGTACTAATTTGTCTTCAAGGTTTCTGTTTGTTATTTTTGGTGCTGTTCTGCTGCAATTATATTAATTAAAACTTTATTCGGGTGAATTGAGTTATTAATATATTTTTTTTAATTTCAGAGAGGTGATGTTGTTGAATGTGAAATTGAAGAAATAGGAAAAGTGGTTAATAAAGTTGTCTAAGTAATATATTACCTGTGGGTGCCTTATACTGCATATTATCATATGAGTACATGTAATCAAATGTATATTGAGTAAATGAATAAAATAGGGTTTAACATCTTACTTTTCTGTACCAACTGGGCTAATGAAGACACTGACAATGTATTGAAGCAAAACAAAAGTAATAGAGCTCTATATTCAGAATGGTCTACTTTAATTTGGCTGTTTTAGTGAGGTGTGTGACTTACTAAACACAGTATAATATATTAAGCACAGCAAATAAACTTATTTCTTTTAACCTTTAAATCAAATACTGGGTGATATATTATTGATTTTCTGTAGCATTAATTATTCTGATTTTTCTGCTGCAGCTTACTGCAATATGTGTTTTATATGTTGATTTTTATGTAATTGTTTTATTTGTTAATACTGATTAAATGATTTATTCTATACAATTATTATGTTATTTATACATCAGCATATTGTAATTTACAGAACAACAAAGAAATCTCCATTGTAATGTCTGACCTTTGCCTTTGTCCTTTATATATGTTCTCCTTTAAAAAGAAGTTGGGGAGGGGATTCAAAACAGCCTGACACCAGTGTCTAGTGGATCGAAATGCACAAAAAATCAAGGTCCTGTACAGTTGGAATTATAGCTAAGATTAGGCTTTAGCACCGGGCAAATTTTTCCTCATAGCACACCGCAGGCACTATAGACCAGAGGCTCTGTGCGCGGGTGTGTCCATCAAATGGGCACAAAACCAGACCCAACTTTTCTAGAGTAAAATTTTGCGTAGAATCCGATGCCGAGTGGTAATCAGTCCACCGTTTGGGCATTTTCGACATATTCGGGGTGACATGTCAAATGAGGTCATTTGCACTGAAAGTGAATGCGCAGCCATTCTTATATCATGAAAATATGCAGAAAATAGTCGAAAGTAATCACTCTTTCAAAAAAATGTAAACTTGCTAAATTCACCTTTAGTCTTAGTGACCCCGGAGGTCAAAAAGGTGAAATTTTCCGTTTTTGCACAAGGAAGATTTAAAGCAATAAAATGTCAGCGTAAAATATAAAAACTAAAGCGAAACCTGTTCTAATTAATAATAGGAACATTTAAAATGTGTCTTTAGGGGGTCTTAGCACCAAACTTTTGGAACGTCGAAGACGATCTTGCATAACATAACCAACACAAATCGAAACCTGTTCCCAAATTACGTAAAAACTGTGAAATCTAAATCTCCCCGATTTAGTTTAACAACGATTGTTATACATAATGAAACTAGTTGTCGGAAAAACAATTGAATAGTTTCATGGTTGGACTCCAGTCTGCTGGCGGCGTGGATTTCCGGGAATCCCAATCTGGGAAAACCGACGTTAATCTGTGACCGGAAAACATGTATCTGAGGACGAGATTAAAAGTTTGCAAATTTTTTAGGAGTTTTCATGAATTTCGCCGGAACATGGACACAGATAAAACCGACGGATGCATTGTATATAAAAGCTTACGGGATATACATGGTTTACATTGCTAGAATTAAACACAGAGAGAATATAGTATTGTAGTTAACAAGGTGATTGTCTAATATGCATCCTCATAAACTAAAGTTATGTGATCAAGTTTTGTTTCATTTGGATCCTCATAAAAAATTCCCCTACTAAACACTCTTTGTCGTGTTGATCGTAACATTCAATATGTAAAAGTCATGAAAAAAAAAATATGAATACGGCACCCCCTGACTTAAACATGATAAACATTGTATTCATGATGTGATGTTTTAGTTTAACCCCGTAAAATATGCCAAAACAGTGTTTACAGAAGACTGAAACTTTAAAAAAAAATTATTGGGGTGAAAGTGGGAGAGTTTTTTTGCGCCCCCCCCCCCCCCCAATTTTACGCTGGCATTTATTGATTTAAATCTTCCTAGTGCTAAAACGGAAAAATTTCACCTTTTGACCTCCGGGGTCACAAACAACAAAGATGAATTTAGCAAGTTTACATTTTTATTGAAAGGGTGATTACTTTGGATCATTTTCAGCTTATTTTCATGATACAAGAATGGCTGCGCATTCACTTTCAGTGCAAATGAACTCATTTGACCTTTGACCCCGAATATCCCGAAAACGCCCCAACAGCGGACTGATTACCATTCGGCATCGTATTCTACGCGAAATTTTACTATAGAAAAGTTGGGTCTGGTTTTGTGCCCATTTGATGGACACCCCTCCGCACTGAGCCCCCAGACTACTATACTCCACTTCATTAGCCCAGTTGGTGCATGAAAGTAGGACCTTAAACCATTTCATAGCATTGGATTAAAATAGGCACTAGAACGGTCAGTGAAAGACGGTCACACTTTGGACTTACGAGACAACTGTGCATAAAAAAACGCCAGCACCCAGAAGTTATAGATACTAATGTTGTTTTTTTTTTATTAACGCTATATAAATTTTAAAATACTATACATATGTACATATTATAAGCACTTTCTTAAATTTGGTTATATATAATAATGTACAACAAAGTCTACTAAATATGCATTAATTGCTATAATTATCAAAAACAATATTTAAATTTGACATCATCAGAATTCGTCCATATGGGTTCTTCAAAGGGATCAATCGCAATAGCCGAATAGAGTCACATATTGACGATATCAAATAGCAATTTTATCCACTAAAAACTCAAAATTAAATGTGCAAAAACTTAATTAATTATTGGTGTTTAATTTCAGTTCAACCAGTTAAAATAACTTAAGAAAATTTTTTAACTGCCAAATAAATTTGCACAGTAGGCCTAAAGCAAGTATCTATTATGAAAACCAAAACAGTACAAGTTATAATTGTCTCTATTTGATCAAATTTCGACGATCTTAGATATCCGAAAACAAAAAAAAAAAGCCACAAAATTCTGGAAGTTAAAACTGTTCATTTTTTTAAATAACCTATGCAACAAATGGCTTTACAGTAATTGATGAGGAAATCAGAAAAAGTTATAGCTTATAATTAGCCACTAAAGTTGTAAACCTAGCCGGTCTTTCAATGACAAAAATCACATAAACACAGTTTCCGAAATTGATGCATTATATTGTATCCGAGACAAGACCGCAATAGAACACTACAAACCACAGATTCTCCAACTCTAAATTGTTCTGTTTTCACCGAAATATCAAGTTAGTTCCAAGAATTAGCCGAAATGTGTGGGAAAAGCGGCCCAAGAGAAAGATCAAAATTCATCCTGAGCCCGAGAACCTTATTCCGTAAAACTGACCATACAAACAAATTAAAGAGATATCTTCAGTAGCCGAAAAGAAACAGAAGATTGTGTTATTTCAGTAGATAAACTTTAACCTTTAACCGAAATCTGTTACAATGTCCCTATTGCTAAAATGTTTTTGACAGTAACACTTAGCCGCCTACTTCTTCATCGAAACAAAAGAAAGAGAAGAAGAGGTGGTGAACATCGATATCATCATTGTGTATATCCAAGTTAGCCAAGATCTTCATCTAGTAGTTTTAATATTTATACGAAAACTAGATGACACTAATAAAATACATGACGCCGAAATAAATGCTCGAAACTGACGCTACATATTATAAGCTAATATGGATAGGGTTTAATGAGCTCTGCTTTTGGTGGTGAAAACTGTTGTAAACTTGATTTAAATTAATTGACATTATACGAAATATTAATATAATCTATGCCCGAAAAGCTTTGAGTTAGCCACCAGAATTCATCCTGAGCTCCAAGAAACTTATTCCGTAAAAGTGATGCAAACAAATTAAAAAGGGGGTCTTCTGTGGTCGAAAAGAAACAGAAGATTGTTTTATTTCCAGTAGATAGTAACTTTTAATCGAAATCAGTTAAAATGCCCATTGCTAAAATACTGGACATCATCAATGTTTTTGACGGTAACACGTAGCCCCCTACTTCTTCATCGAAACAAAAGAAAGCGAAGAAGAAGAGGTGGTGAACATCGATATCATCATTGTATTATCCAAGTTAGCCAAGATCTCCATCTAGTATTTTAATATTCATACGAAAACTAGATGACACTAAAATACATGACGCGGAAATAAATGCTCGAAACTGGCGCTATATATTATAAGCTAATATGGACAGGGTTTAATGAGCTCTGCTTTTGGTGTTGAAAACTGTTGTAAACTTGATTTAAAGTAATTGACATTATACGAAATATTAATATAATCTATGTCCGAAAAGCTTTCAATTAGCCAACAGAATTCATCCTGAGCTCCAAGAAACTTATTCCATAAAAGTGATGGAAACAAATTAAAAAGTTGGTCTTCTATGATCGAAAAGAAACAGAAGATTGTTTTATTTCCAGTAGATAGTAACTTTTAATCGAAATCGGTTAAAATGCCCATTGCTAAAATACTGGAGATCATCAATGTTTTTGACTGTAACACGTAGCCCTCTACTTCTTCATCGAAACAAAAGAAAGCGAAGAAGAGGTGTTGAACATCGATATCATCATTGTGTATATCCAAGTTAGCCAAGATCTTCATCTAGTAGTTTTAATATTTATACGAAAACTAGATGACACTAAAATACATGACGCCGAAATAAACGTTCGAAACTGGCGCTATATATATTGGCAATATGGATAATGTTTATTGGGCTCTGATTTTGCCCCCCCCCCCCCGCCAGCTGCGCCACTGAAAGTAGTGTACCCGTAATATACGGAACTTAAAAGTTGGGTTTACGGGTAGGTTTATAACCGTGAGAAATTCAATACTACTGTTCGAAGCCCAAATAGTATAGGTTTAAACGAATCTCATAATCGGAAATAGAGTTTATAGCTGGGCGATACCTATTCCGACACTGTTTATCATTAAGACGAATATGAAGAATCAATTGACGAACCTTCAGCACTGCTACTGTTAGCAGAAGACTGAACATTGAAACGCACGATTCGATGTGGACGGAGCACGCAGTTTTTTACACTCTTCAGCCAGTTCAGGATTCTTGTGTTACGTGCACTGTTTTCACTACGATTTTCTTTTGCATCCATCTCAAGAAACATTTCATGCATGGATAGATTATGCATGGTCAGTGCAATAGGTTCATCAATTTGTCCACGAATTCTTTCCCGTTGATTTTGTACTACAACATAAGTTTCTACTGGATGGATTTGTTTTTCAGGTTCCTTACCCGAAAAGCGGTATCGTATTCTTGGTGACAGGTCGGTATTCTCTCTGGACTCGTTATTTGGAGATTCTTGTTGAAGCGCATAGCTATTGCTTTGTTTCCGTGATAGAAATTTTATGTGAGGCTTCGGAGACTGTGGTGGTGAGGGAGAAGGTCCGGAAGAAAACATTTGGTATTTGTCCGCTTCATGTCCACCAACGGGATAGACTTTATTCTGATTCATCATCCTTCTTTTAAATTCAGTAAGAGATGCCGACATCTTCTGGGCTCTTTTGTGCATTTCC